AGATAGATAGATAGATAGATAGATAGATAGATAGATAGATAGATAGATAGGATAGACAGACAGACAGACAGACAGATGACATAGACAGACAGACAGACAGACAGATGACATGATAGACAGATGTAGGTAGATCGGAGAAATGATGGGTGGGGGGGATGACAGATAAAATAGATGATAGATATAGGTAGGTAGGTGGGTGGGTAGGTGGATGGATGGATGGATAGATAAGTTAGGTAGGTAAGTAGGTAGAGATAGATAAGTAGAAAGGGCTCACAATCTGGGAGTCCTCCTGGATAGGCAGCTGTCCTTGGAGGAACATCTGACAGCTGTAACCAGGGGGACCTTTTGTCAGGTTCGCCTGATTCGCCAGTTGCGGCCCTTTCTTGATCGGGATTCCCTGTGCACAGTCACTCACGCCCTCATGACCTCTCGCCTTGACTACTGCAACGCTCTCTACATGGGGCTCCCCTTGAAGAGCACCCGGAGGCTCCAACTGGTCCAGAATGCAGCAGCACGGGTAGTGATGGGAGCAGCATGGCGCTCCCATGTAACACCGCTCCTGTGCGAGCTGCACTGGCTCCCAGTGGTCTTCCGGGTGCGCTTCAAGGTGCTGGTTATCACCTTTAAAGCGCTCCATGGCATCGGGCCTAGCTATCTTCGAGACCGCCTGCTGCTACCAACGACCTCCCATCGTCCCGTGCGCTCCCACAGAGAGGGCCTCCTCAGGGTGCCATCAGACAATCAATGCAGGCTGGTGACCCCCAGGGGGAGGGCCTTCTCTGTGGGGGCACCTACCCTCTGGAATCAGTTGCCCCCAGAGATAAGGAGAATCCAAGACCTTAGTGCCTTCCGCCGTGCCCTTAAAACCCACTTTTTCCAGCAAGCCGGGCTGGCTTAGGAAGAAATTTGTTTGTATTTTTAATTTTGGGCCAAATTTATATATATTTTAACTGTTTTTAATATTTGTATTTCATGTTTTTTAATTCTGGCTGTACACCACCCTGAGTCCTCAGGGAGAAGGGCGGTATATAAATTTTAATTAAAAAAAAAAAGTATGATAGATGATAGACAGACGGATGGACTGACAGAGAAAGAGAGACTTACCATCCAAAACGTCCAATGAAGCACTGCAGATAGACTGACCAGCCTGATTGGAGGCGATACAAGTATAGTTTCCACTGTAGGTTTTTTCCACATCCAATAAGATCAGACTGTGCTGCATATTGGAACTGGCCAGTTTATAACCTGGAGTGTCCGACCTGATCCAGAGGATGTCTTCACCATGAGATTCTTCCTTCAACCACGTTACTGAGGGTGATGGAGTCCCTAAAAGAAAAGGGTGAAAAAAAGCAGTGAGGTTTTGGGGGCAAAGATGCTACAGAAAGACTTTTTTTGGGTGTGTGTGGGGGATTGTTGATTTATACAGACACAAAATAATAAGGATGAGAAAAATGACCGCAGTACAGGTAGTCCTCAATTTACAACACTTCATTTAGTGACCATTCAAAATTACGATGATGCTGGAAAAAAGTGACTTGTGATCCATTTTCACACTTACGACCATGGCAGCATCCCCATGGTCACATGATCAAAATTCATACACTTGGCAACTGATTCATATTGCAGTGTCCTGGGTTCATGTGATCCCCTTTTAAGACTTTCTAATGAGCAAATTCACTTAAAAACCGGGTGATTAATTTAACAACTGCAGTGATTCACTGAACAACTGTGGGAAGAAAGGTCATAAAATGGGGCACAAGTCACTTAATAAATGTTTCGCTTACAACAAAATTTTGTGCTCAATTGTAGTCATAAGTCAAGGACTGCTGTAGTCAAAAGAAGTGGATGGGATGGCCTTTAAGGTTATTACCTTCCACCTTCACTGAAAGGGTGATGCTGACCCCTCTCCTCACTTTCTTGTTGGTAAATCTTTCGAGGAATCTTGGTGGCACTAGCTGCTCATAAATGTCTGAAAATTAAAATATATGAAGCAGAAGACAAATTTAGAGAGAGAGAAAAATAAGCCCCCAACTCAGACTAAGCTTGCTTGGTTTTGCATGGACCAAGCATCCAAACTGCTTTGATCTGGGCAAAGCAATCTTCAAGCAAAACACATGGAACTTTAGCCACAGTTTACTTTGATATTTCACCTGTTGCATTTTCTTACCTTTTTCTGGTTTTCTGTCCTCACCAGCTCCTGCAAGACAAAAAAGAGTGAAATTATTTCATTATACCTCTCTTTCCCTCTCTCTGCGTTCTTCTCTGTTTCTCTCTCTCTTTCTCTCTCTTTCAACTATCTACCCATCTATTCATCTATCCATCCATCCCTCTATCCCTCTATCTATATCTATCATCTCCCTGTAATCATTCATTCATTCATTCATTCATTCTATGTATCTATCTATCTATCTACCTATCTATCTACGTATCTATCAATCATCTATTCATCCATCCATCCATCTCTCTCATCTATTTCTATCATCCATATATCTTTCATCTATCTATCATCTATATCTATCTTTCGATCTATCTGTCATTTATTCATCCATCTATCCCCCTCTCTCTTTTCTCATCTATTTCTATTTATCTATCATCCATATATCTTTTATCTGTCTATCTACCATCTATCCATCCCTCATCTATCTATCTGCCTGCTTGCCTGCCTGTCTCATCTCTCTCTCTCTCTCTCTTCCATCCATCCATCCGTCATTTCTGCATTACTGATAAATTGCCCCAATCCCACCAGATGCTAGGCAAGATACAATAGTCTTTAAAAAATGCATCATTACTAGTGTGTGGATAAAAGAATATCCAAGGCATCATTCCTTAACCAAATGACAACTGCCTGCTGGAACAATATTGCTTTAAGCTGCCTCTGAAACATCTATTAGAGTAAGAAGTTGGGGATTTTTTTTTCAAAAGACACCATAATATGAAAAGTCCAGACTCTGTAGTTCTGCTGGGCAGATTTGGCCTATCAAGGAATAACATTAACAACCATTTCAGCCTGTATGAACTCACCTTCGACTATGAGCCTGGCTGCCGAATAAGCAGACCCAGCAGAGTTAGTGATGAAGACAGAATACTGGCCATCATCCTCTTTGGTGACCTGGAGAATTTCCAGAGCGTGAAATTCCCAGCTGTCTGTCCTTTGGAGATGATCGCTTGTGTGTAATGGCTGACCGTCTTTGAACCAGTAGAGACGGGGCTCGGGAAAACCTGGGCCGACATATGACAAACACAGAGAGAGAGATATGAGCTATAAGACTAATCAAGGAATCCATCATTGTTCTATTTAATGCCCCATTCAGTTACTTGACTAACCACAGTGTGCCACTAACTCCTTTTGGTCATTCAATGCTGAGAATCAGAGATTTTTTTGCAAATGGAGGCAAATATAGGTGTCCCAGGATAATGTTGCAGGATCCAACCTGAGTCAGTCAGCGGGACGAGAGGTTTTGTCTTCCAAGCTTTTGGACTCGTGTTGGAGCACAGACTCAGGAGTGGTGGGTTTCACTTACCTTTGCTACCGCTTTGCTTGTGCACGTGCCACTTCTGCATATGCACAGAAGCTTCTGCACATGTGCAGATCATATTTGATGACATCCAGGTGGGTGGGTGGAGCCTCCTGCCACTGCTGCTACCAGTTCTCCCAAACCGGGGCAAACCGGTAGCAACCCACCATCGATCCTCAGGGAACTTCTCACTAGCAGAGGGTGTGTTTTGGGCTATTCTGCATTTACATGGTGCTTGTTGTGTGTGGCTTTTTAGTTGTTGATTGGGGTGTTAATGGCTGTCTATTAAGTTAGCTATTGTTTCCTTGTGCTGCCAAGTCCTCGCCTCCTAAGCTGTTGGTAAATCAGCATGCCTGTTGACTGACAAGGGGTCCATTTCATAGGCTTCAATCACTTCCTTGGCTGTTTTTGTCCCTGCTCATCCAATAACCTTAGTAGCTTCAAAATTGTCTTTGTATGTCTTTCTTCATTGCAATGTGAGGCTACCATTGCAATGTGAGGCTACCAATGACTTTGGTCTCCTCACCTGATTGCTCACTTCTATTCTTGTAATCTCGTAATTAGATTCCTCCCCATCTGCCCTACATAGTCACAGGGGCAATCCATGCAGGGGAGATTTCTTGAGTCAGAATTTGCCAGTCACTGGTGAAGAGTTTCCTGCCTAAGATGGGACTATAAACTCAGGGTCTCCCATTTCTAGCCTGGTGCCTTCACCACTACACCAAACTGATTCTCCTATTGCAATGCAAGCTCTACCCCTTTTGTATCGTAATGTTGGTTGCATACAAAAAGGGTGGAACTTGCATCACAATAATGAATAATGAATATTCAAGATAATGAAATTCTTTTTTAAAAAATCTGCTTAATGCTGCAATGCTTCAGAATCCTTCGGAGCACACAGTGGCTGGAACTGAACCCAGAACCTGAGGTGGTGCGAGATGAAACCAAAATCAAATTATACAGTTTTCAACCCACAATGTCAGGCTCAACGTCAGGTGCCTGAACAACTCCGAAAACAAAGACCAGCATGCAAGAAGTGATTGTGTGAATGGGAACTACCCCAGTACCTTTCACTTTTAAATGGAATTTGGCAACAGGGGCTCCAGGCGCCACGTGAATATCGTGAAGTTCATCCGTGATTTGAGGCAACTGTTCCTCTTCTGTTGTTGACTCCACTCCATCTTGTTCCCGGCTGGTTCAAGAGATGGTAGGAAGAGAGGGAGGGCAACACAAATGATTGACATACAAAGCCAACTTCCAAATATAATTAGAATTTATAATAGGTTTGGAAGGGACCTTGGAGGTCTTCTAGTCCAACCCCCTGCTTAAACAGGAGGCATGCAGAAAAGGGATGTGTGCTCTCTGTTCTGATTCAGAAGTTAATACAGGTAGTCCTCGATTTACGACCACAACTGAGCCCAAAATTTCTGTTGCTAAATGAGATAGTTGTTAAGTAAATTTTGCCCCATTAGACGATCTTTCTTTGCCACATTTGTTAAGTGAGTAATTTTGGTTGTTAAGTTAGCTTATATATTTGTTATATAAATATGGCTTCCCCATTGTCTTTGCTTGTCAAAAGGTCGCAAAAGAGGATCATGTGATCCCAGGACATTGAAACTGTCATAAATGTGAGTCAGTTGTTAAGCATCCAAATGTAAATCACATGACCATGGGAATGCTGCAATGGTTGTAGGCAGGGGTGGGTTCTACTTACCTTTACTACCGGTTCACAATGGGGCCGCGCGCTCTTCTGCGCATGTGCAGAAGCGTTCTGATAACGTCGGGGTTGGTGGGCGGAGCCTCCCTCTAGTTTTACTACCGGTTCTATAGAACCGGTCTGAACTGGGGGCAACCCACCACTGGTCATAAATCTGAAAAATGGTTGTGCTGATGTAACTTCAATTTTGATTGTAAATTGAGGACCACCCAGTAGTGGGTTTCTATCAGTTTGTCCGGTTCGGGAGAACCACCTTCCCAGATGTCATCACAGACGCTCTGCGCATGCTCCCAATTCTGAACCAGTACAAAGGTAAGTGGACTACTGGGACCACCAATATAGATTCAAATACTTGGAAATCTAGAGTTCATCTAGTCCTATTCCTAGCTCCACGCAGGGTCCACTAAAGCATTCCCAGCAAAGTAGGAGAGGAAGTGGTAGAATCTAGGGGGAGGGTCAAAAGGGCAATCAGCCTAGAATTCCTACGTAGTCACAAATGAACTAAATCCAACCTCCTTTGAGAGCCATTGACCCTTATCTAACTCCTAGCAGGTGCTAACCATGAGTTGAGAAGATTCCTGTGCATAGGTTCTTAGCAACCACTAAAACTCACCCAACTGGCTTTAATGCCCAAGGTAGGACTACAATTCATTGTCTCCTGGAGATTGGCCCACAGTCACCCAGGTAGTTTCCATAACTAAAGTGGGGCTAGAAGTCACAGCCTCCCAGTGACTGGCCCAAAGTCAACCAGCTGGCTTTCGTGCCTAAAACAGAATTAGAAATCCCTGCCTCCTAGTAATTGGTCCAAAGTTACCATTGGCTTTCATATCAAGGTAGAACTAGAACTCCCAATCTCCTGGTTTCTAGCTGATTCCTTAACCAGTAGGCCAAACTGGTTAGTTTAAAAAGCTAACAACCAAATCAGAAATTCTGCAACCACATGGAAGAGGGTGATATTCACCATCCTGGATTATTTTAATAAATGTGTGTCGTTCAACAATACATCCAACTTGAAACATTTTGAAACCAGTCATGCTTTCAACATTGCAGAAATCTAACTTATTCCTGATCAACAAAGAGTTATTGATCCTTTAACCTGTAACATTCAGGACATCAAATGAGTTAATCAGAAAAATTATGTGGTGCAAGATCCATTTAGTGCAAGAAAATTGTGCCACAACAAGGGAACTGTCTCAAAAATCGTGGAAGCAAACTAATCAGGGGAATAAACATACATCCGAAAATAATATTTGATAATAGATTTCCACCCAGAATCATTTTGATATGAGATGGATGGAAAATAAATTTAATAAATAAATAATATTGCTTTTACCTGGACAGGTAACCTTTGGCGCTGTAGTACGAGGAGGTCTCCGTTGCATCTCCGGCTGTATCATAGTCTGTGCTGGTTACTAATGAATGGTAAAAAGAGGATTTTAGGGGCAATGCTTCTCAGTTTCAGCCACTTTAAGATCAGTGGACTTCAACTCTCAGAATTCCATGGTCAAGTTGAGAAACACTGCTTTAGAGCAACACTTCTCAAAAACAACATAAGAGAAGGTGGACAATTGTGCAAGAATCAAGTAAGTTCAGATCAGTGATTTTTACAGAAGGGAGGGAGGGAGGGAGGGAGGAAGGATGGATGGATGGATGGATTATGCTCAGTTATGCTCAATTTTTGAACAAGTTTCCCACATCCCAGCTTTAGACTCACAGTCTACTCGTAGCTCAGCTTTTGTTGAAGACACCCCCATGCTGTTTTCAGCCACACAGCGGTAGACCCCCATGTCAAGAGGGACCACCGCCGTGATGATCAGTTGATGACATCCTTCCTGGTCCTCATTGATCATGTAGTGGTCATCCTCTTCAAGAACACGGCCATCTTTAAACCACCGGACAGTCGGCATCGGCTTGCCAATCACCACACAATCGAAACTGACCGGGTAACCATCCTGCACCTCTTGATTTTGAAGCTCAGTGATGAAGATCGGAGCTAGAATGCATAAAGAACAATAAAAGCAAAACTATATGTCTGTCTCCTCCTTCTCTCCACAAACCTCACTCCCTTCTAGCACTAATGATGTTCTTTAGCTGGGTCATGAAACATCTACAAGAAAACAACTAAACTCAGAGAGCACCAAGAATCTCACAGTTCCTTCTCCTCTTCCTCCTCCTCATTTTCTTCCTTCTCCTTCTTGTCTATCTACTGCTCCTTCAGCTTTTCCTTCTCCTTTAACTTTTGGTCCAGCCCTCAAGAAGGTGGTCCTTATACCATTTCAGACAAATGACTGTTCTGTCTCTTCTTGAAAACCTCCATTAATGGAGCACCCACAACTTCTAGAGGCAAGCCGTTGTGCTGATGGATTGCTCTCATTGCTAGGAAGTTTCCTTGTAATTTAGGTTGGTTCTCTCCTTAATAAGTTTCCATCCATTACTTCTAATGTCCTTCAGGTGCTTTGGGAAATAGGTTCACCCCTCTCTTATTTGTAACATTCCCTCAAGTATTGGAAGATTGCTATCACTCTTAGTCCTTCTCTTTATTAGACTTAACATACCTAGTTCCCTCAATTGTTCATCATGTTAGCCTCCAGATCTCTGATCTTTGTTGCTCTTCTCTGAACTCTTTCTATGGTCTCATCACCGTTTTTGTACAATGGTGACCAGAATTGGACACAGTATTCCAAATACGGTCTCATCGGTGCAATGTAAAGCGGTACTAACACTTCACCTTAATCTGATTTATTGGTACACGTGCCTATGTGCAGGAATCTTCTCAACTAACAGTTAGTACCTGCTAGGAGTTAGATAAGGGTCAATAGAATTCAAGGGCAATTGGATTTAGTTCACTTGTGATTACATAGGGATTCTAGGCTGATGCCTCTTTTGACACTACCACCGGGTCCTGCCACTCCTCCTCCTACAAAACCTTGTGTACTTACCAGTATCAGAGGTCAGCAAAGTAGGTGGTGGCCGTTGAACCAAAGTCCGCAACTGTCCTGCAGGTGGTGAAGTGGCTTTCCCAATACGCAACTCTATCTTTTTAGGACCCTGGTCCAAAATGTCAATCTCAACAGGAATACCCATAGCAGCAAACATCTCCCGAAACCGGCCTGCAGCTGTTTTGGCCTCCATGTGAACTTCAAACTTAATGTAGATGTAGCGTTCGTCTTCCCGATAGGTCTGACGATCCACTGCCTCGATCTCTCCCTCGTCCGCGCTGACAAACAGTTCCTCGTCGACGTCGGAGATCTCGGTGGAGATTTTGGACTTGAATAGCTTGTGGAGTCTCCGTCCAGCTTTACGAAAAGCGTCGTCTAATTCACTGCCGGACGAGCTCTCTGATTCACTGTCGGGAAGCTGCTTGGCGGGTTTCGGTTTGCGAGAAGGTGCTTGAGGTTGGATGGTCACCTTGGCACTGTGGGAGACCTTGCCAAATTTATTGGACGCTTCGCAGGTGTACTTGCCCTTGTCGTTCATTTCCACACCGGCAATAATTAAGGAACAGGTCCCATCGTTGTAATTGTCTATGTGATAATGCCGCCCATCCTTAATTTCATTCCCATCTTTCAGCCAACTGACTGTCATGTCTGTTTTGCTGTGGACCATGCACTCCAGATGGAGGGTGTCTCCTATCTTGCCAACAAAGTCCTTGAAGGTCTCAGCAAAGACCGGACGTTCCTGCTGTTTGATTTCCTTTCTCACTTTGTAACCTTTGAAGGCAGCTTGGATTTTGACTGCAGCTTGAGATATAGAAGGGTCCTCCAAGTCACCTTCAGTGATCTCCATTTCAGTTGACTCTGCAGGAGGAGATGGTTCTTTACTGACCTTCTGCTGATCTTGAGGTACTTTCTCTACGGCTTTGCGACTGACACTCACTGTGATTGATCCAGCCTTCTTAAGGTAGGTGATTAAGGAAGGTGTCCCGGCTCTGGATTCATCATCTGAACTTGTGATGGAGAAATCTGCTTCTCCAGCTTTTGCAGATTCATCGCAAGTAGAGTATTCCTCGGAGTAGTATTGGGTTATCTCCACTTCCTCCTTCTTCCTCTTCTGAAGCTTGTCGTCTTCTTCGGGCAGTTCACTGATTGAATCCAAGGTCGGCTCACGACTCATCCTCCGCTTCTTGGCCAGAGCTTCCCACAGAAGGTGGAGGTCACCTTCCTGAGCAGCTTCGGGTGGCAAGCTGGGTTGAACCTCTTCATCCGCTACCTTCATTAGCTCTTTAGAGATTGGTGCTTCCTCAACCATTTCTTTCAACATGGACACTGGAGAATCTAAGAAATGAAATGGTGAGATTATTATTAGGAAGTCAGGACATGGCAACTTCTAGACATAAAAGAAGAGGAAGATCTACAGGACAATCTAAATTTTGCAAATTCCCATTCAACAGATTTTAGAATCAATTAATCAATAATCAACCAATCAATCTAGATTAAGTATTAGGTAGTCCTCGATTTAAGGTCACAACTGAGCCAAATTTCCATTGCTAAGCAAGGCATTTAAGTGAGTCACACCTCATTTTACAACCTTTTTTGCAATGCTTCTTCTTCTCTCAGAATCACTGAAGCTGTTAAGCGAATCACATGGGTGTTAAGTGAATCTGGCTTCCCCCATTGACTTTGCTTGTCAGAAGCTGGCTGGGAAGGTGATCACATGATCCTGGGATGCTGCGACTTGTAAAAACATACTGATTTTCAAGTGCCCGATTTTTGATCACATAAACATAGGGATGCTGTGACAGTCATGTGAGATCTTTGATGCTGCAATGGTCGAAAGTGTGAGAACCAGTCATAAATCACTTGTTTCAGTAAAGGTAGTCATTGACTTACAACCATTCATGTAATGACCATTCAACGTTACAATAGCACTGAGAAAAAGTGACTTACAACCGCTTCTCACACTTTCAACCATTGCAGCATCCCCATAGTCAGGAACTCAATATTCTGGCTCTGAGCAGCCAGCTCGTATATGTGACTGTTGCAGCATCCTGGGAATACTTGATCTCCATTTATGATCTCCCAGGCAGTTTGGGACAAGCAAAGCTAATGGGGGAAACCAGATTCACTTAATGACATTATAATTCACTTAGCAACTGCAGTGATTTGCTTAACAACCCTAACAAAAGAGATCCTAAAATCGGACGAGACTCACTTAATAATCTTCTTGCTTAGCAACAGAAGTTCTAGTCCTAGTTGTGCTTGTCTCTGCTGGTTAATGACCCCGATACAACTACATGACTTGTGGTCGTAAGTCAAGAATTACCTGTATGGATTCTAACTTACCGTCAATCGAAAGAGTGGCAGAAGTTTTGATTTCAGGTGAGGCGATGCAGGTGTAGGATCCTTCATCTTCAGATTTAAAATCGTGTATGATGAGTGTCTGTTTTTTGCCTTCGGAGATGATTTCATATCGTCCTCCAGGTTGGATTGGTTCTTTCCCTTTGACCCAAATCACCTCTTGGGTCTCACTGGACAATTCGCACTGCAACTTGGCCTTCTCTCCTTGCGTGGCAGACTGGTCAACCAAAGGCTGAGTGACTTCAACAGGTTCTAAAATTCAAAACACGAAAACCAATTTACAGGTAGTCCTCAACTTGCAACCATTTGTTTAGTGACCATTCAAAGTTACAACAGCACTGAAAAAAGTGACATATGACTGTTTTTTCACACTTATGACCACTGCAGTATCCCCGCAGTCATGCGATCAAAATTCAGACACTTGGCAACTGGTTCATATCTCATACAAGGAAAATGTAAAAAGGTTACACACACACATTTACAATAGTAAAATTAATGCAGCAAGAAAGAAAGAGAAAAAGAGAGAAAAGTGCAAAGGACAAGATAAAAGAATAGAAAATAGAAAGCACAAAAAGTAAAGAAAGTAAAAGTATAGTGGAGATTGAAAATATATTTCAATAGTCATACAATACACTCTTTATCCTCTCTTGGTTTAAAACCAGTGATTTCTTCATTCCATATCCCATTTTTTAATCTATAGACAAATCCATAAAGCAATATTTTTTGAGTCCTCGGTCAGCAGAAAATCCATTAAGGGTTACCAGAAATAACAACACATTTTATTTGAACCTTGGTCAAATAAACCAGCTCTATAAGCCTTTCTTTTACTTCTGAAAGTTTTAATCTTTAGTCCACTCAAGAATTGTTGTAGAATCTGATTTTTTTAAAATTTCTTCTAATCCAACCATCTTGTTTCAGAAGGAAGGTCCCTTCCGTTTTTCTGTTCTTCTGTTATTCTTCTTTGTCCTTTCTCACAAGATTATTCAAACCTGTAACAAGCTTGTTTTGTAAATCCAATATAAAAGAATTATCCAGGTTACTCTCTTGGTGAATTATCTGTATTTCCCCTTTGAGTTTTAAAACATCAACTGAGTTAAAACAGCAAGTGTGACATCCTTTCCATGTCATTCTCATAACTGTCATTGCCACCTGTCATCTTTGTCTTGTTAAAAAATATTCTTAATCTACCACTGTTTCCAAAATATTTTGGGACACTGTTTATCCTGTTTATCTATAATAGCAAACCTCACTTCTGACATTTTTGTTACTAATTTATAAATTCCATTTTTCAAAAGTGCCCTTCAATATTTTCAATGTTATTTTTTGTTTGCATCATTTTATATGTTCCAGTTAATTAGTTGTGAAGACGTGCAGTTTAGAAATGTGAAAAATAAACAAACAAGCAAACAAACAAACAAACAAACAAACAAACAAACAAACAAATGGTATTTAGCTCCCCCTGGTGTCCGATTTTTAAAATTGCTTTTCTTTTATTTTGTCTTGCAATAGTCAAAACAAATCTATTTCCCACCAGAAGGATTCTTTATAATTAATTCCAAAAACATATTCTAAATGCATTTGGTCCCTTAATCTGTTTATAATTTTCTAAGAAAAAAAAAATCTCACTTAGCTGTTTGTTGTTTATTTCATTTTTTTAAAAAAATTATTAAGCTTGTCCCGAGAGGTTCTTAAGAAGCAGTCTACTCAGAAGACTCATAAAACTGGAGGGGACCTTGGAGGTCTTCTAGTCCAACCCCCTGCCTAAGGCAGGAGTCCTGATTCCACCCGGTCAAATGGTTTTCCAACCTTTTCTTCTAAACCTCCAGTGATGGAACACCCACAGCTCCGAGAAACAAGCTGGTGCATGGATTTATTGTTCTCACTGTCAAGAAATTTCTCCTTAATTCCAGGTTGTTTCTCTCCTTGATAAGTTTCCATCTGTTGTTTCTTGTCCTGCTTTCAGGTGCTTTGGAGAATAAGTTGACCCTTTCTTCTCTGTGACAGCCCGTCAAATATTGGAACACTGCTATTATGTCACCCCATATCTTTCTTTTCTTTAGACTAGACCTGTGAGGGCGAACTTATGGCATGCGTACCATCGCCAGCTGCTCTTCTGGTTTCCGCCATGCGCATGCATGCGCTGGCCACCTGGTCTTTGGATTTCCGGTGCTCCGGCACATGCACGCAGATGCACGCACACATTCCGGTTTGGGAAAATGTTTGCCATTACTAGACTAGACATACATAGCTCCTTCAATCGTTCATTATAGGCTTAGTCTGCAGCCCCCTAATCATCTCTGTTGCTTTTCTCTGCACTATTTTTTAGGGTCTTAACATCTTTTTTGTATCATGGTAACGAGAATTGGATGTAGTACAGGTAGTTCTTGACGTACAACCACAATTAAGCCCAAGACTTCTGTTGCTAAGTGGGATGTTTGTTAAGTGAGTTTACCCCATTTTACGATCTTTCTTGCCACAGTTGTTTAGTGAATCACTGCAGTTGTTAATGTTAGTAACACAATTTTTAAGCGAATTTGGCTTCCCCATTGTCTTTGCTCATCAGAAGATCGCAAAAGGGGAACCCCAGGACACTGCGACCATCACAAATATGAGTCAGTTGCCAAGCATCTGAATTTTGTTCATGTGACCATGGGGATGCTGCAACAATCATAAATGTGAGAAACAGTCATAAGTCATTTTTTCAGAGCCGTTGTAACTTTGAATGGTTATTAAATGAACTGTTGAAAGTCGAGGACTACCTGTATTCCAAGTGTGGCCTAACCAGTGCAGTATAAAGCAATACTATCATTTCTTCTGACCTTGATGCTATCCATTTGTTGCTGCAGCCTAGGATTGCATTAGTTTTTTTGGCTGCTGCAGCACACTGCTGGCTCATACATAAGTGATGATCCACTAGGACTCCTAGATCCCTCTCACAGTTGCTATTGATGAGCCAGATATCACCAATTCTTTTCCTGTGCATTTGATTTTTCCTGCCTAGGTGCAGGACCTTACTTTCCTGACTACTGACTCTGATTGGATACAGCCCAATATTCACTAACTGTTCATTCTTTGTTGTGCTGAACAACTTCGCTTTTCATGCAAACTTCTTCTATGTCCATTTCTTCCTCTAGAAGGGATAATTTTGCATCCATCCTCAATTAAAGACTTAGCATATAGAACATAGTACATAGAATAATAATTTATAATAATAATAGGAAGGACCTTGGAGGCTTTCTAGTCCAACTCCCTGCTTGAGAAAGAGACCCGAAATCATTCTAGACAAATGGTTGTCCAGTCACTTTTTGAAAGCCTTCAGTGATGGAGCATCCACAATTTCTGAAGGGACAATTTCTGACTTCTGATTGGTTAATTGCTCTCACCATTAGGAAATTTCTCCTTAGTTCTAAATTGCTTCTCTCCTTGATTAGTTTCCACCCATTGCTTCTTGTCCTGCCTTCAAGTGCTTTGGAGAATAGCTTGACTCCCTCTTCTTTGTGAGATATTGGAACTCTGCTCTCATGTCTCCTCTAGTCCTTCTCTTCATTAAACTAGACATGCCCAGTTCCTGCAACCGTTCTTCATATGTTTGAGCCTCCAGTCCCCTCATCATCTTGGTTGCTCTTCTCTACATTCTTCCAAGAGTCTCAACATGTTCTTTATATTGTGGTGACCAAAATCATTTGGAATATTCCAAGTGTGGTCCTACTAAGGCTTTGTAAAGGCATACTAGAACTTCACGTGGTCTTGATTGTATTCCTCTATTAATGCAACCTAGGATTTCATTGGCTTTCTTGGCTGCTGAAGTACACTGCTGGCTCATGTTTAAGTGATTGTCCACTAGGATGCTAAGATCCCTTTCGCAGTTACTGGCATTAACCCAAGTTTCACCTGTACAGTTGGTTTTTCTTACCTAATTGTAGAACCTTACTTTTATCTATCTTGAATTTAATTTTGATAGATAGGGCCCAGTGTTCAGTGTGATCATTTGCATCAGTCCTATCCTGTACATAAGTTGCAAGAAAACAGTTACCTGTTCCAACTTACCTATGATGGTCAGTTTTGCAGACACAATAGCATCTCTGGCAGCGAAGGTTATCTCCCCAGAGTGGAGAAGCTGAGCTTTCTTTAGGATGAGTTTGTAGGTATTTTCTTCAACTTCAGTTCTCCAATTTTCATCTGGCTGGATGTCTACGTCATTAAGATACCAGGCAGTCTCATAGATGGGTACTGCTTCACTTAACACGCAGCTGAAGACGGCTTGTTCCCCAGCGCGGACGGTGACATCCTTCAGCGGCTGCAAGAATTCCAGTCTCCATCCTGAAACAATCAGAAATGACACCATCAATCCTTTCAAAGCAAGGAAGAAATTGAGAAGTTGGGAAATTTTGGGGATTTTTTTTTTAAATCCAAGAAATACAGGTAGTCCTCAACCTGCAACAGTTCTTTTAGTGACCATACGAAGTTACAACAGTGCTGAAAAAGGGACTTATGATCATTTTTCAAACTTATGACCATTGTAGCATCCACATGATCAAATTCAGATGCTTGGCAACTAACTCATATTTATGACAGTCGTAGGGTTCCAAGGTCAAAAAATGGGGTAAAAGTCAATTAACATGTCTTACTTAGCAACATAAATTTTGGGCTCACTTATGGTCGTAAGTTGAAGACTACCTGTACATGAAAATGGATCCTATTTCCTGGCTGTATTGCTAACTGGTAAAGTATCGTGGCTGCTATATATGTTTAATGTGGTTACTGCTGCTGTTTTTTATTATCTTAAAATGTTTTTAGTATTTTAATTGTGACTTTTTTTTAAATTGTAAGCTATCCACAGTTATTGACTGAGATGGATAGCTATAGAAAAGTAGTCCTCCACTTAAAGAGTTCGTTTAATGACCACTTGAAATTACAATGGCACTGGAAAAAGGGAATTATAAAGACACAAGAACAGTTTTTTCCCAAACGCCATCACTCTGCTAAACAAATAATTCCCTCAACACTGTCAAACTATTCACTAAGTCTGCACTGCTATTAATCTTCTCATCGTTCCCATCACCCATCTCCTCCCACTTATGACTGTATGACTGTAACCTTGTTGCTGGTATCCTTAAGATTTATATTGACTGTTTCCCTATGACTATCATTAAGTGTTGTACCTTATGATTCTTAACGAATGTATCTTTTCTTTTATGTACTCCGAGAGCATATGCACCAAAACAAATTCCTTTTGTGTCCAATCACACTTGGCCAATAAAGAATTCTATTCTATTCTATGACCATTTTTCACATTTAACAACCATTGCAGCATCCCCATGGTCATGTGATCAGAATGCTTGGCAACTGATTCATATTTATGACGGTTGCACTGTCCCGGAGTCACAGGATCCTCTTTTGTGACCTTCTGACAAGCAAACTCAATGGGGGAAACCAGATTCACTTAATAACAGTGTTATTAATTTAACAACTGCAGTGATTCCCTTAATAAATGTGGCAAGAAAGGTGACAGAACTATCTCGCTTAGCAACAGGAATTTTGGGCCCAGTTGTGGCCGTAAGTTGAGGACTACCTGTATCTGATTGTCTCATGCAGCAAGATATTTGATTGTCACCTTTTACGGTCAAGAAAGCAGACGTGACCACATCGCTCGCTTGAAAGGTCACCCTGCAGCTGTCTTGGACTTTGAGGTTCTTTAGAAGCAGAAGATGGCGAAGCCCATTTTCAAAATAAACCAGTTCCACGTTTTCAGATGTTTTTGCCGGTACATCATCGATTAGCCAGTTATAATTGTAGATTTCTGGTTTGGAAAGATAACACTCAAAGAGGGCTTCCCCTCCTTCCATCGCATCCACGTTCTCGAGGCCCTGGATGACTGTGTTCTTGGCTGTTAGGACAAAAAATAATAATGGAATTAATAATAAAAAAGGCCTCAATCCCTGACTTTCCCATCATATGGGCAGTCCTCGCCTTGCAACTGTTTGTTTAGTGACCATCTGAAGTTACAACAGCCCGAAAAATTGACTTAGGACTGGTTCTCACACTTACGACTGTTGCAGCATTCCCACGGTCACATGATCAAAATTCAGGTGCTTGGCAGCTGACTCATAGATATGACAGTTGCAATGTCCTGGGTTCATGTGATCACCCTTTGTGACTTTCTCAGACAGCTTCCGATTAGCAGAGTCAATGGAAGAAACCAGATTCATTTAACTGCAGTGTGATTACCTAACAACTGCAGTGATTCACTTAACAACCATGGCAAAAAAGGTGATAAAATGAGGCATGACTCATTTAAAAACAGCCTTACTTAGCAACAGAAATGTTGGGCTCAACTGTAGTTGTAGATTGAGGACTACCTATATAGCATTTAAATTAGCTGGAAATAATAAGAATAAGTATTATATATTATATGTATAATATATATTTATATACATTTAATATAAATTATGCATATAGTTTATATATTATATATAAAAAGTATGAGTTACATATACACACACATACATATTATATATATAATGTATAATATTACATATATTACATATATAACATAACTGGATATTATATTGATACAATATATAAAATATAACAATAATAAGACCTTAGACGGATTGCAAACTTGATTCGTTTGCAATGCTTTATATTCAAAAAATGAAGTGACCAACATCTTTAGCTGAAATTCAACTTTTATTTTGATATACCAGTAGGTTAAGTTTTGGAAAGGAGAAAGGGTTTTTATAGGAATAAGTTGTGATTTAGGAGATTCTACAGAGAGAATCAAACATGATATATTTTTTTTAATAAAGTGGAAATTTACTTGCATGGTTACAACCTCTGTGAATTTTTTAAACCTTCTTCTCTATGGAGTAGTCGCCAATTAGGATCGTAATATTGTAAGGAAGAATTAATTACACACTAAGATTTGGCTCTGCTGGATTTCAACAAGGGCAAGAGAAGGGTTCAAATCATGCCAAAAACTTCCCAAAATTGTATGTGATAATAAATTAAAATAAAGGTGAACTCTGCAGGTGTCTTGCCTGGGACACAAGGAAGTGATAACAGGCTGCACATGTTGCTTTGGTACCCATGGTGATTTCCTCTTTAATTACAGGTAGTCCTTGACTTACAATCATTCATTTAGTGACTGTTCGAAGTTACAATGGCACTGAAAAAAGTGACTTATGACCTCTTTTCACATTTACAACCATTGCAGCCATGGTCTCATGATCAAAATTCAGGCACTTGGCCACTGACTCATATTTACGACGGTCGCAATGTCCTCAGGTTCCCCTTTTGCAATCTTCTGACAAGCAAAGGCAATGGGGAAATCTGATGCATCTAATAACTATGTTACTAATTTAACAACTGCAGTGATTTGCTTAGCAACTTTAAAAAGAAAGGTTGTCAAATGAAGAAAAACTTATTTAACAAATATCTCGCTTAACCACATAAATTTCGTAGGTCAAGGACTGCCTGTATGTTTTTCAGATGCCATAGAAAATGTTTCTGTAAGGAACTGTGAATAATGCCAATGAAATTCAAGCCTACAACATTTATTTATTTATGTCCCACCTTCATTATTCTTTTATAAACAACTCAAAACAGTTAACATATTGTAATACTCCTTCTTCCTCCTATTTTCCCCACATCAACAACCCTGTGAAGTAAGGTGGAACTAGAACTCAAGCTTAATGGTGATTGGTCCAAAGATACCCACCCATCTTGTGTGCCTAATGCAGGACTAGAATTCACCATCTCCTGGGCTAAAGTTCCCCAGTTCCTCCCCTAAAGGAGGACTAAAACTCACAGTCTCCCAGTTTCTAACTTGGTTCCTTAACCTTTACTTGATCTTGGCTGGTGCAGAAACTGTAAGCATGTGGTACAGTTATGTTTTTTTAATGTCCATAATAAAAGACATAATTTGGTCTTTTTTTTTATTATCACAAAGCTTTACTCAAAATGACTTTATTTAAAAATGGGCAGATGTTTTTTTACAGAGTTCAAAAGAACCCGACAGCCAAGCATTAAAAAAATATAATGCAAATAATAAAATCATTAAAAATATTAAATAATCTCAGAACAGTAGACGAGCCAGATAATAAAGCATATTTCATAAAATATGCCTTTCAAAAGCTTCAGCTCCAAGTAACAGCAGATGACCATTAAGTTTGCAGTTTCACAGAGCAATTACAAAATGTTTTAGGCTGCTCAAATGCATTGCTGAGTTATCCTTACAACAGCCCTGTAAGGTAGGCCAGGATTCCTGTTCTCCTACTGTGTATAAAACAACTGAATTGCTGATGTTAACATGTGCTAAGAACATGCGTCACCTCAAAATTCTCATTGATCATCTGAATTTCTCTGTGAAAAGTAAGAGCCTAAAAATTTAATATGAATGCTTACCAATAGAAGAAAATATTTGTGGCTTGGGTTTGAACTGTGGGGTCTTTGGTGCTCTCAGAGCTTTATTGTTTACTTGCAGACATTTCACGATCCAACTAGGTAACAGCATCAGTGTTAGAAGGGAGTGAGGTTCTAGCTTCTAGCACTGATGATGTTATCTAGTTTGGTCGTGAAATGTCTGCAAGGAAACCACCAAGCCCAAAGAGCATCAAGGACCGCACAGTCCTCCTCTCTGCAAACTGACCTCCCTTCTAGCACTGATGATGTAATCAAATTGGTCATGAAACATCTGCAAGAAAACAACCAAGCTCAGAGAGCCTGCATGAAAGTTTATGTTCTTACAAGGTTTTCCTGTTCCCCAACACCGGCTATAAGCGAACCCCTTTGTAAAGATCAAATTTCCCCTTGCTCTTTGATCTCCAAAAGCTAGTCGCTTAACCGGTGAAACGACTTTGCCTCCAGAAGTTGCTCCAACACTGGAGGCTTTTAAGAAGAGATTGGACAACCATTTGTCTGAAATGGTATAGGATCTCCTGCTTGGACAGGGGGTTGGGCTAGAAGACCTTCAAGGTCCCTTCCAACTCTGTTATTCTGGTATTAGTCACCAAAAGGAAGTTGGTTTGGCCCTCGTGTCAGCTGCGGCGTTCACATGATCATCTTCTTCCATTGTGGCTGACCTCACCTTGAACGTCAAGCATGGCCACCACTTTGGTGCCTCCAGCTTCACAAGAGTAAATCCCCGTGTCACAAGGGAAAGTCGGCTTGATTTTCAATTTGGCCACGTTCCAGTCCTGCTCAACCACAATTCGCTGGCCATCTTCTCGAAGAGGTTGATCGTCCTTCTTCCAGATGGCCTGCACTGGCCGAGAATACTGGCAGATGAATTCCGCGGTCCCGTCTTCTTCCAGAGTTAGGTCCTGCATGGGGCTGACCACCTCAATGGTCGGATCTGTCAACCGATAGGTCAGGTGTTAGTGCAGGCTTGGGGGAATATTTATGGAAACTTTTTTGCTTTTAAAGAAGGACTCTCAGCGGGTTGTGTGAAAGCAGGGATCAGAAGCACTCTTTAGTTTGCTAAGATGCTTTAATGCTTGTTTGGCTCAGCGATGAAAATGATAAAAGCATGTAGGTTAGCTAAGGAGGCAGCAGATCATTGGTGACTGAATGACTGAAAGCAGGTTTGCCTAATTTAGAAACTGCTAATTTAGAAACTCTCCAGAGGTGTAGACTGCAACTCCCAGAATTCCTCAGCCAGCCTGGAGATTGCAGAGAATTCTGGAAGCTGAACTATTGAGGAAGTTGGTCAGGTTAAGTCCTTTTTCCTAAAATCATAGTCCTCAACTTACAATCATTTGTTTAGCAATCATCCAAAGTTACAACGGCACTGAAAAAAGTGACTTGGCCGGTTTTCACACTTACGATCATTGCAGCATTGCAGTCATGTGATCAAAATTTAGGTGCTTGGTATTTATGATGGTTGCAGCATGCTGGGGTCACATGATCACCATTTGAGACCTTCCCAGTCAGCTTTTGACAAGCAAGGTCAATGGGGAAAGATTCAGTTAGCAACCACACGATTCATTTAACTGCAATGATTCGCTTAACAACCATGATAAATCGGTCATAAAATCGGTCAGGATTCACTCAACAATCACCTTTCTTAGCAATGGAAATTCTGGTCACAATTGTGGTTATAAACTGAGGATTATCTACAGACAAAGTTACACCTGTAGTAGTTACTGTGCTCAGATGGATATTTAAACATCTCTGAAAATCTCCCATTTGCATCACCTTGGCCTGTAGCTGTAGTTTATTATTAATTAAATTATTAAATATTATTAATTAAATTTGTATGCTGTCCATCTTGTATCAAGCGACCCTATTCGTGACTGGCTCATTTGCAGATGATAACCACCAAACAAGATTGAACTGAAAGCTATTTTGTTGGAATTGTTTCAGCTGCCCTACAAAAGATTGCAAAAGCACCTAAAACCAGATACGTATTTATTTTATTTATTAAACCTTTATGCCGCCAGTATTTATGACAATTCAGCAGATCCAACACAGGGAATCACCAGATGCTCCTAAATCTATTATATGCTGTTGTAAGTTTTCCAGGGTCACTTTAGAATAGCGAGACAGGCAGCATATAAATTTAAGAATAAATAAATATCTTTCAAGGACAGTGAGTAAGGTGCAGGATTGTGCTTAAGGTAGTGGTGCCTAGTGGTTAATACATTCCTTCCAGGAGCTGTTTCGCAGGAATTGGTTAGGGGTCCAGTGACACAAGGAACAAGCGTAGCATGGTGGTCGCCTGACATGGAAAGCCTGAAATACCTTTGATTAATAATTTAGCCGAGGATATCAGAGAACCCACTCGGAAGGTCACTGTTCCTGAATCATTGAGACCCAGGTCTTTTAAGATCAGCTTGTGAATGGTCCCATCTTGCACCGAGATTTCATTTGCAGTGCTGTTGTGAAGAGGCGAGCCGTCCAACCACCACTGTGCATTTTGTGTTCCGGATCGGGAGAGCTCGCAGGTAAAAGTAGCTGATTCCCCGGCAAAAATATCCGTGTTCTTTAAACCAGAAACTATCTGTGTTTCCTCTTCTGTGTAACAGAGGAAGAGAACGCACGCAACGGAGGTGTAAAAATGGACCATCTTTGTGTTTCTACTCATCTGACAACATGAATCGTTTCGCCAGGAGAGATGTTGCAAAATTAGCACCCAAGATTAAAACTGTGCAAACTTTGCACTGAAACCTACAAGAGTACAGGAGTCCTTGACTTACACCCATTCGTTTTGCGGCCAAAGGTAATAATGGCACTGAAAAAAGGGACTTACAACTGGTCCTCGCACTTATGACCATTGCAGGATCCCTACAGTCACGTGTTTAAAATTCAGATGCTTGTAAACTAGTGTCCCAGCATCATGCGATTACCCTTTGTGATCTTCCCAGTTGGCTTCTGAGAAGCAAAATCAATGGGAAAAGCTGGATTCACTTAATGACTGTGTGATTCACCTAACAATCATGGCAAAAAAAAAACACAAATCAGATGCACCTCATTTAACAACTGCCTTGCTTAACAAAGGTATCAATTGTGGTTATAAGTCGAGGACTACCTGTCAGCATATCCCAGAAATTATCTTTTTTATTTCTATTCTGATTTTTCACATAGCTGGCAAGATACAGCTCTCAGCTAACTAATAGACTCAACCAAGAAATCAACTCGACAAGAAGACTAAAATTACTTTTATTCATGTTGATTTATAACAACAGGATCTTGAAAAATCTGGCTATGCTTTACCAAAGGTGTCCCCACCTTGGTTCCCCCCTCCCCCTTGGCCACCAGGCAGTGTGAGTGGCTGGCCAGTGCATGCATGTGTGCACGCGCACACACACACGCACACACTTGTGCTAATGCTGCCATGAGCGTCGTGTGGGCGCTAGTGTTGCCATGAACTTCACGTGGGTGCGAGCATTGCTGCAAGCGTCATGCGGCGCTAGTGTCCTTGCAAGCTGGCGGTCCCATTTGCGTTGCACGCAAGCAGACTTGTGGTCCTGTCTGCGCTTGCGCAGGCATGAGTAAAGGTGCCTGCCCCTTTCCCCCGGGCCACCAACCCGGAAAAGTTGGGGACTCTGCTTCATGTCTCCCCTTATATTCATGTGAATTAGAGAGAGTGTCAACGTGAATCTTTTGCAAACATGTTTTTGTTTTCGACTGAAACTATATTTTCCTCCTTGCTGCTTTCCTAACAGATCTGGCCTAACTCTATAAAGGTCACCTTCCTTATTTTCCACAGCATCTCATCAGCTCCTTAAAACACTTTTAGCAAAAGTGGACTGCAATAAAATAATGAGAGTTTCCATTTGGTCATTCACTGAACAAATAAAATACACACATCCATGGATGCAATTTTTTTAGCCACAATATGGAATGTTCTTCCTTCTTCTTTTTTTGCACTTTCCCTCCCTCCCAAATGCTAATCAGGCCTCATGCTGCTTAACTTTTCAAAATCATCCAAAATCATACATTAATCTTTTTTTAAAAGCAATCTCACACCAGAACTGCAGAAGTAAACTGCAGTAAGCATCCTACATATTAGTCATCTATACAACAAGGTGGCCTACACGCCAAAGAGATATTTTGTTTAGGATCATTCATTTTTTCAGATCCACTGAACTCCCTGGTGACAATGTTAGAAAGATTGATTTGCTTCCAAACCTTATTTAATAACAGGAAAAGGCACAAAACAGATGCATGAGTTCCGTTTTTATGTATAGAAATAACCTTAAAAGGAAACAACTTGAAAATAAAGAGGAATTCTCTGGTCTATGTAGCAATGGAATAGCCTGTCTTGAGGTCCACTGATTAATTGCTATCCCTGACAGGAAATTTCTCCTTATTTCTAGGCTGGAGCTCTCTTTGATAATCTTCTACCCGTTGCTTCTAATCCTTTCCTCAGATGCTTAGGAGAATAGAATTATAGAGTAACCGAGTTGGAAGAGACCTTAGAGGTCTTCTAGTCCAACCCTCTGCTCGAGCAGGAGATTCTATTCCATTTTGGAAAAATGGCTGTCCAATCTTATCTTAAAAACTGCAAGTGTTGGAGCACCCACAACTTCTGGAGACAAGCCATTCCACTGATTAATTGTTCTCACTGTCAGGAAATTTCTTTTTAGTTCTAATTTAACTGAATCTCTCCTTGATTAGTTTCAATTTGTTGCTCCTTATCCTGGCTTCAGATGTTTTGGAGAAAAGGTTGACCCTCTCTTCTTTCTCGCGGCCACTCAAATATTGGAAGATTGCTATCATGCCACCCCTAGTCATTCTCTTTGTGAGACAGTTCCTGCAACCATCCATCATGTGCTTTACTCCCCTAAACAAAAATCATTATCTTTGTTGCTCTTCTCTGCACTTTCTAGTCTCAATCTGTTTTTGTAATTTGGTGACCACAAAAGGACACAACATTCCAACTGTGGTGTAACCAGTGCAGTACAAAGCAGCCCTAACACTTCCAGAGATCTTGATACTATCCCTCCGTTGACAAGTTTGACAACATAAAATCAACCGGCTGCAGCATTTACAAAATACAGGTAAGAATTAGGAGCGTACCTGGTATATATACCGAGGCTGTGGACAGCTCATCCCCAGTGCTGCATGTATACGATCCACAGTCCTCCGGTTCCAAGTCATAGATGATCAGCTCAACCGTGGGGCCTTTCTGCTTCATCTCGTACTTGGCACTGGGCTGCAGAATGAGGGATCCTTTCCGCCACTCGACAGGAGTGTTGGGACTTGAGATTTTGCCACACAGGACAGCTTTCCCTCCGGTTTCTGACTCAATGTTTTGCAAGCCTTCTTCAAAGAAGACGGGTAACACTACCAGGGAGAAATGACACAAGTGTTATGATGCCTCTGATGCCCTTTTCAGACATTTAAACAATACCTCTACAGGTATATATGCCTTATTTTGAGATGCTTCTGACATAAAAAACTCTAAAGGCATACTACAGGTGGTCCTCGACTTATGACCTCAACTCAGTCCCATATTTTTGTTGCTAAGTGAGACATATGAGTTTTGCCCCATTTTATGACTTTTTTGCCACAGTTATTAAATGAATCACCACAGTTGTTAAGTTAGTAACATGTTTGTCGAGTGAATCTGGCTTCCCCTTTGATTTCACTTGTCAGAAAGTCATAAAAGAGGGTCATGTGACCATGGAACACTGCAATCATCACAAGTATGAGTCAGTTGCCAAGCGTCTGAATTTTGATCACGTGAATGCTGCAACAGTTATAAGTGTGAAAAATGGTCATAAGTCATTTTTTTCAATAATGTTGAACTATCACTAAATGAACATAAAATTTAAAATATAAAATACAAGATTAAAATATGTACAAATTAAATAGATCTTGCCCAGAAGCTAGCAACATCAATTGTGTTCTGTTATGCTGCCATGAGGTCCTTAAGTCTACGCCGATCAGGACCCAAAAGGCAAGTATATATATATGTGTTGTTGTCTGAATGTCACCACAATCGCAAAGAGCAGAAGCAACCAGATAGCCCCATTTGTGCAGAGTGTTTCTGAATCTTGAGGTACCTGTGTGCAGTCTACAGTTTACAACCATCTGCTTAGCACCAAAGTTAATAAAAGTTATAACAACACTGAAAGGAGTGATGAATGACTGGTTCCTGCACTTATGACAGTTGCAACATCCATACCAAATTTGTGTGCTTGGCAACAGGCAAGTATTTAAAATGGTTGCAGCATCCCAAGGTCACGTGATCCCCATTTATGATCTTCCTAGCTGGCTTCCAACAAGCAAAATCGATGGGAGAAGTCACATTCACTTAATGACTACTTGATTTACTTAACAGCCTCATTGGTTCACCTAACAGCCATGACAAAAAAGATTATAGAATAGGTGTGACTCACTTAACAACTGCCAAGCTTAGCAATGAAAATCCTGGTACCATTTGTGGCTGTAAACTATAATTCCCAGCTAATTCATACAATGGAGAGAATTATTCCAAGAAAGCAAATGCAGCTACACATAAAGGAGGAAGTCACTAAATGAAACATGGCCCCTCCCAAGGAAAATGTTGCAATATTTTCAGGATCAGACTCAATAAGATCAACAAGAGTTAAGATTTAACTATATATTCTTTTATTTACATTAGGCATTCTATATTCACTGAATATTCACAGATAGAAGCAAGGGAAATGGTGTAGGTAGCTCCTTATATATACAATGGGTGGAGCTATATGTGGGAGTGGTGAATTATGAATACATTAAGAAGTGAAGAATAAGTTAACCCCTGATACCCTGTCTGTACACTATTTACACATTGGAGAATAAGGCATTTATATCTGACAAATCCCCCTCTAAATGCCGATTCGTTATACAACACCAGTTACATTCAGATTCAGGACAATACAAAACATACAACTTTGAGGTTAAGTATTTATGCTGTTTAGAAGGTAAAGGCTTCGTTAATATATCAGCTAATTGTTCTGAAGTGTCGCAATGCACTGCTTTAATAAATCCATCCTGAGATAATTGTCTCACATGTTTAAATTTTATATCTATATGTCTGGATCTTTGTCCAATGGCATCAGATCTAGATATTTCAATGGCTGCTTTATTGTCTTCATGCATAACAAAAGGCAGAGCAGGTTTTTTCCAGACATCTGAAATTAAATCATTAAACCATACAAGATTATTTGCGGCCTTGGATAAACAAACATATTCCGCTTCTGTTGTTGAAGTAGCTACTAGTTCTTGTTTACCAGTGTACCAGTAAACTGGACAGTCATTTAAGAGGAATACATAACCGGATGTGCTTTTTCTGCATGAGGTGTCTCCAGCCCAATCTGCATCTGCATAACACGTAAGCTTTGGTTCTTTAATATCATTAGGTTCTAACATTAAACAAAAGTCTAGTGTACTTTTTAAATATCTTAAAATTCTTTTAACAGCTTCCCAGTGGTACATTGTTGGTTTGCTGACATGCCTAGATAATAAATTGAGTGGTAAAGCGATGTCCGGTCTAGTCCAATTAGATATGTAAAGGAGTGAACCTATGATTGATCTATAGAATGTATTGTCCTTGAACTCGGGAGAAGATTCATCAGAATTCCTTAGAAAGTCAGTTTGCATAGGGGTATCACAAGGTTTGGCATTGTTTAAGTTGCATTTATTTAAAAGATCTATGATCTTATCTCTCTGGGTAAGTTTGAATCCCCTTTTTGTCTTATTAATTTGGACACCAAGGTATTTGTTTACCTTGCCTAAAGATTTCAATGAGAAATGTTCATTTAGTTTAGTTACAAAAGTTTCTCTTCTTTCTTTATGTTTTCCTATGTATAAAATGTCATCCACATAAATCAATACAAATTCAATGTAATCATCACCCTCTTGACAAAGAAACAATTATCAGCAGTGGTAGCGTTGAAGTCCATGGTCTTAAGTACTTTTACTAAACAATCATACCACCGTTTACCAGATTGTTTTAGCCCGTATAAACTCTTGTTTAACAACCAAGTCTCATTTTTGTTTGTGTATGGACTATGAGGTGCTCTCACGTATATTTCTTTATCTAATTTTGCGTGTAGGTACGCAGTCTGTATGTCATATTGGAATACATCTAGATTGAGTGCTGAAGCTACCACTAGAGCTGTTTTGACACTCTCTGTTCTTACAGTGGGGGAATACGTGTCAGTATAGTCCTCTGGATATTTCTGTGCATAACCCTGTGCAACCAATCTAGCTTTGTATAGAGTATTTCCTCCCTCTAAATTCTTAATTTTATATATCCATCTGGTACCAATAATTGTCTTATCTTTAGGTGCAGATGCAGGTGTAAATACATTTAGTCCTTGTAAACTTTCCATTTCTTTCTTCATTGCTAATTCCCATTTTTCTTTTTCTTCGTGAGGAAGTTTTAACACTTCCTCGTATGTATTGGGTGTTGTTGGTTCACCATTCATGTGCATTACATAATCCTTGTATTTATTTGGCATTTGATTTCTGGTGTTTCTAATGATTTTCTCGGGTTTACTATCGTTATCATGCAAATATCTTGCTTCCTTTTTTGTTAGTGTATCTGTCTTTATTTTGAGTTGGCTATTTGTCCAAGTTTTGGTTTTGTTTTTATATTTGTTGATATTTTGTTTTTCTATAGTCCCTTTCTCATGAGATTTTGTATCTTCATGTTTATTTGGGAATATCTCATTAAGATGTAATTTAGACCAGTTAGCTTGTTCATGGAACACAGCTGTTCTGGAGACTATAAATTTGTTGTTACTATCAATGAATCTGTATCCTTTAGTGCCAGTCTCATATCCCATAAATCTGAGTCTCCTGGACACATTTTCTCCCTTTCTTCTTAATTGTTTAGGTATGTGTACGTCTGCTGTGACTCCAAATATATGCATGTGTGCTAATTTTGGTTTTCTATCATACATCACTTCATATGGTGTCTTATTTATAATGCTGGACCATGTTCTGTTTTGTGTGTAATTTGAATAATGTAAGGCTTCTGACCAGAACTGTTTGCTTAAGCCAGCATCTTCCAATGTGCATCTAATCATGGTTTGTAATGTGGAATTTTTTCTCTCTGCAATCCCGTTTTGGAACGGAGAAAATGGACTAGATGTGTAATGTAACATTCCTTTGTCTTTTAACCATTGTGAGAATTCTTTAGACATGAATTCGCATCCTCTGTCTGTCATAATTTGTTTTATTTTGATGTTGTGTTGTGTTTCTATGCGTTTGTAAAATTCTTTAAATTTTTGAAATGTTTCATCTTTGTGTTTTAATGTGTAAACAAATCCATAGCGGCTATAATCGTCCACTATTGTTAGGAAGTAACGTTTCCTATAAGTGATTGATGGAGTTAATGGACCAACTAAGTCCATGTGTACTAAATCAAAAATTTTGTTAGTTGATCTGGTAGATTTTCTTGGCCTGGGACTAGTTTTTAGTTTTGTAGATTTACATACTGAGCATTCCAGATAATTTTCACAATTCTTTATTTTAACACCTTCTGCGTGTTCAGTCATTTTTTGCACTACAGGAAAACTGGCATGTCCTAACTTCCTATGCAATATGTGAGCACACTCATCATGAATTGGTTTACCTATCTTTGGCTTCTTATCGTTGTGTGCATCTGTGTGATCATGAGATATTTTACATTCATCATTGTCACTGTTGCTAACATTCTCATCATCTATTTCAATACAGTCTTCCATATTTGAATCAATGTTATGTAACCATTTTTCTTTCGTTATTAGGTAAGGTAGTCCTCCTTTAGTCACCACAGTGCCTACATTTATTTTATTCTTTTCCAAAGTTGCCTTTCCTTTTGAAAAGACGATGTTAATGTCAGAATCTCTGCTTAGTTTTATGGCACTTAATATGTTATGAGGTATTTCAGGTATTAGTAATACCCCCTCTATTTTTCCTAAACCAGGCAAGGTTACATTTCCTCTACCTAATACTTGAACCTTTTCTTGGTTAGCTACCTTAATTACAAATTTATCTTCTGCAAATGAAGACAATATACTTTTGTTATTAGTGGTGTGATTAGTTGCTCCAGAATCAATAAGCCAATTATTGTTCTCACTTTGTTGTGTGTTAGTGTTGTCTTGTTTATTTAATCCATTCAGTGAACCAGACTTTCTATCCTTTGAATTGTCTCTGCCCCCTCTATTCTCTCTGTGATTTGGTGGGCTCCTATATCTATGCCTTTCTATGGAAGGCTGTCTATAATCGTATTTGTTTCTGTATTCTGATCTATATCTTTCTTTTAAGAATTTTGGGCAATCTCTTCTATTGTGTTCCCTGGACCCACAATTATGACATTTAAATGTTCCACTATATTTTTCTTGGAAAGCTACTTTCCTATATGGTTTATGTTCTGTGTGATTGTTAGAACGATTTCTTCTAGAATTATCTTCTGTTATCAATTTGTTAGATAGGCTTTCTATGGATAAAACCCTAGATTGATTGTGTCTAAATGTGACATAAAATTGTCCCATGATGGGTCAAGTGAGTTAATAATGACACTTTTCATTGTTTGGTCTGAAATCACCTCCCCCTCAAATGCAGTTCAGCTCTTATTTTGTTCAAAGATATTAAATGTTCACTTATGGAAACCCCTGGTTTTATCCTAGATGAAAAGAAGTCTTTAGATATCCTTGTGGTGGTGGCTACACTGTCACTGTGAAACAAATTAAACATGCATTGAATAATTTCTGAAACAGTCAAATTTGGCTTAATGCTGTGATACATTGCAGGAGACACACTAGATATTATTAAGAAAAAAGCTCTATGGTGTAAACAATCTATTTTTAGTGTCCAAGGTCTTTTTGGGGGACTAGTGATAAAAAACAGTAAGTTTTCCTTCATAAAGACAACCTGGAGCTGTTGATACCATTCTTGTAAATTAATGCCATCAACCCTTAGTTTTGGGAAGTCACTGGGTAAATTTCCGACATTATTGGGTCCATTACTTACAACCTGAGGTAGTCCGTGGTCTCGTAAATGCAGAAAATTGCAAAACGGCGTGGGGATGCTCGCTACGAGTCTGCATGATCTTCTCTCCTGTTCATGTCTTCCGGATCGTCAGCGTAGTTTCGCGCATGCGCGATGCTCATTTCTTCTTCGGCGTCGTCGTGGAAGGTTCTCCTCACTGCGGCTTGCTCGCTCTGCTCTTCTTCAGATGAGTCGGTCTCTGGTTCGACTTTGGGGGTTCTGGCGACGGTGGCTGTTCTTCCTCTTCTATTGAAAGCGTTGGTGCTTGCTTCGGTCTGCGGCGTGGGGCGGTATCGGCAGGGCTCTCTGGGTTCCGGCGTCAGCGCTCTAGTAGTCAGGATGGGAGCGGGCAGGTCTTGAGGCATCGGCTTGCTCGTTCGCTTTTTTGGTGTCTTTTTAGTAATTTTCAGTTTTGGTCCAAATGCAGCAAAGAGCGTTTTCATCGCTGATTTTATTTGGTGTTTTGTTGGATCTTCCTCGCTTTCTGGTTCTGATTCTTCTGAGGTGTTTGAATCTTCCTTTTCGTTTTCGTTGTCCGATAATATTTTTCGCGCCAGAAATTTTGAATTGAGCTTGCTGATTGGCTCTGCTTCGTTCATCTTGGAGGCCGGTTGAAACCAAGATGGCCGCCATTCAAATTTTTGCGCGGGATCATCGTTTTTCTTCTTTGTAATGATTTTCTCCGCAGTCATATTACTCACTATTTTTGGATCTTTGGGTTTTTCATTGGTGATGTTTTTCTCTCTCGCTGCTCCGCTGTTCTTTAGCAATATCTTGGAGGTCCGCGATGAGGCTTTCATCATTCTTCTGGCTTTTCAATAGTTTTAATATCTCTGACCTGAGTTCGTTATTTTCTATTTCGATTTCCTCCTGGTCATCAATTATTTCTTCGTCTTCAGTGGTGTATTCTTCGGATTCTCTCGAAATTGCATTCGTGGATTCGTTGATTATTTCTTGTTCCGTTTCCATTTCTTTGCTGTAGGCCCTGGTGTTGGGCCTATCTTTCTTAGACATTTTAAAGCCTTTTATTGAGTCAATTAACCATCCTCTGCTACCAGTTTGTTGCAATATTTTCAGGATCAGACTCAATAAGATCAACAAGAGTTAAAGATTTAACTATATATTCTTTTATTTACATTAGGCATTCTATATTCACTGAATATTCACAGATAGAAGCAAGGGAAATGGTGTAGGTAGCTCCTTATATATACAATGGGTGGAGCTATATGTGGGAGTGGTGAATTATGAATACATTAAGAAGTGAAGAATAAGTTAACCCCTGATACCCTGTCTGTACACTATTTACACATTGGAGAATAAGGCATTTATATCTGACAGAAAAGTAAGAGGATAGAAGTGTGGGACCCTGGATGCTCTCTGAGCTTGGTTATTTTCTTGCAGATATTTTATGATGCAACTAAGTAACATCATCAGTGTTAGAAGGGAGTGGGGTTTGCAGAGAAGAGGAGGAGGAGGAGGACTGGGGTCCTTGGTGCTCTTTGGGCTTGGTGGTTTTCTTGCAGACATTTCACGACCAAACTAGGTAACATTATCAGTGCTAGAAGTGAGAACCTTACTCCCTTCTTACACTGATGATGTTACCTAGTTGGGTTGTGAAATGTCTGCAAAAAAACAATCAAGCTCAAAGACCACCAAGGGTCCCGCAGTCCTCCTCCTTCCATTCTGCAACCCTCCCTTCCCTTCTATCACTGATGACATTACTTAGTTGGGTCATGAGATGTCTGCAACAAAACCACCAAGCTGAGAGAGCACCAAGGACCCCATTGTTCAACCCCAAGCTACAATACTCTCTTCTATGGAAGACAGATGTCACTGGAACTCGCCCAGCTTTTCTTACCTTTGACCTTCACTGTGGCAGTGGTCTGCTGGTCTCCTGAATCACAGGTATAGTCGCCATCGTCCTGAATTTCCAGATCATAAATGAGAAGCTCGGCAAAATTCCCTTCTTGTCTGATCTCGTACTTCTCACTCGACTGAAGCTTCTTGTTTCCTTTTCTCCACACCACAGGTGACATCGGCTTGGACAACTCACAACACAATGACACAGTGTTTCCTACTTCAACCTCCTTGTTTTGCAGACTTCGCTTGAAGAGCACTGGCAGAGCTGAAAGAGCAGGCAGACACTAAAAGAGACCTTGTTGAGTGAAAGCCCATCAACCACAATACAGAATAACAGAATGGGAAGGCACCTTGGAGGCCTTCTAGTCAGACCCGCTCCTCAGGCAGGAGACCGTATATCATTTCAAATAATTGTCCAATCTCCCGTTTAAAAGCTCCATTAATGGAGCATCCACAACTTCTGGAGGCAAGTCATTCCACTGATTAACTGTCCTCACTGTCAGGAAATTTCTCCTTAGTTCTAGGTTGCTTCTCTCCTTGATTAATTTCCATCCATTATTTCTTGCCCTGCTCTCAGATGCTTTAGAGAATAGAATCATAAAATAACAGAGTGGGAAGGTACCTTGGAGGTCATCTAGTTCAACCCCCTGCTTAAGCAGGAGACCCCATACCATTTCAGACAAATGACTGTCCAATTTCTTCTTGAGAGCCTCCAGTGATGGAGCACCTCCAATTCTTCCCAAATGCAGAATAGTAGAAAATATTGTTTTTTTTCTTTTTTACCTATACGGGCAGTCCTCTGCTTACAATCACTCATTTTGTGAATGTTCAAAGTTACAACAGCACTGAAAAAAAAGGGACTTGCAATCAGTCCTCATGCTGACGACCATCTTGATAGGCCTCAACTACAATTGGAGCTAGAACTTCTGTTGCTAAGCAAGGTGGTTGTTAAGTGAGTCAGGGCCAATTTTATGACCTTTTTACCCTGGTTATAAAGCAAATCACTGCAGATGTTCAGTGAATCACACAGTTGTTAAGCAAATCAAGCTTCTGCCATTGACTTTGCCTGTCAGAAGCCACAAATGGAGATTATATGGCCTGGGACAGTGGGACACTGCAACCGTCAGTTGCCAAACATCTGAATTTTGATCACATGACCCTGGGGATGCTGCAACAGTCTTAAGTGTGAAAAATGGTCCTAAGTCGCTTTTTTTCAGGTTTATTGTAACTTTGAAAGATTGCTAAATGAATGGTTGTCATTCATGGAATACCTGTATAGTTTCCATATACATAAACGTGCTGAAAAAATACCATCAAGCAGTACGCTATCTTAAATCCTGAAACATTCAACAAAATGGTAAAACAGTAAACCAGAATAAAATCTCCAAAGGTGAAATGGACGGAGGAAGAGAGAGAAATAGGATCTACAATAAGTGGGGCAGGAGATGAGGTGAAGAAGAATGAAGTGACAAGTGAGAAGAATTAACCAGTGGAATGGCTTGCCACCAGAAGTTGTGGATGCTCCATTGCTGAAGGTTTTCAAAGACAAGATTGGGCAATCATTTTTCCAGGAGGATATCAGGACTCCTGCCTTGGACAGAGGGTTAGACTAGAAGACCTCCAAGGTCCCTTCCATCCCTATGATTCTATTATTTAACTCAATAGTTCTCCAATGGCTACACTCACCTTTAACTTTTAGTTTGGCAGTGGTTTTCTTGTCAGCTGCACTGCAGATATATTCTCCTGAGTCTTCTGGGACCACATCATGGATGATCAAAATGTAGGCATTGCCTTCAGTTTTGACTTCAAACTTCTGGCTGGGCTGGATCATGGATGATCCCTTTCTCCACTCCACTGGGATCCCAGGTTTGGAAAGCTCACAGCGGAAGGTTGCCATGCTGTTTTCGGTTACTTCTGCATTCTCCAGCTTTTTTAGGAAGGTTACCGGTGCAGCTACAGAGAGGGAAAAGGGACTTCTGTTGAACATATAGACCATAAAAGTCATCTCCAATGTACAGATAGATAGTCCTCAACTTGCAATAATTCATTTAGTGACAATTCAAAGTTACAACGGCTCAGAAAAAAGTTACTTATGACCATTTTGCATATTGCAGCATCCCTTAAGGTCACATGATCAAAATTCAGATGCTAGACAACTGCCTCCTATTTATGATGGTTGCAGAGTCTCAGGGTCATGTGATCACCTTTTGCAACCTTCTGACAAGCAAAGTCAATCGGGAAGCCTGATTCATTTAACAAATGTGCTACTAACCGAATAACTGTAGTGATTCATTTAACAACTGTGCCAAGACAGGTCATAAAATGGGGCAAATCTCACTTAACAAATGTCTCACTTAACAACAGAAATTTTGGGCTTAATTATGGTTGTAAGTTAAAGACTACCAATACAATATACAGGACTGTATGTATAAGGACTGTAATTACTAACTAATAGATTAAGAGTTGAAAAGGACTTTGTAGGTCATCTAGTTCAACCCCCTGCCCAAGAAGGAGACCCTACACCATTTCTGACAGAGGGTAGTTCAGTCTCTTCTTGAAAGCCTCCAGTGATGAAGCTCCCACAACTTCCGAAGGCAACTTCTGTTCCATGGGTTGATGGTTCTGTCAGAAAATTTCTCCTTATTTCTAGGTTGCTGTTAATGGCCACTGAAGTTCGCAGAGAGCATCTATGAACACCAACAGGCCATCAGAAGATACAATGAAACTCCTTAATTGGACACAGTAATTGGAAAATTGACAGCATCCTAGAACAAGCCAAGTCCAATACCGCTAAAGAGTTCCTGCAAGCCTGGCACTCAGACAAATGGGCCATCAACAGGCACATTGAAATGAAGAATGTTTACACACCATTCAAAATCAAAAATTAAAAAGGTAAAAGATCAGCACCCCTCCTTGCCAAAATCAACACCCAGATGAGCAGAGATTAACACCAAGACTGACACTAGACCAACAGTCAAGAAGTAAATAATACCCCAATCAAGAAACTACCAACTCAGGCAAACAAGCTAACAGTAAATAATAATCTAATCAAGGAATCACCAAAAACATTCCCACCAATACTGACAGGGCAATACTGCATATAGAGAGACAGAAAACCCCACTCCCTTCTAGAACTGATGATGATGGTACCTAGTTGGATCATAAAACATATGCAACAAAACTTAGAGAGCACCAAGGACCCCACAGTTGTTCTCTTCCTGCTCCTGCTCCTCCTTTTCCTCCTCCTCCTCCTCCTCTCTTGTGGTTGCCAACGTCATCTTAATATTTTTGACCTACATCTTCCCATGGATGTCCCTGTGGAAGATCAAGGGCCATCTGAGCCGTTGACTAACTTACTTTGCACCAATAACTGAGCCTGCGTTGAATTCTGACCAACTTGGAAACTGACAGTGCCGGAGTCTTCAAGGGTGACTTTTCGGAGAACGAGGGTGTGAATTTTGCCTTCCACGCCAATTTGGTTCATTTCATTGGATTGCAGAGGCACACCTGCCAAACTCCATTGCAGGTTTTTGGCCTTCTCGTGAGAAACCACACAGCGAAATGCAGCATTCTCTCCTTCCAGAACGGTGAGGTCTTTTAATTTTTCTTCTATGGTGGCTGGTATTTCTACAATTGAAAGAGAGAACTTTTTATTTCATTTGTTTCTCTATGAATTTACATCCCACTACATCCTACTGTTACATCCCAGAGTTTATTTGTATTTTGCAGATATTTCATGACCCAACTAAATATCAACGGCAGGGGTGAAATGCTCCCAGTTTGGACCGTATCAGACAATCCGGTAGCGATGGTGGCGGGTGGTTCGGAGAATTGGTAGCGATGGTGGCGGGTGGTTCGGAGAACCGGTAGTGATGGCGTCGCAAGGCTCCGCCCATCCGCCCAGTTGTCATTACTTCTTGGTTTTAACCAGGAAGTAATGTGTTTTTTAAGTAATGTGTTTTTATTGTTTTACTATTGGTTCTCTGGAACCGGCAGTTAAAAATGCTTTAAAAAGTAAAAGAAAAGGAAGAAAGAAATGCACCTAGAAACACTTATAAACCGCTTTTGGAAAATAACTTAAAATGTGTTCTAAATGGGAAAACAGCAGCATGGCTATTGATCTGAAAGCTGCTTTCTGAAATCCTACTATCACTTACAAGAGAACAATGCCATTATTAAGCGAACCTGGAAAAGTGAGACTTGCTCCGATTTCTATCCGTTGCATATAACTTTCCCTCTGGTCTTTTTCCTGCCATTGGTTACAAGCCTACAACTTTCCTCTTTCTGGTGCAATTGATTTGCTCCTGGTGATCACCCCCCCCCCACAAGGTTAGAAAAGGGGCGGATTGGAAGACGCAGTTTCTTCCGATCCAAGACTTACGGTAGAAGCCTGAAACCCCCAAACTTCTGTTGTTGCTCTTTCTTTGGGAAACACTATAATGAAGCCGCTTCTCAGCAGCCTCCTGCAGCTCCAGTCTCGAGGATCTGTTTCAGTGAATGTTACCCTCCATTTAGCCACTTCTGCAAGACTTGATCATCTCCAGTTAGCTTTCCTTGTCAAGCGAGAATTTTCCCCCAAATGTTCGGTTTGCTCCAGTTCTCTTATATGCTCTTTCTAAACTCCCTTCCAGATATGTGGTGCAATCTTTGGGGAAAATCTTTTGAGGCAGAAGAAAACATCTCTTTTGCAACTTGGATTCTTTTTCCAAGGTAGTGTTTCTCAACCTTGTCCACTTTCAAGATGTGGGGACTTCAACTCCCAGAATTCCCTAGGGACTGGGAAACTCTGGGAGTTGGAGTCCATATATCTTAAAGTAGCTGAGGTTGTGAAGCCCAGTATTAAAAGGTCCAAATATGCCTGTAAAGCAGGGGTGAAATCAAGCAGGTTCTGAGAACCAGCAAATGGCACCTCTGGTTGGCCCCAGAGTGGAGTGGGAATGGAGATTTTGCAGGATCCTTCTCCTGGAATGGGTAGGGAATGGAGATTTTGCAGGATCCTTCCCCTGCCACGTCCACCAAGCCATACCATGCCCACCAAGCCATGCCCACAGAACCAGTAGTAAACAAAATTGGATTTCACCACTGATCAACGGTGCTGCAAGAGAGTAGTGATTATGGAGAGGAGGAGGAGGAGGGGGGCGGTCCTTGATGCTTTTTCAGCGTGATGATTTTCTTGCAGACATTTCATGACCCAACTAGTTAAGATGATCAGTATTGCAAAGAGTGGTGATTGTGAGGAGGAGGGGGAGGAGGAGGAGAATTGTTGGTCCTTAGGGCTTTCTGAGCTTTGTTGTCTTCTTGCAGATGTTTCATGATCCAACTAGGTAACATCATCACATCTGCAAGAAAACATCTGCAAGAAAACAATGAAGCTCAGAGAGCACCAAGAACTCACAAATGTCCTGTCCTCCTCCTCCTCCATAAACCCCACTCCCTTCTAGCACTAATGATGTTACCTAGTCGGGTCATGTAATATCTGCAAGAAAACAACCAAGCTCAGAGAGTCTCAAGGACCCTACAAATAAGTATATAAAATAAAGCAGCTAGTTTGAAACATTCGCGTATGGGTCTCGTCATTCGTGTCAGATCTCAGGTGAGCAAAATTGACTCCCCCTGACCTTTGACAAGCACAGATGCGGTGGTCTGTTGATCCTCAGTTTGACAGGTATAGTGGCCTGCATCCTCCAGTTGCGCATCATGGATTAGCAGCTCAACATAAGATGCCTTTTGTCTCATCTCATACTTGTGACTTGGCTCCAGTTGGGCAGAGCCTTTCATCCACTGGACGGGCACATCGGGTTTTGTGAGCGCAGTGGCCAGGGTGATTGTTTCCCCTTCCTTGACTTCTTGATTCTCCAGCTGGACTTGAAAAAGAGCTGGACGAGCTGAGAGAGCTACACCGGGAAAAGAAGAGAGAGGGGTGAGCTTTTGCCATAGATGTGATACATGTTATGGGTTTCTAATGCAAGGCGGGGAGGAGGAGGAGGCCCATAACTCACAAGTCTAACTTCAACTATCTTGAAAAATAAGAAAAATGTCAGCCAGTTTAGTCTAGTGGTCAAGGAACCAAGCTAGACATGAAAGCCCACTGGGTGACTTTCAACCAATTACTGGGAGACAGTGAGTTCTAATCCTGCCTTGGGCACAAAAGCCAGCTGAGTGACTGGCAAATCACCAAGAGATGTGAGTTCTAGTGCAGCATTAGGCAAGAAAGCCAACTGCATGACTTTGGGCCAATCACCAGGAGATGGTAAATTCTAGTCATGCCTTAAACAAATAAGTCAGCTGGAACCAGTCACTCTCCCTCAGCCAGAGCTACCTCAAAGGGTGATTATTGTGTGGGAAATTGGGGAAACTGGAGGAGCAGTATGTTGAATATGTTTGCTGCCTTGAGTTACTTGAGTTACTTGAGTTACTAGTTAGGGTTAGGGTTAGGGTTAGGGTTAGGGAAACAGCAAAGGACCAGCCCAAGAGGCCTCTGCCAGCAAAAATGGGGCTCGGGTGGGTCATGTGTGGCCCTCCCAAGCTCCATTTTCATTGGCAGAGGGTTGCAGGAGGCCGTTGCAGCCAAAAACGGAGCTCAGGAGCCCGTTTTTGCTGGCAGAGCGCTCGGGCCACCACAGGTGCCCTCGACACAAGTGACAAACTGGCCACGCCCACCACAGCCCCCCCAAGTCAAACATAACCCTGATGCAGCCCTCAATGAAATCAAGTTTGCCACCCCTGGTCTAGGTTATGACTAGAACTCCCAGTCTCCTGGCGATTGGCCTGATGTCACCCTTCCAGCTTTCATGCCTAATGCAGAACTAGAATTCACACTCTCCCAGTTTCTAGCCCGCTGCCTTAACCAAACTGGCTGTCTATGATAAAGAATGCTAAAAAGACATCATATCCATGCAGCACAAGCCCCCCCTTTTTGCACACACGCATGACATTGTGCACATGTATGCTGAAGCAAAGTATAATGTTGCTTTCATTGTTATGAAGACAGCAGCTATATCTCACAGACACCATCAAATACAGTATGTCAAAACAATAATTAGGAAAAAATACACATAGTTCCCAACTTAGTTACAGTGTCCTGGAGGTCACGTGATCCCCTTTTCTGACCTTCTGACAAGCAAAGTCATTGGGGAAGCCAGATTCACTTAACAATCGTAACTTAACAATGGCAGTGATTCATTTAACAACTGGGGCAAGAAAGATCGTAAAGTGGGACAAAACTCACTTAAGAACCATCTTGCTTAGCAATGGATGTTTTGAGCTCAATCACCGTTTGCAAACTTCCTAGCCATCTTCCAAAATGGAAAACACAGATTCGCTTAATGACCACATCACTCACTGAACGGCAGTGATTTGCTTTATCATAAAATCAGGCAGGACTCACTTAACAACAGAAATGCTGGACCCAATTGTGGTTGTAATTCAAGGTCTACCTTTAGGAGTGGCTGCGTAATTTAGAACGAAAACTTATTAACACAGATACCTGTAAGGATTAAAATTATAGATAGTCCTCGTTTTAACAACCATCACTGTGCACAAAATTTATGTTGCTAAGTGAGACATTTGTTAAGTGATTTTTGCCCCCTGTAACAAGCTTTCTTGCCACAATTGGTAAGTAAATCAGTGCAGTTGTTAAGCTAGTACCATGGTTGTTAAGTGAATCTGGCTTCCCCATTGACTTTGCTTGTCAGAAGGTCGCAAAAGGGAATCACTTGACCCCGGAACACTGCAACTGTCCTAAATACGAATCAATTGCCAAGTGACTGAATTTTGATCACTAAATGGGAATGGTTGCAATGGTTGTAAGTGTGAAAAACGGTCCTAAGTCCCTTTTTTCAGTGCTATTGTAAATTTGAACAGTCACTTAATGAACTGTTGTAAGTCGAGGACTACCTGTATATTGAGTTTTGATTAATAAATCTTTTACCTTCCACTGATAACGTGCCCATGCTTCTCCCGTGGCCAATGTCGCAAATATATTTTCCAGAATCTCTTCGAGTTACACCGTAAATCTTTAAAATATGGGTTGTTCCCTGCTGACTGATTTCATACTTGGCGCTCGGAGTGATGACTTCCGAGCCCTTTTTCCAGATGGCAGAGACGTTAAGCATAGATACTTCGCATTTGAGGAAAGCTGCGCTGCCTTCTTGCAATTCTAGGTTGCTCAGTTCTTGTTGAAAGTCAGGATGTAGGGCTGGAATGGAAAGTGAAAAAATAAATAAAATTGCAAGAACTGGCAAAAAAACCCCAAAAACAAAATAGAGTCCACTTGCAAACTTCTTGTGTAGACAGGATTTAAACTGAAATCCTAATATGGAAGCGAGGTTTTAGATTTTAGGCAAGTGTGAATTTCAAAAAATAATTTAAGACGTCAGAGTTACACAGACAAACAGGCCAGACATACACATAAAACTCTTATCTGTCCAGAATTCAGTTACACAGAAACAGACAGACAGACAGACAGACAGATACACACACACACACACACATACACACACACACACACACACACACACACACACACACACGTGTCTGTGTGTCTGTGTAACTCTTAATTCTTAATTTTTTTAAAATTCAGAGACAGAGAGATGAGAGAGAATGGATGGATGGATGGACAGACGGACAGAGATAGATAGATAGATAAATAGATAGATAGATAGATAGATAGATAGATAGATAGATAGATAGATAGATAGATAGATTTTATGTTATCTAGAATTTGCATAGCTTTTTGAAAAATTTTAATAGTTTTTCTATTTATCTTTTGACAGTTTGTAAGCCACCCAGAATCACTTCATCAGGGTGATGGGCAGCATATACATTTACTAAATTACTAAATTAAATAAATAATAAATAAATGTTAAATAGATATGTGAGCACAGTTCATCTGTTGAGAGAATACAGAACAACGGAAGGGACTTTGGAGATGAATTAATCCAGCCCCCTGCTCAAGCAGGACACCCTGTACAATTCCAGACAAATGGCTGTCCTGGCTCTTCTTAAAAGCTTCCAATGATGGAGCACTGACAAATTCTTGAGGCAAGCTGTTCCACTAGTGAATTGATCTGGGATTAAGAATAACAGAATAACAAAGTTGGAAGGGACTTTGGAGGTCTTCTAGTCTAATCTCTTGCTCAAACATGAGACTCTATACCATTCTGCACAAATGGTTGTCCAATCTCTTCTTGAAAACCTCCAGTGATAGAGCACCCACAATTTCTGGAGGCAAGCTGTTCCACTGATTAATTGTTCTGTCATTTTCTTTACCTGTTTTTCTGACATTATCCCCTTCCGCATAACCCATCAACACAAGTGAGACGCTTAACCATTTCTGATCACAATTCTTTTGATAGAACTCGCCGTACCTTCCACTCTGAGCCTCGCTGTGGAGGTGTACGGTCCCACCCGGAAGGTGACCGTGCCAGAATCCTGCTGGGTGACGTTGCGGAGTGTCAACTTGTGCACCCGTCCTCTCTCGACTGAGATCTCGTTCATCTGGTTGCTTTGAAGCGACAAATCTTGCAATTTCCACTCCACATCTTTTGCGTTGTCGTGGGAGACTTCGCACTCGAAGGTGACTTCTTCCTCTTCCAAAACCTCTGCGCTTTTCAGTCCCCGGATGATGGTGATGTCCACTTCTACAAAGGCCACCAGATGCATCAGTGACAGTGACAACATAGACCATAAACCACCGCCCCAAACACATCACAAGTGGAATTCAGCTGTGGATTTGGTCCCAGTTAACTACAGCACATTCTTCGACTTACGACCACAATTGGGACAAGAATTTTCATTGCTAATAAGCAAGGTTTTTAAGTGGGTCTTGTCCAAACCTATGACCTTTTTGACCATGGTTGTTAAGCAAATCATTGCAGTTTTAAAGTGAATCTCACGATTATTAAGTGAATCCAGATTCCCCCCATTGCTTGTCAGAAGGTGGCTGGGAAGATTAAATGGCAATCACATGACCTCGGGAAGCTGCAGCCATCATAATAAATCCATGCCAGTTGCCAAGCGCCCAACCTTTGATCAACTGACTGTGGGAAATGGTGCGATGGTTGTAAGTGCGAGAACCAGTCACAAGTCTCTTTTTTCAGTGCCATTTACCTTTGAATGGTCACAAAATGAATGGTTCTAAGTCAAGGACTACCTGTATCTTACCAGGATGTATTCTGCACTTTCCACAAGAAACAAAAATGTTGCATTTGGTGCAGATTTCATAGAATAGAGAATTTCATGTTCCCTTTTATAATATTCTAGATACAGGTTGATTTACAACAGTTTATTTAATGACGGTTCAAAGTTACAATGGCACTGAAAAAAAAAGACTTATGAACGTTTTTCACATTTATGACCATTGCTGCAGCCCCATGGTCACGTGATCCAAATTCAGACTCTTGGCAACTGTCTCATATTTATGACGGTCACAGTGTCCTGGGGTGATCCCCTTTTGCAACCTTCTGACCAGCAAAGTCAATGAGGGAAGCCAGATTCACTTAACAACCGGCTTACTAACTTAACAACTGCGGGGATTCACTTAACAAATGTGGCAAGAAAAGTTGTAAAATGGGACAAAATTTACTTAACAAACTCCTCACTTAACCTCAGCAATTGACCTCAGCAGAAAATTTGAGGTCAATTTTGGTCATAAGTCGATGACCACCTGTCTTAAAGCTGCAGAGGTCAATTTGAAGGAAAAACCAAAACCAAAGGACTTCTTGACTGAAACAGTGAGACTGGAAGTTCTAGTCTGCTTCAAAGAAAACGTACCTTGCACAGATAACGTGGCAGATGTGGTTTGGTCACCAATGCTACACGAATATTCGCCACTGTCTTGGAGTTGCAACTTATGAATGAGTAACTCATGGATGCCCCCATCCTGTTGGATATCATATTTGGGGCTAGCGTGGATTCCTGCACCGTCTTTGCGCCATTCCACAGGGCCTTTAGTGACTGTGATCTCGCAGTGTAATCTGGCTGTGCTTCCCTCATCCGCTTTCTCATCCTTCAACCGTTGAGTGAATTCAGCTTTGAGGACTGTGTGGTCAAAAGGAATAGGAGAAAGTAAAACACTTGATCCTACTTCTATTAAGCTCAGAAATTAATAACTAAGCTTCCATCAAGTTCAGAGAGCATCCAGGACTCCACATTCTTCCACACAAAGCCCATTCTCTTCTATTCCTGATGAAGTTACCTAGTTGAGTAATGAAACATCTGCAAGGAAACTTCCAAGCTCACAAAGCACCAAGGACCCCACAGTATCCTTTCACTTCTCCTTCTCCCTTTGTAATCGCAAGGGCCTCTCAACTCATATTTTTACTATACAGGTAGTTCTCGACTTATGACATTTGAGCCCAAAATTTCTATTATTAAGTGAGACATTTGTTAAATGAATTTTGCCCCATTTTTCAACCTTTCTTGCCACGTGAGTGAATCATTGCACTTGTTAGATTAGCAACATGGTTGTAAAGTGAATCGGGCCTCCCCATTGATTTTGCTTGTAAGAAGATCGCAAAAGAAGACCACATAACCCTGGGACACTTAGCCGTCATAAATATGAGTCAGTTGCCAAGCATCTGAATTTTGATCACGTGGCCAAGGGGATGGTGCAACGATTTAAGTGTGAAAAACAGTCATAAGTGCCTTTGTTCAGAGCCATTGCAACTTCGAATGGTCACTAAATAAACGGATGTAAGTCGAGGACTACCTGTAATGACTTTTACTGCTGAAAGGGTTTCCAGAGAAAATTCCACAGATTGATCTGGAAATTTATATTATACAATGCTGCATTAAAAAAAAAATGCAATTAAAAATTCAACTGTTTCTCCGTCAAGCATTGTCCACTTAATTAAAGGCTGAAAAGCTAAGGGAGAAACAGACCTGCATGTCAATGAAATCCACACTAAACCATTAAAGTACAGGGACTCTTCAACTCCATTTAGTAATGGTCCAAAATTACAACAGCACTGAACAAAGCATCTTACAATCTGGTCCTTGTCTTATGACCATTGCAGCATCCCAGGGTCACATGATCAAAATTTGTGGTCTTGGCAACTAGCATGGATTTATAATGGTATCCCAGGTTCACGTAATCACCATTTGCGATCTTCACAGACAGCTTCCCACAAGTAAAGTTAATCGGGGAAACCAGAGTCACTTAACAACCACATGATTCACTTAACTGCAATGACTTACTTAATGACTATGGCAAAAATGAACAGAAATCACTTAACAACTGCCTTACTTAGTGACACACATTCTTGTCCCAATTGTGCTGATAAGTTGAGGATTACCTATACGGCAGTGGTGGGTTTCAAAAAATTTTACTACCGGTTCTGTGGGCATGGCTTGGTGGGCATGGCATTGCTTGGTGGGTGTGGCAGGGGAAGGTTACTGCAAAATCCCATTTCCTCCCAATCAGATGGGACTTGGGAGGCAGAGAATAGATGGGGATGGGGTCAGTCAGAATTTTTACTACCGGTTCTCTGAACTACTCAAAATTTCCGCTACCGGTTCTCCAAAACTGGTCAGAACCTGCTGAAACCCACCTCTGCTATAGGGTGCAAACCAGTGATGGGAAGCCCCCAGTTCAGACCGGTTCTATAGAGCCAGTAGTAAAACCAGTGTGAGGCTCCACCCACCGACCCCGATGTCATAAGGAAGCTTCTGCGCATGTACAGAAGCGCACGGGAGAGAGAGAGAGCAAAGGGAGTGCGCGCGTGCAGCCCCATTGTGAACTGGTAATAAAAGTAAGTAGAACCTACCCCTGGTGCAAACCCTTTCAAAAAGAGATCTTACAGTCTTCCTCCTCCTCCTCTCTGCAAGCTCCCCTCCCTGCTACGGTAGCACTGATAATGTTTCCTAGTTGGGTCATGAAATGTCTGTAAAAAATCAACCAAGCTCAAAGGGCACTAAGGAACCCAGAGTTTACTTCCTCCTCCTCCTCTTTGAAATCGGGAAATTGGGAGTTCTAGTCTCGCCTTAGCCATGAAAGCTGGCTGGGTGACTTTGGGCCACCCAAAGTGATGGTAAATTCTAGTCTGCTTCAAAAAAAACACATACCTTGCACAGATAACGTGGCAGACGTGGTTTGGTCTCGAACGATGCACGAATACTCGCCGCTGTCTTGGGGTTCCAGGTTATGAATGAGTAAATCATGGATGCCACCATCTTTTCTGATGTCATATTTGGGGCTAGCATGAATCCTTACACCATCTTTACGCCATTCTGCTGGGGCTTTAGGGACGGTCACTTCACAGCAAAATCTGGCCGTGCTGCCTTCATCCACTTTCTCATCCTTCAGCCACTGCGTGAATTCAGGCTTGAGGGCTGAGGGGTCAAAATAATGGCAGAAATGGCTTTTTTTTTAAAAAAAAAAATTACAATTCTTTCATCAGGTGGCAGTTCCCACCAATTTCTGAAAAATAAACACTGGGAAAAATTGGTTAAACAGGACCAATGGATGTTTGTCTGTCCCAGGAAGCAAAAACTGTTAGTGGCAAAATATTATACATTTCACAGACATTCTGAAAGCAGTGGACCTTAGGTGAGAGAGATTAGATTCATATATAAATCATAGAACAGGATATAATACGATTGGAAGGGACCTTGGAGGTCTTCTAGTCCAACCCCCTGCTCAAGCAAGAATCCTATCTCATTCCAAATTTCTTCTTTAAAACCTCTAGAGGTGAAACTGACATATATTTGACAGTTACAGCATCCGAGGGACTTGTGATCACCATTTTTGATCTTCCTAGCCAGCCTCTGACAAGCAAAGTCAACAGGGAAAGCTGGATTCATTTAACAACCACCCGATTCACTTAGCAACTGCAGTGAATCACTTCACAAACATGACAAAAAAAATCTTAAGATTGGCCACAACTCACTTAACAACACTCTCTCCCTCTCCCTTTCTCTCTCTTTCTCTTTCTGTATTAACAAAATTACAGGGAGTCCTTGACTTACAAATATTCATTTAGCAACCATTTAAATTTATAACAACACAGAAAAAAATGAATTATATACAGTCCGTGCACTTATGACCATTGCATTATCCCCATGGTCATACAGAATGATCAAAATTTGGGTGCATGACAATTAGCATGTATTTACGATGGTTGCAATGTCTCAGGGTTATATGATCAGTCACCATTTGAGACCTTCCCAACCAGCTTCTGACAAGCAAAGTCAATGGGAGAAGCTAGAGTCAATTAACAACTGCATTATTCACAGTAAAAATGGTTCTAAAACTGTGTCCAAGTCAGTTAACAACAGCATTAAGCAATTTTGGGGCCAAGTGTCATTGTAAATTGAGGATTCTCTGTAGGGTATGAACCTCTTGAGATGTTTAATTTAATAGCCGGAGCAGTGAGCCAGAACAAAGAGTTGTGGTTGATTAGTTTAAGAGAGCTGGCCACTGCCTGAGGCAACCTGAGCTGTGATTGGTTGCTGTGAGTGAAAAGGGGGAGTGTCTTTGTTTCCCGCCTTTTTTCTTGTAGGTGCCCTGCGTGCGCTGTAATTTACCTCAGGATGGTCCTGCTGTGTTGATTTACCTCAGGATGCTCCTATGTTGATTTACCGCCTCAGAATGCTCCTGTCTGCCTGACAAACTAGTTGCTGAGTATATATTGATGTAAAATACATTCACGTATATAAAACTACGAGTTCGTGCCAGCCTCTTTGACTCCATTTGGACACCGGTTGTGCAATTCCCTGACAGAACCCTTTTAAAAAACACATACCTTGCACAGATAATGTGGCAGACGTGGTTTGGTCTCCAACGACGCACAAATACTCTCCGCTGTCTTGGGGTTCCAAGTCATGAATGAGCAAATCGCGGAGGCCACCATCTTGTTTGATGTCATATTTGGGACTGGCGTGGATTCTTGCACCATCTTTGCGCCATTCTGCTGGGGCCTTAGGGACTGTCACTTCACAACGTAATCTGACCTTGCTGCCCTCATCCGCTTTCTCATCCTTCAGTCGCAGAGTGAATTCAGGTTTCAGGACTGCAGGATCAAAATGAATATAAGAAAAAAAAAAGTACAATTCTTTCATTAAATGGCAGTTCCCACCAATTTCTGAAAAATAGAATATTGGAAAAAATTGGTTGTACAGGACCAATGGATGTTTGACGTGTGTATCTCTATATACATGCACAATCTCCCGGTTCTTGGAGGATGTAAACAGAGCAAAATTAAAAAATTTAAATATGACAGAAATGATAACATGAAAGTCCCACTTTAGCCACGAAAGGTGGCTGGGTGAATTTGAGCTAATCTCCAAGACCCTGGGAGTTTAGGCATAAAAACTGGTGGGTGACTTTGGGCCGAGCACCAGGAGATTGTGAGTTCTAATTCAATTTTTAAAATGCATACCTTGCACAGATAATGTGGCAGATGTGATTTGATCTCCAGCGATGCACGAATACTCTCCACTGTCTTGGGGTTCTAAGTTATGAATGAGTAAGTCACGGATGCCCCCATCCTGTCTGATGTCATATTTGGGACTAGCGTGGATTCTTGCACCGTCTTTGCGCCATTCTACTGGGGCTTTAGGGACTGTCACTTCACAACGTAATTTGACCTTGCTGCCCTCATCCGCTTTCTCATCCTTCAGCCACTGTGTGAATTCAGGTTTCAGGACTGCAGAGTCAAAATGAACATAAGTAAAAAAAAAAAAAAGTACAATTCTTTCATTAAGTGGCAGTTCCCACCAATTTCTGAAAAACAGAATATTGGAAAAAATTGGTTCTACAGGACCAATGGATGTTTGACGTGTGTATCTCTATATACATGCACAATCTCCCAATTCTCAGAGATGAACAGAGCAAAATAAAAAAATTTAAATATGACAGAAATGATAAATGAAAGAGATGAAATTCATATATATATATAATATATATATATGAAATAATATAATATAATAATATAATTATAATATAATTATTATTATATTATATTATAATTATTATTATATTATAATATAATAATATAATATGAAATTCATATATATATTATATATTGGTTGTACGGGACCAATAGATATTTGATGTGTGTGTGTGTATAACATATACATGCATACATATATATACACACCCACGTACGTACCCCATTTTCCCGAAAATAAGACCTACCTGATTTTCATGCTCGCAATATAATCCCTACCCCCAAAAATAAGGCCTACTTAAGAGTGTAATCAGTGGTGGGCGTGGCCGTCTGACGTCACTCACATTATAGGGCGCATCATGTGGGGGAAGGAAGATTTCCTCACTCCCCTTCCTCTTTCCTCTTCCACTTTCCTCTTTTCTCCCCAAGCAATTGCTGCTTGGCTCTTTCAGCAACTGCAGAAGGGGCTGAAAGGGAGGAAGCCATCCATTCACCCCCAGATCGATTTCAGAAGCCACCACCATCATTGGTCACGAGGCCTGGCTGCCGGCCTGTTCACCTGCTGCTGCTGGGGGCCGGTGGCTCCCGGGAGAGCTGCTCTTCAGCCAGGCTGATGAGCAGTGGCACGAGCATTGCCCTGCATTGTCCGTGCATCTTCTGTGCAACCTGCCACTGCCCTTCTGAACTCGGCTCTGGCTGCCGCCCTGCTGCCACTCTTGCAGCACCTGCCGGTCAAGCTTTTATTGCACCCTAGCCTCCACCTGCACTGCCTGCTGTCCCTGCTGCTCCTGGGATGCTTCTTGGCCGCAGCGGGTGCTGTACTGGCCAACATGTGCGGCCGCTCTTTTATGCTGTGTTTATTGTGCAGCTTTCTGCCAAGGAAGGTCCACACTTTCTCCTTCCCTTCTTTCCTCCCCCCCCTCTCCCATCTCCTCTTGCTGCTCTGTCTCAGCTTTCGCAGACGCCAGGGGTGGAGGCTCCCTTGTGGGGAACGATCAAACTTCCAACCCCAACGGCAGGCCAGGCTGGGTGAAAAGCGAGTGGTGGCAGAGCAGCTGCAGGTGAGGTAGATGCCGAAGGCAGCCAGGGCATGTTGGTATGAGTCTGCCAAAGGCAGGGCTTTTTGGCCAGCTCCCGCACTGGGGTGGTGCTACCACTTAAAGGAAGAAGCTGGTGAAGGTGTTTGCATAGCAACCTGACCATCAGTCCCTCACCATGTGACTCTTCCAACCCAGGATGAAAGGAGGCGGACACTTGGAGCTTCTTTTTGATGCCAGGCATACACACGCACCCCCGCACACACGTTGGGTGGTATAAGCTAGCCTTTTTCTCCTAAGGTTGTAGATCTGGGCTGACTCGTCCCGCACCAGGCAGAAGCAGCCCAGCAGGCAGCTTAGAGCAGCATTGCCACGAGACCAGCAGTAGCACAGGCAACTGCTCCATGGCCAGTATGGTGCCTGCCATGGCCGAGAAGTGTCCCAGCAGCAGCAGGGCCAGCAGGCAGGCAGGGCGGATGGAGGCTGGGGCAAGTCGAGAGTTTGGTCCGTTGTGGCTGCTGCAAGCAGACAATGGGACTCCCCCTGTTGTCGGCCTCGGCGCTCACTGCCTCTTGTACATTAAAAAAAAAAGACATCCCCGAAAATAAGCCCTAATGCTTATTTTGCAGCCCCCAAAAATATAAGACCCAGATCTTATTTTCGGGAAACACGGGTATATATATTGAATTTCATCTCTTTCATCTTATCGTCACTGTCACATTTTATTTTATTTTTTTATTTTGCTCTGTTTACCTCCTCCTCCTGGGAGGAAACTGGGAGATAGGGAGTTCTAGTTCCACTTTAGCCACGAAAGGTGGCTGGGTGAATTTGAGCTAATCTCCAAGACACTGGGAGTTTAGGCATACAAACTGGTGGGTGACTTTGGGCCGAGCACCAGGAGATTGTGAGTTCTAATTCAATTTTAAAAATTTATACCTTGCACAGATAAGGTGGCAGATGTGGTTTGATCTCCAGCGATGCACGAATACTCCCCACTGTCTTGGGGTTCTAAGTTATGAATGAGTAAGTCACGGATGCCCCCATCCTGTCTGATGTCATATTTGGGACTAGCGTGGATTCTTGCACCGTCTTTGCGCCATTCTACTGGGGCTTTAGGGACTGTCACTTCACAACGTAATCTGACCTTGCTGCCCTCATCCGCTTTCTCATCCTTCAGCCGCTGTGTGAATTCAGGTTTCAGGACTGCAGGGTCAAAATGAACATAAGTAAAAAAAAAAAAAAAAAAGTACAATTCTTTCATTAAGTGGCAGTTCCCACCAATTTCTGGAAAATAGAATATTGGAAAAAATTGGTTGTACAGGACCAATGGATGTTTGACGTGTGTATGTCGAACATACACGGTTCTCAGAGGAGATAAACAGAGCAAAATAAAAAAATTTAAATATGACAGAAATGATAAGATGAAAGAGATGGCTGCTCTGTCTCAGCTTTCGCAGACGCCAGGGGTGGAGGCTCCCTTGTGGGGAACGATCAAACTTCCAACCCCAACGGCAGGCCAGGCTGGGTGAAAAGCGAGTGGTGGCAGAGCAGCTGCAGGTGAGGTAGATGCCGAAGGCAGCCAGGGCATGTTGGTATGAGTCTGCCAAAGGCAGGGCTTTTTGGCCAGCTCCCGCACTGGGGTGGTGCTACCACTTAAAGGAAGAAGCTGGTGAAGGTGTTTGCATAGCAACCTGACCATCAGTCCCTCACCATGTGACTCTTCCAACCCAGGATGAAAGGAGGCGGACACTTGGAGCTTCTTTTTGATGCCAGGCATACACACGCACCCCCGCACACACGTTGGGTGGTATAGGCTAGCCTTTTTCTCCTAAGGTTGTAGATCTGGGCTGACTCGTCCCGCACCAGGCAGAAGCAGCCCAGCAGGCAGCTTAGAGCAGCATTGCCACGAGACCAGCAGTAGCACAGGCAACTGCTCCATGGCCAGTATGGTGCCTGCCATGGCCGAGAAGTGTCCCAGCAGCAGCAGGGCCAGCAGGCAGGCAGGGCGGATGGAGGCTGGGGCAAGTCGAGAGTTTGGTCCGTTGTGGCTGCTGCAAGCAGACAATGGGACTCCCCCTGTTGTCGGCCTCGGCGCTCACTGCCTCTTGTACATTAAAAAAAAAGACATCCCCGAAAATAAGCCCTAATGCTTATTTTGCAGCCCCCAAAAATATAAGACCCAGATCTTATTTTCGGGGAAACACGGGTATATATATTTGAATTTCATCTCTTTCATCTTATCGTCACTGTCACATTTTATTTTATTTTTTTATTTTGCTCTGTTTACCTCCTCCTCCTGGGAGGAAACTGGGAGATAGGGAGTTCTAGTTCCACTTTAGCCACGAAAGGTGGCTGGGTGAATTTGAGCTAATCTCCAAGACACTGGGAGTTTAGGCATACAAACTGGTGGGTGACTTTGGGCCGAGCACCAGGAGATTGTGAGTTCTAATTCAATTTTAAAAATTTATACCTTGCACAGATAATGTGGCAGACGTGGTTTGATCTCCAGCGATGCACGAATACTCCCCACTGTCTTGGGGTTCTAAGTTATGAATGAGTAAGTCACGGATGCCCCCATCCTGTCTGATGTCATATTTGGGACTAGCGTGGATTCTTGCACCGTCTTTGCGCCATTCTACTGGGGCTTTAGGGACTGTCACTTCACAACGTAATCTGACTGTGCTGCCCTCATCCGCTTTCTCATCCTTCAGTTGCTGCGTAAATTCAGGCTTGAGAGCTGTGGAGTCAAAAAGAATGGGAGAAAGTAAAACATTTAACTCATCTTTCATTAAGTGAAATTCTGAGCAATTTCAGAAAAATAGAAGCCTGGGAATAAAGGTTCAGAGGACCAAGGGATGTTTGATGTCCCCAGTAAAATTTGTCAGTGATAAAAGCATTATTCAATAATAGAATAACATTGTTGGGAGGGACCTTGGAGGAATCCCCTGCTCAAACAGGAGACCCGATACCATTTCATTCAAAGATTGTCTGAAATCTCTTCATGAAAACCTTCAGGGTTGGAGCATCCACAACTTCTGGAGGGAAGTCCTTCCTGATTCTCATGTCAAGAAATGTCTTAGTTTTAGGTTACGTCCAGGGGTGGGTTCTAAAATTTTTTACTACCCGTTCTGTGGGCGTGGCTTATTTTGTGGGTGTGGCTTGATGGTCATGTGACAATTATTTAGGATTTAGCAGAGGTACTGGTCTACCAGGCTTTTAACTGCTTGCAGAACTGTACCAATCTACCCATTTATTTTTGCAGGCACTGATCAACTCATGTATTTTTGCAGGCACTGGTCTACTCATTTGTTTTCTTTTAACACTGATCAGCTGTAGGGCGGCCCTTTGAAGCCCCGCGGCAAGAATTTAAACAGTATTTTTCCCTCTAGCCATCAGCTGGGACTCAGGAGGCAGCAATAGATTTGGGGTGGGACCAAATAAAAGGTAAGAATAACACAGGGGGGCATGGGGGGGCAGAACCGGTTTGGTGACGTCATATCATCACCGCTACCGGCTCGGGAGAACCAGGCCGAACCGGAAGGAACCCATCACTGGTTAGGTCTCTTTTGATTGGTTTCCATCCATTGTTTCTTGTTTTTCCTTCAGGTGCTTTGGAGAATAGGTTGACCCACTCTTCTTTCTGGCAGCCCCTCAAATATTGGAAGATGCTATCATGTCACCCCAGTCCTTCTTTTAATTAAAGTAGACATACCCAATTCTTGCAACCATTCTGTATATGTTTTATCCTCCCATCCCCTAATGATCTTTTTTTGCTTTTCTCTGCACGCTTTCTAGAGCCTCAACGTTTTTTCTGTATCATGGTGACCAAAATTGATGCAATATTCCAAGTGTGGTTTTACTAAGGTATTTTAAAATGGTATTAACACTTCATGTGATTCTGACTTTATCCCTCTATTAATGAAACCAAGGACTGCATTGACCTTTTTAGCAACTGGAACACACTGCTGGCTCATCTTTAAGCAATTGTCCACTAGGACGCCAAGATCCCTCTTGCAGTTACTAATATTGAGCCAGGTACTAGCTATTCCAGTGACAGTGAACCTTTTCGGCACTCAGTGCCAAAACTGGAATGCGTGCACACTGGAGCCCAGAAACCTGAAGACCAGCTGGCTGGTGCGCATGCGTGCCCCGGCCAGCTGGTCTTCTGGTTTCCGGTGCACACATGAGCGCTGGCCAGATGGTCTTCAGATTTCTGGCGCTCTGGCATGCACAAAGACCAGCTGGCCGGCACACATGCCCATGCTGGAAACCAGAAGAGCAGCTGATGACAGCCCGCGTGCCCACAGAGAGGGCTCTGTGTGCATTTGGTTTTTTCTTCCTATGTATAAAACTTTACTTTTCTCACTATTGAATTGCTATGTTCAAGTCGGTCAAGATCCTTCTGGATCTTGAGCCTGTCTGCTGGGGTGTTGGCTAGTTTGGTGTCATCTACTAATTTGTTGAGATCCACATCTACCCCCTCGTCTAAATCATTGATGAAATATATTGAGCAGTACTGGGCCTAAGACAGAGCCTTATGATTCACCACGGCATACTTCCCTCCATGTAGATCAGTGGTTCTCAACCTTCCTAATGCCGCGACCCTTTAATACAGTTCCTCATGTTGTGGTGACCCCCATCTATAAAATTATTCCTAAAACCATTGAAAATATGTGTTTTCCAATGGTCTTAGGCGACCCCTGTGAAAGGGTCATTCGACCACCAAAGGGGTCGCGACCCACAGGTTGAGAACCACTGATGTAGATGCAATTCCACTCAGGACCACACATTAAGTATGGTTGGTCAGCCAGCTACGAATCCATCTGGTGATGATGCTGTCTATCCCAAATTTTTCTACCTTATCAAGAAGTAGGTTGTGGTCTACTTTATCAAATACCAAGTAAATTATATTCTCAGCTGTTCACTGGTCCACTAATTTTGTCAGATTGTCAAAGAATGCAATAAGGTTTGGCTGACATGCTGAATTTTTGAGAAACCCATATTGGCTTAAAGTTATGACTTTGATTGGTTCTAGATGTTTTCAGATCGTTTGCTTGCTTATTTTTTTCCAGGATCAGTACCTGGGAAGATCCTGGAAAAGATAATCAAGCAACTGATCTGTGAACACCTTGAGACAAGCAAAGTTATAACCAGAAGCCAACATGGGTTTGTCAAAAGCAGATCATGTCAATCTTATTGCATTCTTTGACAAAATGTCTAAAGTTTTGTCCAAGAAAAATGTTCCTCTGCCAAATGCTACATACTTAATACAGGTAGTCCTTGGCTCACGACCACAATTGAGCCCAAAATTTATTTTGCTGAGACATTTGTTAAGTGAATTTTGCCCTATTTTATGATGTAACTTGTCATAGTTGTTAAGTGAATCACTGCAGTTGCTAAGTAATTAAGACAATTGTTAAGTAAATCTGGCTTCCCCATTGACTTTGGTTGTCAGAAGATTGCAAAAGGGGATCAGATGACCCTGGGACATTATAACCATCATAAATACGAGTCAGTTGTCAAGTGTCTGAATTTTGATCATGTGATCATGGGGATGTTGCATTGGTTATAAGTGTGAAAAACGGTCATAGTCACTTCCGTCAGTGCCACTATAATTTTGAACAGTCACTAAATGAACTGTTGTGAGGACTACCTGTACATAAAAGCTAAGGAAAAAATAGATACGTATCTCAATAAACCCCTTAAAATATCTTTTAGTTTCTCCTCTAACAAAAGCTGCTGGATTCTTTATCTTTTTATTTATTGTCTATCAATACATTTGTGCAAGTTTTACCTTTAACAGTCAAAGCAGCTGAAGTTTTCTGGTCTCCACAAATACAGGTGTAACGTCCAGCATCCTCAACTTCTAAACCACAGATCACCAACTTGGCGACAGCTGCTTCCTGTCTGAATTGGTATTTGTCTCCTTTTAATTTGTCTCCTTCCTTCATCCATTCCACAGGAGCAGCTTTGGTGAGCTCACAATGCAATGTAGCTGTTTCATTTTCGGTGGCTGCCACATCCTTCAGTTCCTGTTTGAATTGGGGAGGTAGAGCTGGAGAACATAAGAGGAGGGTGTGAAAATTGTCAGGGATAGATGGACTTTGGACAAAGTCAGAGGTGGGGAAGAGGAGTTGGTATGACAACAAAATTGGATGTGTCCTGCCCTTCTTTTCTTTATATTTCTTTTCCTTCCTGCCTTTCTCACTTTTGTCCTTCCTTCTTTCCTTCCTACCTACCTACCTACCTACCTACCTACCTACCTTCCTACCTTCCTCCCTCCCTCCCATCTTCCCTGTCACTTTTCCTTCCTTCCTTCCTTCCTTCCTTCCTTCCTTCCTTCCTTCCTTCCTTCCTTCCTTCCTTCCTACCTTCCTTCCTTCCTTCCTTCCAACTTTGAAAGACAAACCACAAGACATTGACAAACAAAACAAAACAAACAAACAAAAAACAAAAACAGATTTGCCAAATGCAGAACTCAAGATAAATTGATTTACCCCGGACCGCCAGAGTCGCAGTGGTTTTCTGGTCACCGCAGACACAGGAGTATTCTCCGGCGTCTCCAAGATCAAGATTATGTATCACACACTCTGCCACAGGGCCTTCCTGCTTCAGGTTGTATTTGTCATTTGCTCGCAGTGTCTTGTGTTTCTTTTTCCACTCCACCGTAGCTGTTTTTGTCAGCTCACACTGGAGAGCAATAGTTCCACCTTCTGTAACTTCTTGGTCTTCCAGACCTTTCTTGAACTTCGCAGGAATGGCTGGAGGGGTTCAGAAGGAAGAAAGCAGGTGAATACCCAGATGTTGAAGAAAAGGATCCAGTTGTGGGCCCCATGGATCATTCTCCCCCTTTCCTTCCAAGCTCAACAGCAAGATCTGTTAGCTTGATGTCTCTTCTAGAAAATCTCCAAGGTCCCTTCCAAATTTGTTACAGTAGTCCTCAACTTACAGTTCATTCAGTGACTGTTTGAAGTTACAACGGCACTGAAAAAAATGACTTACAGCTGATTTTCACACATATGAGCGTTGAAGCATTCCCATGGTCATGTGATTAAAATTCAGATGCTTGGCAACTGACTGTCAGGCCTTGAAGCCATCTTTTGCACTGGATCTTCAGGCCTGCCACATTTAATACTGTGAGAAACTAGGAGGTGGGATTGTATGGAGCAAGGGTGATATATAGTCATAATAATATTCCTTTCTCAGAGAGTCAAGGACATCTTGCCCTGCACCTGGAGGGCTGGAACTGGGAGGCATCTCCAGTTGGGACGGTACATTGATTGGACCATGTGATGGATTTGTGGGTGCTGGGCAGGAACTTGGACTTTCCTTTGGGTGGGGAAAACCTAGAAGCTTTCGGGTTTTCGGGTTTTCCCAGATGGGCCAATATGACATCTCTTAAAAAATGGAACTTTGAGGAACTTAAGGCCTCATTCTTCTTTCGTTGAGGGTGTTGCTTGGAACCCTGACATATATTTATGACCTGTGATGTGTCCTAGAATCATGTGATAACTTTTTGCAAACTTCTGACAAATAAGGTCAGATTCACTTAACAATCACATTACTAACTTAACAACTGTAGTGATTCACTTAAAAACTGTGGCAAGATTGATTGTAAAATGGAGCAAAATTCACTTTACAAATGTCTCATTTAGCAACAGAACTTTTGGGCTCAGTTCAGATTGTAAATCGAGGACTACCTGTATTCTTTTATTCTATCACGATTTGAAGCAGCAAGATAACTTACTATCTCTTTATTTATCCATAAGTAAGGATAGGTACCTCACATATAAAAGAATCACTTTCTATACATAGTCATTAATTTGCGACCACAATTGAGCCCAAAATTTCTGTTACTAAGCAGAACAGTTGGAAAGAGAATTTTGCTCCATTTTACAAACTTCCTTGCCAAAGTTGTTAAGGGAATCACCACAGTTGTTAAGTTAGTAACACAGTTGTTAAGTCAATCTGGCTTCCCAATTGACTTTGCTTGTCAGAAGGTCACAAAAGGTGACACTGCAACCATCATAAATATGAGTCAGTTGCCAACTATCTGAATTTTGATCATGTGACCACAGGGATACTGCAGAGATACTAGTTATAAGTGAAAAACAGTCATAACTCATTTTTCAGTGATGTTGTAACTTTGAATGATCATTAAACAAATGATCCTACAGTAAGGACTACCTATAATGGGCATTATGTGTTGGCAGGTTACTAGAGTTCAAACCTTTGTATAATCCTTGTCTTTAACAGGTTTGAATTGGTTCTTATCAGAATTCATATTCCTCATAGAGAGCCTGCTGTGTTACTTCAAAGAACTGGAAACATTAATTAAAGGCACTCCTGGTTACCGAAGACATTAGTGAAAGAGGCCTCCCTCTTCAGTTCCCATCAGCTCCAAATTGTAAAATTGCATCAGACATAACTGTCATCTGGAACTTCTAAGCAAATTCCTTCACCATTGTCTACCTGGAGGATCCACAGCAAATGAATGAATGATTATTTGTACTTTATATATTGTGAAATATAAGGATATTTCTTAGCTATGGGGTCCTTGGTGCTCTCTGAGCTTGGTGGCTGTTTTGCAGATGTTTCATGACCTGACTAAGTAACATCATCGAGGCTAGAAGGGAGTAGGTCTAGCAAACCCCACTCCTTTTCTGAACTGATGACGTTATGTAGTTAGGTCATAAAACGTTTGCAAGAAAACCACCAAGTTCAGAGAGCACCAAAGACTCCACTGTTCTTCTCCTTCTCCTTCTCCCCCTTCTTCTTCCTCCTCCTCCTCCTTTCAGCAATCCTATTCTGTTCCATTACTGATGATGTTGCCTAGAAGGAATTTGCTTAGAAGTTCTCCTCTCTCCCTCCCTCCCTCCCTTCCTCCTCCTCCTCCTCTCTGCAAACCCAACCCTTCTAGCACTGATGACATTACCTAGTTGGGTCATGAGACGTTTGCAAGAAAACCACCAAGCTCAGAAAGCACCAAGAACTCCACAGTTCAACTCGGCGCTACAAATATTCTCTTCTATCGATCTTACTCAGCCTCCAAGGACTGTAAAGATCTTTTGACTTCTTTCTTACATCTAAGATGACCAGAGGAAACCTAGATGTCCTCTTCACTTTGCCTCTATTGGATCTGACTATGGGAAACAAAACGTTTTATGTACCATTCACCCTTAAGAAAGCTGAAGTCTTCGAATCGCCAACGGTGCAACTGTAACCCCCAGTATCGGTCAGTTGCAAGCGGTGGACCACCAGTTCAGCAACCACACCTTCCAGTTTCATTTCGTATTTATCGCTGGGCTTCAGAACCTCGCTGCCCTTCCACCACTTCACAAGGGCAGGAGTTTTGGTCAGCTCGCACCGCAGAGTGGCAGCACCATCTTCGGCAGCTTCGAGGTTCTTCAAGTCGACTTTGAAACATGGAGGTAAGGCTGGAGAGAGTAAATAGGACATTTGAGGTCATTCATCATCACAGCTGGAATAAATCCATGAGATTCCTCTTAAGGGTTATGTACAGAATCACTTACAGGTAGTCCTCGACATATGACCACAATGAAGGCCCAAAATTTCTGTTGCATTTGATGATCTTTTTTGCTGCAGTTGTTAAGAGAATCCCTGCAGTTGTTAAGCTAGTTACACGGTTGCTAAGTGAATCTGGCTTCCCCATTGTTACAAGGTCTCAAAAAGTGATCACATAACCCCAAGACACTGAAACCGTCATAAATATGAACCAGTTGCCAAGCATTTGGATTTTGATCACGTGATCATTGGGAATGCTGCAACAGTCGTAAGTGTGGAAAATGGTCATAAATCATTTTTTTCAGAGCATTTGCAATTTTGAATGGTTACTAAACAAATTGTTATAAATCGAGGACTATCTGTACTCTCCTAACCCACACTTCAACAGCAGACATAAATTTTCCTGCTTTTCTAGTAAAATGGTACAATTAAATGGACTAGATCAGTGTTTCTCAACCTTGGAAAGTTTAAGATGGGTAAACTTGAGCTCCCAGAATTCCCCGGGGGGAATGCTGGACAAGTTAATCTTAATAGTCCTCTTATAACTCTAAGATTCCAACTGAAAATTAAAAGAATGGGAGCTCAGGTTGTAACAGAAAGCAATAGATGTAGAAGCTGGAGAAAAAAAAAACCCAAATTGTAGATTGTTTCCAAAAGTGGCCTAAAACTCTAAAGAAATACCAAAAATTATAGGGTCCTTGGTGCTTTCCTTGCAGCTGTTTCATGACTCAACTAGATCATCAGCCCTAGCACTGATTACTTATCACTCATCATTAGCACTGATGATGTTACTTACCTGTGTCATGAAATGTCTGCATGAACACAACCCAGCTCAGAGAGCACCAAGAACCCCATAGACTTCCTCATCTTCCTCCCCCTCTTCTTCCTCTTTTCCTCCACTCCTTTCTCCTCCTCTCCATAAATCTCATCCCTTCTAACATTGATGGTGTTACCTAGCTGTGTCATGAAATATCTTTAAAAAAACCATCAAGCTCAAAGAGCACCAAGAACCCCACAGTTTTCCTCCCTCTCCCACCTGCATAGCCCCTCCCTTCCAGCACTGATGGTATTCCCTAGTTGGGTCATGAAATGTCTGCAAGAAAACCACTAAGCCATGGGTGTCAAAGTTGCTGTGTCATGTTGCCGTAACGTGACTTATTGTGACATTTTTCCCCTTCATAGAGCTGGGGTGGGCATGGCTTGCGCATGACGCATCCGGCGCATGGGCTGCCAGTTTGACACCCCTGCACTAAACTCAAAGAGTACCAAGGACCCACTGTCAGCGTTGTCCTCCTTCTCCTCCTCTCCACAAGCCCCACATTCCTTCCACCACTGATGACATTTCCTAATTGAGTCATGAAACGTCTGCAAGAAAACAACCCAGCTCAGCAAGCACCAAGGACCCCACAATTCATCCCTAAGGAATAGATATTCTCAAAGAATATTACCAACACCTCCTTTTAATCAGAGAGAGAAAAAGAGATACGTCATATTTACCCTGCACTGTGACAGAAGCTGATGTGGTTTGATCTCCACAAATACAGGAATATTCTCCCGCATCCTCTTCGGTCACGTCCTGAATTGTGAGTTCTGCAACATTTTCTTTCTGTTTGATTTTGTATTTTGCACTTGGCTGGAGCATCTGTGCATCTTTTCTCCAATCCACCACGGCAGTTTTATTTAATGCACAGTGCAGAACAGCTGTTCTTCCTTCTAGGACCTCTTGGCTTTTGAGTTCTTCTTGGAAACGCACAGGTAGTGCTGTGGAGCATAACACCGACAGAGTATGGGTCGTTTTAAATTTCAGAATTTTGAGATTTCCAACAAGGGAGCTTTTGCAAGAATGCAACTTGAAAGGAACTCACCTGTGAGCATCTGAAGGGTGGGTTTGTGACACAATTTGCATAATACATGACATCATCACTGCTGTTTGCATGATGACGTTATGGTGTAAATGACAATGACATCATTGTACAAATGCAATTTGCAATTTGAAGCTGGTTGTCCATTTGTATGCTAAAAATTGACAACTTTTATTGTTTTATTGCTATTATAGTTTTAGAATGGTTTTAATGTTTTAATCGTATTATATTTTTTGAATTGAAATAATGAAGGAAGGGAAAGAGGAAGGAAGGAAGGAAGGAAGGAAGGAAGGAAGGAAGGAAGGAAGGGTTGGAAGAAATATCCAGGTCCAGTTCCAAGCCAGGAGAAAGGCACTGGAGACAAAATGGAGGCTGGAGGCTGATTGGAAAGAGGGTTTAATGGTGAAGCAGAACCACCAAGTACATGGTTCTGGGTGGCTGGCCACATGGAGTTGAGAGTTGTGGGTATTTATATCTTCTCTTGGGCTTTGCACTTGAACTGTGCAAGAACATGTATTTTACTGGTTGTTGTCAGACTCCCAAAGAGCCATGTACAAATTCTAGGAGTTTGTCTGATTTTAAGTTTGATTGAAGTTTGAACTCTGATGCAATGTCGTTAGGAGCTTGTGCAATGTAGTGAGCTCTGCTGCTAGTGAGTTAATCCTATTATGTCCTGGGCTGGAGGGTCATGTCTTAATCCCTTCACCCTGGAGCTGAAGGCATTTGTTTTGTAGATAGGCTGGCCCAATCTTTCTCAATGGGCACAAAAATTGGCTGGGGGGAGGGAGATTGAGTCTGCTTTCTGTCTTTTAAGAAAAACATGTTTCTCTACTTCTCATTTAGGGAAATATAATATTCTGCCCTTTTTTAATATTCCTCAAAATATTTCATTCTTCTAGGAGAGGTATGTGTGCTAATTTTCTACAGAAGGAAGGAAAAAAATGATAGAGAGGAAAGAAGGATGAACAGGAAGGGAGGGAGGGAGGGAGGGGGAAGGAATGATTGTACCTATACAGATATGGAATGGATAGATGAATAAATAAATAAATCAAAAATCCTAAGAGCACATTTTCAGCTGAAATGTCACCTTCTTATTTTAAAGATCAAAATAAATTTAAACCTGCAAATGTATATAGTGAAATACGATAGCCATGTTCTGTTTTTCTACACCATTTGGATTTCATCAAACATATTAGACAGAAAAAAACATTTAAAGTATTATTCCTCCAGTTAGCGGAATTTACATTTTTTGCTGTTTTACCAAATGCTTTTCACAATGTGGATTTTTATAAAGCAGACAGGAAAGGCGTAGGCATTTTTCTCTGCACAAAAAACTCAATTGGAACTAGCGTACTAAATGAATCTAAAAATAGATATATATGCAAGCAACAACAGTACAGAAACAATTCAAAAATCAGAAGTTCAGGAAGAGAAATAAAATACTTCCAAAATGGGATATAAAAATAGCATTTCAACGGGTCCCTTGGGAAAAAAATCTTTAAGAAGAAAGAAAATTTAAAAAGGCAACAAACAGATGATACAATAGAATTTTTAAAAAGGAAGAAAAGAAAGTTGCTTGGGTACCTTTAGGAAGGAAAACAAAGAATTGGATTAAAATATCTTAAAAGGAACAAATGTAGAGATGCAATGCAAAATATTCTTTGGAATTGGCTTAAATTCTGGACTAAGATGAAAGTTTAACATGGAATTTCCAATGTTAAATTTTGCAGTGTTTAGTTTCAGAATTTGGACATGTTGGAAAGGAAGGTGTAGGGTTAAAATATTGTATTAGGAGATCCAATTTTATGTTCTCCTTTAGCCATAAAGATCATTCTGGAATTCGTCAAATGGAGAGGAGGTACGATATAAAACTAATCAATCAATCAATCAATCAATCATGATTCATTTCTAAAATGTCAACATTCTTCTTAAAATGCAGGGCACAGAAATGAATGTGTTAAAGATATGGTCTGCCCAATACAGACTAAAAAAGAATAATATTTTATAAGCTAATGTTAAAATGCATTTAGAACTGAAAAATCAACATATTTTTGAAATGTGCCACGTTAAAAAAAAGAATATATATTTCATTGCAAGAGATGTCTTACTTCTAATATAATAATTCTATGACATCTGTTTTGATTCAGAAGACATTAATAGGAGAGCCAGTAAGGTGTAGTGATTAAGGTCCTGGGCTAGAAACCAAGAGATGGCAAATTCTAGTCCTGCCTTAGGCATGAAAGCCGACTAGCTGACTTTGGGCCAATCACCAGGAGATGGTGAGCTGTAGTTCTCTCTTAGACACAAAAGCCAACTTGGTAACTTTGGGTCAAATCATCAAGGGATGGTGAGTTCTAGTTCCGTCTTAGGTATGAAAGCCAACTAAGTGACTCTCTTTCTCTCTCAGCCCAGCCCATCTCACACAGTTGTTATTGTGGGGAAAATAGGAGTAGGATGGAAGTATTATTATGTATGCTTGCCACCTTGCTTACTTAAAAAATAATAACGGTGGGATAAAAAGTAATAAATAAATAAACTAAATAAATATAGAATGTAGGACACAATCAAAGAAATGCTTCAAAAATACAGAATAATTCTAGGCAAGTAGAATAAGGGATAAGAAAGAAGATAACTGAAAGAAATAGTTTTAGACAGTTGGAATATTTTATTAAGGGACTGTGATTTTTGCCCTGAAGAAATTAGTATGTCCCTGCATCAAAAAGCACAAAAATTCTCTGGGAGAATGCACAGAATTGTATAATTAAAGAATCTTAGCATATTGTGATCAGTATTAGCAGAGATTGCATATTGTTAGGTGAGAGAAGGAGAAAAGTGATCACATTGGAGTTTTGCACAATCAAGAAGATTTTGTCTAGAGAGAAATATCTTAATGAAGATTTGCAGAAGATTTTAAGAGGAGAAATTTTAGCGTAATCTTACGCTAAATCTTAGGAAATTGTAAGAAAGAAAAAATTTTGTGGATGTGAAAAGATAACAGTTCTCCTGACTTGAGCTATTTTCAAAGGCCAACGTTGTGGGAGATACCTTCAACCCATAAAAATTTGCCTTTACGACCTGAAAGTATTGTGCAGCTAGGATTTCCAACATGGATATGAAGTCTTCTCTTCACAAAGTAAATACCCATCATCAAATCAAGAACACAGAGTCTGAAGAAGTTGTAAAGTACGTAAGATGCTCCAGATGTGATGGGACCAAATCTTGCCTAGGAATTTTGGGACTGTAGCCTCAGCTCTTCTGGAGATCATCAAGTTGGAGAACATCATGTTGGAGAACATCATGGAACAAAGATTAATTCTAAGGGCCCTCTGAAGGTCTCAAGCAGAAAGCTCAAATTCTGATAAGAACTGACATTGCCAAAATAGTTGTAACCACAATCAACCAAGTTATGAGACTCTTGTTAACTTTGGACACAAACAGGGTTACTTGACCAAATGACCAACATGGAGACAAGACATTGAGACATCACAATGCAAATCACACAAGATGATTAATACAAGAGACCATGGAACAACTGATTACCATGAACGGTCAAGACGGCTGTGGTCTTCTGATCTCCACACAAACAGGAGTAATCTCCCGTGTCTACCACCTTCAGATCTCGAATCAACAATTCGGCAATAGGACCCTCCTGCCTCATTCTGTATTTATCGCTTGACTTAAGAGTTTGTGATCCTTTCTTCCACTGTACCTCAGCCCCAGCTTTAGACATCTCACAATGGAGAGTAGTGGTGGCATCTTCAACAGCTTCCCGGTTCTTCAGCCCTTCTTTGAAAAGAACGGGCAGAGCTGAGAAGGTGGCAACAAGGACAGAGTTGAAAGGTAAGCATGAAGGACAAAGAAATGGAAACCACAGGACATCATACAAGCATGGAAGTCCTACCACTCAAACACAGCAAAACAAGAACTTATGGATTGGGAGAACATGGTGTGCTTTTTTTGTAAAATTATCTGGTAGGATGCACTGGGAAGACAAATAATGGTGTGATGTTTAAAGCATATGGACATTTCTGACATTCCAAATTTACCCAAGGAAGATTCTGTTCTTGATTCCTTGAGGTCAACCGTAGCGATTATTCCAAGCATTAAAAAATGATTGAACATATATATTTTAGGTTTGGTAGTAGCTGTGTAGTTAACATTTGTTATGGATTTATCTGAACTATTTAAATAATTATATCTATATCTATATCTATATCTCTATCTATCTATCTATCTATCTATCTATCTATCTATCTAGAGAGAGAGAGAGAGAGAGAGAGAGAGAGAGAGAGAGAGAGAGAGATAATATATATATATTCCTCACCCATAACTGAAGCCCTTTTGAAGGCCCTAAATTGAAGGAAGTTCTTATGAACACTACGACAGTCTCAACTCTTAACAAGATCTTCAGAAATAAAAGACAGGTGGCTTTTTTAATTAAAAGATAAAAATGTGATTGATGGACTAAGCTTTGCTGATATCTGCCTAAACTGGGTGATTCTAAGATGGTTGATGAAAGATTGTCAGCATATATATAGTCTGGCACAAAGATCAGGACTTCAGGAGAAATTAAAAGATTGAGAAAGACCAGGAGATCAAAGGAACCAATAGAAAATATATATATATATATGGAGAGATAAAAGTTTACCCTTGACTTCTAAAGTTGCTGTGGTTTGCTGTTCTCCAGATATACAAGCATAGGTTCCAGAATCTGTTACTTCTAAGTTCTGGATCACCAGTTCAGCAATTTTTCCTTCGTGTTTCATTTTATATTTGCTTCCTGACTTAAGAATCTTGTGTCCTTTCTTCCACTCTATAGGAGCAGAGATTTTGTTCAGCTCACACTGGAAAGTGGCAACTTTGCCTTCCATAGCTTCTTCGTCTTTTAAGGATTTGGTGAAGAGGACCGGCAGGGCTGAAGAATGGAGAATGATACGATAGAAGTCCATCAGGGTTAGCTGGAAGCACCAACAACTCCTTCCTTAGCAAACAATTGGGTTAATTAATCACGAAGCATAATTTAACCTAATCATTTACCTTAATGGGTTATTGAATGAGGTCTGTCCGATCCCTGCTGATTCCCATCTTGTCAGACTACTTGGAAATTACCATTTTAACCTCCAATTTATGGAATTTGTAATCTGGAATTCTTGCAAGTGTGGCTTGACTTTATCGTTTGATGCAAAAATTGGAGCGGACAATGGAAAGTGTATTGGTCTTGAGAATACAGGTAATCCTCAATTTACGACCACATTTCCAGCCAAACTTTGTTGCTGAGTTGTTCAGTGAGTTTCGCCCCATTTGATGACCTTTCTTGCCACAGTTGTTATGTGAATCTGGCTTCACCGTTGACTTTGGTTTTTTAGAAGATCACAAAAGGGGATCACATGACCCCGGGACAGTGAAACTGTCATAAATATCTGCCAATCCAATTTTTTATCATGTGACCATGGAGATGCTGCAATGGTCATAAGTATAAAAATGACCTTTAGTTACTTTTTTCATGGTCTTGTAACGTTGGTTACTAAATAATGGTTGTAAGTCAAGGACTGTCTGTACCAGTGATCGTATGGGTCTCAATGCATAGAAAAGTGAGGGCTGATGGTTGGACTAGATCAGGCTTCCCCAACCTTGGCAATTTCCAGCAGTGTGGACTTCAACTCCCAGAATTCCATAGCCAGCAGGTGCGTTGATGAGAGTTCTGGGACTTGAAATACACACACCTAAAAATTTTCCAAGGTTGGGAAACACTAGATTAGACTACTGAGATAGGACTAGTTTTTTAGCTAGAATTTCTGTATAAATAATAACTAGTTCTTTTTTTTTAAGAACTAGTAGACATTTGCCTAAAGTTTTAAATAGACTGCATAGAGAGGATTCCATTAATTGCAGCATCCCTAATTTCAGTTTAACAGTTGTATGCTCATTTAGAACAAACATAGAATCATAGAGTTGGAAGGGGCCTTGGAGGTCATCTAGCTCAAACTCCTGCTCAACCAGGAGATCCTACACCAATAATACCATTCTGGACAAATGGCTGTCCAATCTCTTCTTGAAAATCTCAAGTGATGGAGCATCTATAATTTTGGAATTCCACTGATTAATTGTTCTCACTGTCAGGAAATTTCTCCTTAGTTCCAGCTTGGAGTTCTCCTTGATAGGTTTCTGTTATTCCTTGTCCTGCTTTCTGGTGCTTTGGAGAACAGGTTGACCCCCTCGTCTTCTTTGTGGCAGCCCCTCAAATACTGGAAGACTGCTATCATATCCCTCCTGGTCCTTCTTTTCATTAAACTAGACATGCCCAATTCCTGCAACCGTTCTTCATATGTTTTAGCCTCCAGCCCCCTAATCATCCTTGTTGGTCTTCTCTGCACTCTTTCCAGAGTCTCAACATCTTTTTTACATCATGGATATAAATATTCCAAGTGTGGTCTTACCAAGATATTATAAAGTAGTATTAACACTCCATGTCATTTTGATTCTATCCAATCTCTGAATGCAGCCAAGGACTGGATTAGATTTTTGGCAGCTGCTGGCTCATATCTAAGTGGTGGTCTACTAGGACATCTATTAATCAAAGAATTTAACACTTTAAAACTATTAACAATGCCATTAACAGGGATTAATAGAACATTATTCATCTATTATGTTGTTTGCGTTATTTTAATTTTTTCTCCCTGTTGTTACATTTCTACAGGGCATGTAGAAGTCTAGGAGAATCCAGCAACATTAAAGCTGGATAACTAACTACATAAATTCATAAATCAGATGCAGATATATTGTATCTTCATATCCACTAACAGAAGCTTGTAGCTGAATTTAGATTCAGGTCCCTCTTTCAACATATTATTCATCACACTAAACTTTGGAAGTTGCAACAAGGAGAAATACCTTATTTAAGTCATCTAACATGGAACTAAGACTATCCAACTGAAGTTATCTTGGTTGGGAGTTAAGAGCTCTAGAGTCCATCAAAATAACCTCCATTCCTAGAAAATGATGTAGATAGAAACTCTTCAACATGGTATACCCCTCAAAGTAGGAAGGGTGAGATTAGGAGGAAGAGGACAAATACAAAATATGATTTTTCAAAATTATGAAAGATGCTGGAATGCCAAAGTGTAGAATCAGGTTTTCCTTGTTTTTCAAATACACTAGGTTTGGAGAAAACAAGAAGGGAACATGAAGTTGACAAAAGCGCCAATGCAATCCTGGGCTGCATCCACAGAGGGATAGAATCAAGATCATGTAAAGTGTTAATAACACTTTATAATGTCTTATTAAGACCACACTTGGAATATTACATCCAGTTTTGGTCACCACGATACTAAAAAGGTGTTGAGACTCTAGAAAAAGTGTAAAGAAGAGCAACAAAGATGACTAGGGGACTGGAGGTTAAATCGGTTGCAGGGATTTGTTATGGCTAGTCTAGTGAAAGGAAGGTCTAGGGACAACATGAAACCGGAGCACCAGAAACCCAAAGACCAGCTGGCTGGCGCACGCATGCGCACTGGCCAACTGGTCTTCAGGTTTCTGGCGCTCGGCACATGTGTGCACATGCATACACACGTTCTGCTTTGGGCACTCGATGCTGAAAAGGTTCGCCGTCACTGGTATAGGGGTTCCTGCCTGAGCAAGGGTTGGATTAGAAGACCTACAAGGTCCCTTCAAACTCTGTTATTCTGCATTCTGAATTGCTCTGTTGCAGCTGATTTCCTGGACAAGTTTAAAGAAGGTCTTTTCCCTGTAGCTCCTACAAATTTTTTGATGTCCCCAAAGGAATGCTGAGGAAGAGATATTTTGACCTCTTCCTTTGGAAATTGAAAGATTTTAAAGACACCATGTAGGAGACTGCAAGATTGATGATGACAAGTCAAAGACTGGTTTAAGAAGAAGAAGCAAGTTAGATGCAGGAAGATAAGCTGTGATGCTGAGCTTCATTGGAGAACACTAGAAAATATAAGACTTTTAAGATACAATGGTTTAAGGGTAATATGTATACTTTTTTTACCATTTATGGTCAATTTAGCTGTAGTCTTCTGGGCTCCACATTTGCAAGTATAATCTCCAGAATCGGTGATGTCCAAGCCTTGGATCACCAGTTCAACACAAGAACCTTCCTGTTTTAATTGGAATTTTCCATCCGGTTTCAGCAGCCTAGATCCCTTGTACCATTCCACACTTGCTGCTTTATTCAGCTTACACTGGAAAATGGTTGATTCCCCTTCGTTCACTTCCTTGTTTTTTAGGTCTTCTTGGAAAAACACAGGCAGGGCTGAAGGACGCGACATGGAGAAAGAGAGGATCAAATTACTGAATGAATTAGATCTCAATGGATAAAACCCTTGCGATGTTTGAAACATACCATGAGAGGAGGAAAATCAGGAAACTAAAATAAGGTTTATGAAACTGTGGAGAAGATCCTGCCTATGAAACCACATTAAAAGTGATTGCATTTCAGGCGATCGATGAAAGAACTTAACTATCAGGAGCAACCAAGAAACCTAAAGAAGATCAGTTGCAAAGACTTATTACCATTCACTTTCAAAGTTGCTTTGGTCTTCTGATCCCCACACATGCAAGTGTAACTTCCAGCATCTGGGACTTCCAGATCTTGGATGGACAGCTCAGCAAAGCGTCCTTCTAACCTCATTCGGTACTTCTCACTCGGTTTCAGTACTTTTTCATCCTTCATCCACACGACCAAATCCACAGCTTTGGTCAACTCGCAATGCAGAGTGGCGGTTCCACTTTCGGTCACCTCCTGGTTCTTCAGTTGAGTTTTGAAATGAGCAGCCACGGCTGAGGGACACAAGAAGATACCACATCAACAGAAACAAGTTATGGGGAAGACTATTTCTCACATACATGATGTCCAAACGTGACACCCATGGATTACCATCTGGTCTGTTCTCAACAGTTGCTACCCATTCCAACTTTGGAAGGTTGTTCTCAAAGTAGACTTCTCTTAAGGTCGAAAGTTGAATGCTCGCAAGACAGAATTATTTGGAGAAACAGGATTCAGCCTTGCTTAAAACGGACACGAGGACTACTTTCACCTGCTCTACTAATGCCAATGCTCAGAAACCATTTGCAAAGCAACATTTCCTGTCAAGCTAAAAAGGAAAGCAGAGATCTTGAGAGCAGAAGGATTCAGGAGATCAAAGCAAAAGAGAGTAGACCAGATGGTCAAACTTTGAAAGGACATAAATGGGAGGGGGGGTTTAGGAATACCTCCACAAGATAAGCAAAGCTGTGCTTTGTTTTGGCTTTTTTTACCATTCACGGTTAAGACTGCAGTCGTCTGTTGGTCTCCAGAAATGCAGGTATAATCTCCAGCATCTTTCAGGTCCAGATCATGGATTGTCAACTCGACGATGGTACCTTCTTTCTTCATTCGGTATTTGCTGCCTGGCCGTAAAGTTTTTTGTCCTTTCACCCACTCCACCGGAGCGGGTTTATTTAACTCACAGTGGAGAGTAGCTACTCCACCTTCCAGAGCCTCAGCCTTCTTCAGTTTTTCTTTAAAACTGACGGGCGTAGCTGGAGAATGAAGGGTTAGAGACAGAGAAATGGATGCGTGCGAAAATAGAAGATGATCACTTACCAATATTATATTCAAGTTATATTATAAATGAGGTCAAATCAGCAAATACATCAAATGTAAAGAAAACAAGTAGAGCTTTGATTGCACCATTTGACCACCTCCTTTAGACACCCGTTTCTAGCCCAAGACACAGACAGATAGTCATGAGAGCTGTTAGGACAATACGGGGTGGCAGAGAGATCTGTTTGAAGAAAGTGACTTAAACAAGAGTACTTTAAACTGACTATGAGTTTAGACAGAGAGGGGGAGAGAGAGAGAGAAAGAAAGAGAGGGAGGAAGAGAGAAAGAAAGAGAGAGACTGAGAGGGAGGTGATAGATAGATAGATAGATAGATAGATAGATAGATAGATAGATAGATAGATAGATAGATAGATAGATAGATAAATAGATAAATAGATAAATAGATAAATAGATAAATAGATAGATAGGAGAGAAAGAGAGAAAGAAATGATATAATGGCATCCGTGAATGAACTTGGGAGACAGGAGGGAGATCTGCAGATTGGAGAATCAGCAGGTAAAAGATACCTTGACCCACCGAAAGAAAAGGGGTGTGGGAAGCAATACAGAAGGGATCTTCCCTAATTTTCCAGGTTGGGAGAAATATTTTCAGTTTTGCAAAATTCTGTTCACGTAATCTTACAATACAGGTAGTCCTTGATTTACAACCATTATTTTAGTGACTCTTACAACAGCACTGAAAAATGGATTTACAACCGCACTTATGATCCTCACAGTATCCCCAAAGGGGTGTGATCGAAATTCTGGCCCTTGGGCAACAGGCATATATTTATGAGGGTAGCAGCATCCCAGGCTCACTTAATCGCCATTTGTGACCTTCCCACAAGAAATCAATGCAGGAAGCAAGATTTGCTTAATGAACATACAATTCACTTAACAACTCAGGTGATTTGCTTAACAACCCTGGCAAAAAAGGTTGTAAAATTGGGCATGGCTCCCTTAACAGCCGCCTTGCTTAGCAATGGAAATTCTGGCCCCAATTGCAATTGTATGTCAAGGACTACCTGTTAAGATAGCCCTAGGGGGTGCTTCTTATCTGGACTACCTTGAAGGGCTAATGTCCTAATTTTTAGCAAAAAGCAAAGAAAATAAGAAAGCAAAAAATTAGATGAAGGAAGTCCCAAAGGTACTTTTTCAAGAGGCCACAGGACTTTCTTATTTTTCTTTGAAGACATTTCACTTCTCATCCAAGAAGCTTCTTCAATTCTGACTGAATTGTGGAGGATGGAAGGATTTATACAGGTTATCCTCAGCTTACAACAGTTCATTTAGTGACCAATGAAAAAAGTGACTTATGACCATTTTTCACAGTTACAACCTTAACTGTGATCCCCTTGATCATGTGATCAAAATTCAAATGCTTGGCAACTGGTTCATACTTATGACTGTTGCTGTGTCCCAAGGGCATGTGATCACCTTTTGCTTCCTTCTGACAAGCAAAGTCAATGGGGAAGCCAGATTCACTTAACAAACAAGTTATTAACTTATCCACTGATTCACTTAACAACTGTAGCAAGAAAGCCTAGCCTAAATGGTTCTTAATTGGGATTTTAAATTTTATAGACTTGGGGGTTTTAAATTGGGAAGCCAATGATTTAATTCTTTTTAATTATCTTAACTTTTATATTGTATGTATTTTAATTTTGGCTGTTCAACGCCCTGAGTCCCTTCTGGGAGAAGAGCGGTATACAAATTAAATTAATAAATAAATAAAAATAAATAAAGGTCATAAAATGGGGCAAAACTCACATAACAAATGTCTTACTTAACAACAGAAATTTTGGGCTCAATTTGGTCATAAATCGAGGACTGCCTATATTCCTTGCAGTCATCTGGTCGTTAGCACTTTTTTTGAGAGTCATTGAGACCACTTGGGGGTTTTTCTGTGCCCTCAACGTCACTTGAATAGTGCAAATAGTGTGGAACATTTTTGTTACTGCTGAAAGGACTCTGTTGTAAACAGGAGACAGATAGCATCGTATCCCTTCCACTCTGTTCAGTGGATGTAGGTGGTCTCTTTGACCCCTCTTTCAAACCATCGGTCCTCTCTGTCCAGAATGTGGACTTTGCAGTGACCTTTGTTTTCCAAATGCAGATGAACTGCGGAATCTGGTCGTAATGGGTTTTTTCTTATAAAATGTGTCATGCATTTGTAAAGTTGTTGTTTTGTTTCCCCAATGTCCAGATCTGCATATGTCTCACTGCACTGTAAGCTCCACCACCCATTTGCACTATTCAGGTGACCCTGAGATAAACCCTCGAGTGGCCTCAGCGACTCTCAGAGAGAGCGCTAATGACCAGATGACTGCAAGGAATATAAATCCTTCCATCCTCCACCATTCAGTCAGAACTGAAGAAGCTTCTTGGAAAGGAAGTGAAATATCTTCAAAGAAAAACAAGGTCCAGTTATCTTTTGAAAATGCACATTTGGGATAACCATGATCTGGGTGACTGAGAATCCCCACAGACATTTAGACGAGGAAAAGGCAAGAGAAGATGAGGAATGTATCCACCATCTTTCCCTACCGTGGACTTTGATCTGAGCTGTGCTCTGCTTCTCTCCCGCATCACAAGTATATTTTCCTGCATCCTCTGGTTGTGCATGGTGAATCAGCAGCTCAGCCACACAGCCGTCCTGTTTCATCTTGTACTTCTCGCTCGCCCAAAGGAGAGTCGCACCTTTCTTCCATGCCACTGTGACCTCTGGCGCGGCGAGGACGCAGCGCAAAGTGACCGTCTCACCTTCTTTATTTTCCACATCCTTAAGCTCTTCCTTAAAAATGGCAGGGGCTGCTACAAGGCACGATCAGGATAAGGGGGACAAAGTAAGGTTTTGGAGGAAAACTTGCATGTGAGCTGATATGGCAACAGGAAGCAAACTGGGTTTGTATGCAGAAACACGGTTTGGGCAGCAGCAGAGGGCAATAAATAAATCTTCTAACTAAATAAAGCACCTAGCACTGAGGATTTTATCTAGTTGGGTAATGGGACGTCTGCAAAGAAACAACCAAGTTCAAAAAGCACCAAGGACCTTAGAGTCCTTCTCCTCCTCCTCCTCCTCCTCCTCCTCTGTATAATCCTCCATCCCTTCGAGCACTGATGATGTTACCTAACTGGGTCATGAGATGTCTGAAAGAAACAACCAACCTCACAGAGCACCAAGGACCAAGGAAATGAGATATGATGAAATGAAAGAATGAGATGATATGAGATATAGGATTGAGATATGACATGCGAGATTGAAAAATAAGGTATGGGATATGAGGTATGAGATTGAGAAATGAGATATGAGGTATGTCATAGAGATATGAGGTAAGAGTATGAGATATGAAATTGAGAGGAGATATAAGTTACGAGACATGATAGATGAGGTATGAGAAATAAGCTGTGAAATATGAGGTCTAAGATTGAGATATGAATGATATGAGGTATGAGGTATGAGATATGAAACTGAGTGGAGATACAAAATATGACACATGAGATATGAAATACGAGTTATGAGGTATGAGGTATAAAATTGAGATATTTATTTATTTATTTATTTATTTATTTATTTATTTATTTATTTAATCAAATTTATATGCCGCCCTTCTCCCATAGGACTTGGGGCGGCTCACAGAATAGAAACAACATAACAATAAAATAGTACTAAAACAAGCCAATTTAAAATCCCCAGACAATTAAAACTTCGCGGCAGATCAGGGAATTTGCTGAAAAAGCCATGTCTTCAGGTCGGCGTGGAAAGTGCGGAGGTCGGGAGATATGACTTAGATGCGAGGTATGAGATGAGGTATAAAATATCAGACTGAGATTTGAGATGAGATTGAGATATATGAGATATGACATGAGATATGAGATTTGAGATACAAGATATGAGGTATGAGATATGAGATGAGATATGAGGTATGAGATGAGATATGAGGTATGAGATGCAAGATATGAGAATCAGGTATCAGGTATGAGATATGAGATTGTGATGTGAGATATGAGATGAATGTAAGCAATGCCCTGTTGGATTGGACCCATCTGGTCCAGCCCTCAGTTCTCACAAAGGTCCACCTTTGTCCAAGCAAATCATCTTGGCCTTTTCATAAAACCAAAAGAGACACCCACACCAGCATTTTCTCAACGCTGGAATCCCTCTTTCTCTTGAGACCCTGAGAACGTGATGGTGAACCTATGGCACATGTGCCAGAGGTGCCACGCAGAGCCCTCTCTGTGGGCATGAACGCCGTTGCCAGCTGGTGTTCTGGTTTCCGGCACACACATGAACGCCGGCCAACTGATCTTCGCACATGCCAGAGCCCCGGCATGCATGCACCGGCCACCTGATCTTTGGGTTTCCAGCACTCCGGCACATACGAAGACCAGCTGGCCAGCGTGCACGCCCACACTGGAAACCAGACCAGGTGGGCGGTGCATGCATGCGCACAGGCCGGCTGGTCTTTGAGTTTCTGAGGCTGCGGCATGCATGCATGCATGCGCATGTGCGTTCCGGTTTGGGCACTCAGTACGGAAAAGTTTCGCCATCACTGCCCTGAGATTATTCACCCAATTTTTCTCTATCCATCCCTGGGATGGAGAACTTCAGAAGACCATTAAGTCCAGAACTGCTTTCAATACTGGCAAATGTTAGCAAAGGTCTCCTACCTGTCACCTCCACCCGTGCAGAGGTCTTCAGGTCTCCACTTTTGCAAATATATTCCCCTGCATCTGATGTCTTTGCCTCCCGGATAATGAGCTCAGCCACAGGACCCCGTTGCTTGAATTCATATTTGTCACCTGCTTCCAGGACTACGTTGCCCTTCATCCACTGCACAGGCACATCTGGTTTGTTAAGCTCACAAGTAAGACGGACTTTATTCCCTTCCTGGGCTTCCTTGTTTTGCAGTTCTTGGTTAAAAACTACTGGCAGGCCTAAAATGCAAAAAGAAAAAAGATGGAATAGGACAGAAGAGAAATAAACCATTACCCTTTTTTTTTAAATCACTAATCATATTGATGATTAGTAAAAAGGTAGCCCTTGACTTACAACAGTTCGTTTAGTGACCATTTGAAGTTACAAGGGCACTGAAAAAAGTGACTTAGGACCATTTTTAACATTTATGACCATTGCAGCATCCCTGGGGTCATATGATTAAAATTTGGACACTTATGATGGTTGCAGTGTCCCAGGATCATGTGGTCCCCTTTTGTGACCTTCTGACAATTAAAGTCAATGAGGAAGCCCAATTCACTTAACAACCTTGTGACCAACTTAACAATAGCAATGATTCACCTAACAACTATGCCATAATGGACGTAAAGTGAGGCAAAACTAACAATTTGTCTTGCTTAGCAATGGAAATTTGGGGATCAATTGTGGGCATAAGTCGAGGACCCCCTGTACTTAATTAGTGACTTCCCTCTGATTTTATTTCTACATGATTGAAACTATCAGACGCCGGTCCTACCTTGCACCACTAGCTTTGCACTGGATTGGCTGTCACCAATGTCACAAGTGTAGATGTCACTATCGTTTTCCTTAAGGTCCTTCACGAGGAGTTGCAAGACAGTTCCTTTTTGGCTGATCTCATATTTCTGGCTGGCTTGAAGGTCAACAATGCCTTTTCTCCACGCCACAGAAGAAGTTGGTTTCTTGGTTTCACAAGTGAGGGTGGCATTCTTGTTCTCCTCCGCCTTCAAGTCCTCAAGATCCTTCACAAAGCAGTTTCCAGCTTCTGGAACAGATGAAAAGAAAGGCCTTATCAAACTTAAGTAAGAGGAATAAATCCATTTATTTTATTTGCTTGTGTATAATAACCACTGGCCACATGCGTGAGTTCAGTATGTGGAGCTCAATGAATTGCCATCCAATTACAGGTAGTTCTCAAACTTGCAACTGTTTGTTTAGTGACCGTTTTTCACGCCAACAACTGTTGCAGCTTCCCTATGATCGTGTGATCAAAATTCATATGCTTGGCAACTGATTCATATTTATGACAGTTGCAGTGCCCCAGAGTCATGTGATCAATTTTCACAAACTTCTGACAAGCAAACTCAATGGGGAAAGCCAGATTCACTTAACAATCGTGTGTTCTGCCCCAGCTACAGGTCCCAAGAAATGTAGCACACACACACAGCTCCAAAAACTCTGTTTAATACAAACAAACCCCTTTCAAAATGCAGGCTTTAACCACAAATGTCCTTATCAGCCTGCTATGAATTACAGAGATTAAACAAAATCCGACAAGGGTTGGCAATCAGCCCAGAAATCAAGTTGTAACAAAAAACTCAGTCTCAAAATGCTCTGAGTAGGATCAATGCTATCTGTGTGTGAACTTAAATAGGCTAAGGGAGTGGCCAATTAACCCCAAGCCTTACTCTCGAGGAGACCTCCTCCTGAGTAGCCACTCCTGCTTTTTGGCAGCCCTGCATGCTTGAGCATTGAGAAGAGGCTCCTCCACTTCACTCTCTTCACTTGAAGGAGCCTCTGGAGGTTCTGAAGGCCCTGGCTGAGTCTTTGCCTCTAGCACCACATCCTCTTCAGCCTCCTCACTGTCCGACTCGAGCGCCAGTTGCACAGGCTGCTGGCGCGACACCACACCAGCCTCCTCATCGTCGGGATCAGCCACAATCTGCGCAGGCCACTGGCGGGCCACAACACCGTGTCACTAACTGAACAACTACAGGATTCACTTAACAACTGTGATAAGAAAGGTTCTAAAAAGGGACAAAATTTATTTAACAACTATCTCGCTTAGCAACGAAACGTTGGGCTCAGTTGTGATAAATTGAGGATTACCAGTATAGGGTTAGGGTTTTTGTTGCTAAATCTTTGTGGTTAAGCAAGACAGTTGTTAAGTGAGTTTTGCCCCACTTCACAACCTTTCTTACCACAGATGTTGAGTGACTAACTGCAGTTGTTCAGTTAGTAAAATGGTTGTTAAGTGAATCTGGCCTCCCCAGAAGATCACAAAAGGGGATCACATGACCATAGGAAACAGCAACTGTCATAAGTACAGGTCAGTTGCCAAGGGTCTGAATTTTGATCACTTGACCATGGGGATGCTGCAATGACTGTAAGTGTGAAAAATAGTCCTAAGTCACTTTTTTCAGTGCAATTGTAACTTCAAACTGTCACTAAACAAACAGTTGTAAATTGAGGATTACATGCACCCCTATCACTGACCTTCCACCGATAGCGTGGCTTTTGTTTTGGAGAATTCGGTCTCACAGGTATATTGTCCACCATCTTTCACTGTGGTGTCATGGATGATTAAAATCGCTCGGGAGCCTTCCTGACGCAGGTCGTATTTTTGACTCCTCCGAATCTCTTTGCCATCCTTTTTCCACTTCAGGTTGTTGTCCCATTTGGACAAATCACAACTCAGGCTGACTTCACATCCCACTAAGGTGGACTTATCCTCCAGCTGTTTTGTGAATTCAGCGGGCTTTTCTACGGGGAACAAAAGATTGGGAAACCAAGTCAGAGAAAACACACAAGATTTGTGACTGTCTGTTGCATGTCTGCAACAGTTACAGATGGAAAAGTAAGGCTGTATTTAGACTGTGATTATGAAATGGCTGCATGGTGCATCCTCACGTTGTAAAAATTATCTCAAGAGGTTCCTTGGCTCTCATGAGTTGGTCAGGTCTTTCTAGGACTTTGTGGGGACTTCGTGTTTAGATATGGTAAAATAACTAGATATGGGATAATTAGATATGGGAAAATACAGCAGTTAAATATGCATATCTATGTCTGTCATCTATCTATCCAATAATCCATCCACCCATCCATCTACATCTCTCTCTCTCTCTCTCTGTGTGTGTGTCCCCTACCTATCCCCCTACCTAAGTACCTACCTTTATATCTATCATCTCTATCATGTCTCTCCCTTCCTCCCCCCCCCCACTCTCTCTCTCTTACACACACACACACACTGATTTGACAAGTTTGTGATTCTTTCATTAAGAAAATATTCCTGAAACATGAAACATCTGCAAGGAAACCTCCAAGCTCAGAGACAACCCCCCTCCCCCCAGGACCCATCCCCGGTTGATGATTTCATGGGACTCTCTACTCCATCTGACTTATTTTAATACAATCATAGCTCCCTCCCCACTTCGCACCTTTCACTGCAAGAGATGCTTTGGATTTTAAATCACGGACGGAAAACACCACTTCACCGGCATCGGTAACTAAGGTTTTCTTGATTGTGAGGGTGTATTTTCTTCCTTTGTTGAAGGCTCGGAATCGGGCGTCATGGCTGACTTCGTTCCCATTGATCAGCCAGTGACAACCATCCAGACTCTCATGTGAGAGGACACATTCGAAGCTACAACCCTCTCCTTCCTGCACCTCAATGCTCTTTAGACGCTTTGTAATACCGATATTCAGCTCTGTTGCAAAATAAGAAGTGGATTAAATTAAAATAATTATCAGAAGTCCTCAATTTACAACAGCTCATTTAGTGACTGTTTGAAGTTACAACTGCACTAAAAAAAAGTGATATGACTATTTTTCACACCTATGACGGTTGCAGCATCCCCATGATCACGTGATCAAAATTCAGACACTTGGCAACTGACTCATAGTTACAATGGTTGCAGTGTCCCAGGGTCATGGGATCCCCTTTTGTGACCTTCTGACAAAGCAAGTCAATGGGGAAGCCACTTAACAACTGTGGCAAGGAAGATCGTAAAACTCACTTAACAAATGTCTCTCTTAACAACAGAAATTTTGTGCTCAATTGTGGTTGTAAGTTGAGAACTATCCATAATTAAAATTAATTTAAATTTCATTTCATTTCATTTAGAATTTAACTTAAATTTAAAAATTAAAATAATTAAAATAAAATAGCATTAAGTAATTCTTGGCACCCTTGATCAATCAGATAGTCCTCAACTTACAACTGGGTCATTGTGACGACAATAACGCGGGCCACCATGGAAGTGTACCTGATTTGACAACCTTCTTGTCTTGTCTTCAGGTGCTTTGGGGAATAAGTGGACCCCCTCTTCTTTGTGGCAGCCACTCAAATATTGGAAAACTGCTATCATGTCACCTCTAGTCCTTTTTTTCACTAGACTAGACATAACCCAGTTTCAGCAACTGTTCTTCATATGTTTTAGCCTCCAGTCCCCTCATCATCTTTGTTGCTCTTCTCAGCACCCTTTCTAGGGTCTCCACATCTTTTTTACATTGTGGTGACCAAAACTGGACACATTATTCTATGTGGGGTCTTACAATCCCTAATCATTTCTACAATTTTTCTAGAATCTCAACATCTCTTTTGTATCATGGTGGTCAAACACTGAGTGGACATCACTGTGAAGATAAGACCTCTCCTACCTACACAATGCCCTAAAGTTGTATTGCTGGACCAACTCCCATAGTCCTTATCCTACACCAACTGTGGAATTCCAAGAGATCTGGAAGCTCACCACTGCAAAAGAATGGAGAATGATGTTCTCCTGACTCAACCATTCTGAGTTTCCCAATTCTGCGTACCTTGAATGATGACTTTAGACTTGGCGACATCCGTTCCAAGGTCACACGTGTACCATCCAGCATCATCCTTGCCAAGATCTCGGATGGTGAGTCCCAGGGTCTTCCCAGATTGCAACATCTCAAATTTATCTCCTGGGGTCAGTTCCACCCCTTCCTTCTTCCATACCGGTTTCACTTTCGGTTTTGAGACTTCACACTCCAGTGTGATAGTGCTTCGTTCCTCAGCAACCACGTCGTCCAGAGATTTCATGAAGACAGCCGGCTTCTCTGCAGAAAATGGAGTCAAAGGTGTGTTTAGAAGTCATGTTTAGAAGTCGGCACCTGGATGAAGCTATCTATCTAGACCCGTACGAGTCGGGCTTCAGGCAGGGGTACAGCACAGAAACGGCATTGGTCGCGTTGGTGGATGATCTCTGGAGGGCTCGGGACAGGGGTTGTTCCTCTGTCCTAGTCCTATTAGATCTCTCAGCGGCTTTTGATACCATCGACCATGGTATCATGGTTGAGGGGGTTAGGAATAGGGGGCACTGTTTTGCGGTGGTTCTCCTCCTTCCTCTCCGACCGCTCGCAGTTTGTGTTGGCAGGGGGGCAGAGGTCGACCTCGAGGCGTCTAGCATGGGGAGTGCTGCAAGGGTCGGTCCTCTCGCCCCTCCTGTTCAACATTTATGTGAAGCCGCTGGGTGAGATCATCCGTGGTTTTGGGGTGAAGTGCCATCTGTACGCTGATGATACTCAGCTGTACATCTCCACCCCAGACCACCCCAACGATGCCCTTGATGTGATGTCCCGCTGCCTGGAGGCCGTGCGGGTCTGGATGGGGAGGAACAGGCTCAGACTCAACCCCTCCAAGACCGAGTGGCTGTGGCTTCTGGCGCCCCGATATAGTCAGCAGGTGCCATCGCTGACTATTGGGGGTGAATCTTTGCCCCCCACGGAGAGGGCTCGCAAACTGGGTGTTCTCCTGGACGCGCGGCTGTCTTTAGAAGAGCATATGACGGCCGTGGCCAGGGGGGCCTTTTATCAGGTTCGCCTGATTCGCCAGTTGCAGCCCTTTCTGGATCGGGACGCCCTGCGCACGGTCACTCATGCCCTTGTTACTTCCCAGTTGGACTATTGTAATGCTCTCTACATGGGGCTCCCCTTGAAGAGCACTCGGAGGCTCCAACTGGTCCAGAATGCGGCCGCGCGGGTGGTTATGGGTGCAACCCGTTATGCCCATGTGACACCCCTCCTGCGCGAGCTGCACTGGCTCCCGGTGGTCTTCCAGGTGCGATTCAAGGTGTTGGTTACCACCTTTAAAGCGCTCCATGGCATAGGACCCGGGTACCTCCGAGACCGTCTTCTACCACCAATAGCCTCCCACTGACCAGTTCGTTCCCACAGAGAGGGTCTCCTCAGGGTGCCATCAGCCAAGTTATGTCGGCTGGCGACGCCCAGGGGGAGGGCCTTCTCTGTGGGAGCCCCAGCCCTGTGGAACGAACTGCCCCCGGAAATTCGTAAGATCTCCGACCTCCGGGTGTTTCGCTGCGCATTGAAGACCCTGTTGTTCCGCCAGGCCGGACTATCAACACAATAGTTTTAAATTGGGGTATTTAAATTTATTGGGGTTTTAAATTTGAGCCACTTATTTAATTATTTTAAATTTTATATCATTGTTTCGTCTGTGTTTTTAAATAGGCTGTACACCGCCCTGAGTCCTTCGGGAGAAGGGCGGTATAGAAATAAAATTATTATTATTATTATTATTATTATTATTATTATTATTATTATTATTATTATTATGTTGTTGTTGTTGTTGTTGTTGTTGTTGTTGTTGTTGTTGTTGTTGTTTGTCGGGCTCACATAAGTACTCTTGATCAATATTCCTCTGTTGAATTGTATGAATTGGGAGACAATTCATACAATTCAACAGAGTATGCAAAGATGGTGTCAGAGGTAGCAGAGATCACAATAAGTCTTTAAAAAGAAATTGCTCTGACCTCTCTGGAAATTACAATAATTTCTTGAAATAAAGTTTGCTGTAACTGTTGACTAACAAAAGGAAGTATAAGGATATTTTAGTACAGCCTTACAATCACAATTGAGCCCTAAATTTCCATTGCTAAGTGAGACATTTGTTAAGTGAATTTTTCCCCATTTTATGACCTTCCTTGCCACAGTTGTTAAGAGATTCACTGCAGTTGTTCTGTTAATCACATGGTGTATAACTTGAATCCGGCTGCCCATTGACTTTGCTCGTCAGAAGGACTCAAAAGGGAATCACATGACCCCAGGACACTGCAACTATCATAAATATGAACCAGTTGCCAAGCATCCAAATTCTGAACATGTGACCAGAGGATGGTCACATGGTGACAATGGTCATAAGTATGAAAAACGTTCCTAAGCCACTTTTTTCAGTGTCGTTGTAACTTCAATTGGTAACTAAATGAAGTGTTGTCCTCTGAGGACTACCTGTAAGTTCTTCATTCTACAGACAGTATGTGTTTCCTTCCTAATCAGCTTGTGTTTCCTTACTTTACGCAACTAAATGAACGCTGGCTAAAATATTGTACCTGGTCCTTTCCCAGACTTATGGGAAGATTCACATTTACTCAGATCCGAATAAACGTGTCACTTAGAGAAAACTGGGATCTGTTTCTTTGCCCATTCTGGGCCCAAACTTGACATTGTGCAAAACAATTTTTTACAAGTTCCAGATGTGGGATGAGTAAGATGGTGTGTACCTGAACGGTTCCAGATTTATTCAGCAATGAATTGCCATTTGTTTACTGACCGCTTGAAGTTACAACAGTACTGAAAAAAGTGAGTTATGACTGTTTTCACACTTAACAACCATTGCAACATCCCCCCATGGTCATGTGATTAAAATTCAGATGCTTGGCAGCTGACATTTATGACTGTTGCAGTGTCCCGAGGTCACATGATCCCCTTTGGCAACCTTCTGACAAGCAAAGTCAATGGGGAAGCCGGATTCACTTAACAACCGTGTGACTGACTTAATGACTGCAGTGATTTTCTTAACAACTGTGGCAAGAAATGTCGTAAAATGGGGCAAAATTCATTCATAATCTTTCAGTTAGCTACAGAACTTTGGAACTCAGTTGTGGTTGTAAATTGAGGACTATCTGTGGTATATGTATGCATATTGGCATATCTACAGAAGTGTGTGCGCACACACGCAAACACAGAGTGATTTTAATAGATAATAAGCCATCCAGAGGATCTGAAATTTTTGGTTCTTCTAGATGGGGAAGAAGATATTAAAAAAACTTGAGCTTGGGGCAGCGTGATGGGCCTGAAGCAGAGATTACAACCAAGATTATCACTAAGACCAACAACCAAACCATAAACAACAGCCCAATCAAGAAACTACTGACTCTAGAGGAGATAGCCAGGGCACACATCTAATAAATAAACAAATAAACACAGACAAACAATCAAAGAGTAAACAACAGCCTAAGAAAGAAACTAACCAACACTGATAGGGCAAGCCACTTGAATAAATAAACAGAGAATAAACTCCACTCCCTTCTAGCACTGATGTTACATAGTTGGGTAATGAGATATCTTCAAAAAAACAAGAGAGCACCAAGAATCCCACAGTCCTTCTCTTTCTCTTCCTCCTTATCCTCCACTCTGAAAACCCTTCTAACATTGATGATATTACCTAATTGGTAATACCTATTACCTAATGAAAGCAAGCTCAGAAAGCATTGAGGACCCCTCAGAAAGCATTGAGGACCCCACAGTCCTTCTCCTCCTCTTCCTCCCCTTCCCTTTCTTCTCGTTCTCCTCCTCTCTGTAAATGCCACTCCCTTCTAGCAACTATGATGTTACCTAATTGGGTCATGAAACATCTTCAAGAAAACAACCAAACTCAGAGAGCACCAAGGACCCACCTGCCTGAAGCTCTCCCAAGATGTGCCCATAGATTTCATCTGCCAAGTTGGAAACAGGCTATCTCAAGGCCCCTAAGCTGCCTCCTCACACCTCAAAAACACTGGAAGAAATAGAAACTTACCTTTCACCTTCAGCCGGGTGCTCTCAGAAATTTTCTTCTGAACCTTGATGGTCACTGTCCCACTGTCTTCTGGCGTGACATGCTTCAGCGTCAGGCTGTGGGAGTTGCCCAAATGCTTTATCTCATTGAAGTTGTTGGGGAAGAGGTGGGTATCATTGAGGAACCATTCAACATCCTCACAATCTTCAGACAACTCACAGGAGAAGGTAGCCAAGCTCTCTTCGTCAACCTCCACATCCTGCAGATGTTTGGTGATCTCCACTTTGCGTTCTATGGCAAGGAAGGAGAAGTCAAGAGGACACTGCTCCGTTCCGTACACAGCTTGGTCACTGCTTCCACACGTTGTAACACACATAGAGCCAGTTTGGTCTCGTGGTTAAGGCACCAGGCTAGAAAGCAGGAGACCATGAGTTCAAGTTCCAGCTTAGCCATGAAAGCCAGCTAATTGACTTTGGGACAATCACCAGGAGACCCTGAGTTCTAGTCCCACCTTCGGCATGACAACCAGCTGGGAGACTTTGGGCCAATCACTAGGAGATGGTGAGTTCTAGTCCTACTTTAGACATGAAAGCCAGCTGGGTAACTTGGGTTAATCATGAGAAGAAGGTGAGTTCTAGTCCCACCTTAGGCATGAAAGTCAGCTGTGTGATTTTGGGCCAATCACCAGGAAAATGTGAGTTCCAGTTCCACTTTAGGCATGAAAGCCAACTGGCACACTTTGGGCCAATCACCAAGAGATGGTGAGATCTAATCCTGCTTTAGACACCAAAGCCAGCTGGGTGATTTTGGAACAATCACCAAGAGACTGAGAGTTCTAGTCCCACTTTAGGCATGAAACCAGCTAGGTGATTTTGGGCCAATCACTGGGAAAAGTGATTTTAATCCCTCTTTAGGCATGAAAGCCAGCTAGAGTCAATCTCCAGGAGACAGCAAGTTCTAGTCCACCCCTTTTGGCCTCCTACATAAGGTCTATCCTGAAAGGTCCCATCCCATCAACCTACCCAAAATGGTCAATGTGGCTTTCGTCTCTGCACTTCCGGCTTTGCATCGGTAGACACCTGAATCCCCGACGGTCAACCTCAGGATTTTGAGCTCAGCTGTGAACTTCTCCCTCTTCATCTTAAATTTCTCAGAAGGTTCCAGCAATGTGTGATTCCTATACCACTCAACCTCCTTTGGGGATGGCTTGAAGTCACAAGAGAGGACCACCGAATGGGTTTCTAGGACCGTCCTGTCTTCTAGAGGTCTGGTGAAAATCACTGGAATATCTGCAGAGAAAACAGGAAGAAAGTCACCTTCGAAACCAAGAGGACTCATACGAAGACTGGGTTAAACTGTGAATCATTCTCTTCCAACTAGAATCATTGGGGCCTCAAAAGCTCCATAATTTTATGAACTCGGCACCTCCAAACATTTTTCAACTATAATTCCCAGAATTTCACCCAGTTTGAGGCCATGCAGGCTCATAATCTGAGAAATTATTGCCCGATTTGTGTAGTTGTATCCCTTCTCTACAACACTTGTGATGCACGGTTTTGGAGTGGATTTCTTTTTATCATTTTCCATTGCTTCCCCTGTAGTTTCAAAGAGATGCATCTTCCAAAACTTGAAAAATCCTTGAAATTATCCACGGAAAACTTTGCCTAGTTGATGTTCTTCAAAGGAGTTACCATTGCTAATATTTTCCAGTTTGATAAAGCAAATAAGGTGGCTACCAAAATTTTGATCTGTTTCATTATTGAATCTTTTACCAAATCAAATCTGAACTGAGTCTATTTATTCTACTGATACAACAGAATCTTTGTAGCTAAGGATTAAACTGTGGGATCCTCATGGGTGTCAAACTCGCAGCATCAAGTTGCCATCACATGACGTATCGCGATGTTTTTTCCCTTTTTTCCCCGGAGCTGGGATGGGCGTGGCCTGCGTGTGACACATCTGGCTCATGGGCCACCATTTGACAACCCTGCTATAACTGGACTAGAAGAACTTCACGGTCATTTCCAACGTTATTACAGATAGTCCTTGACTTACAACAGTTCATTTAATGACTATTCAAAATTACAGTGGCACTGAAAAAAGTAACTTATGACCATTTTTCACACTTACAGCATCCCCATGGTCATGTGATCAAAATTCAGATACTTGGCAACTAATTCATATTTATGATGGTTGCAATGTCCTGGGGTCGTGTGATCCTCTTTTGTGACTTTCTGACAGGCAAAGTCAGAAGGAGAAGCCAGGTTCACTTAACAACCACATTACTAACTTAACAACTGCGGTGATTCTCTTAACAACCGTGACAAGAAAGGTAGTCAAATGGGGCAAAATTCATTTAACAAATGTTTCAGAAGTTTTTGGGTCATTTTGGTCATGTTGAGGGTTACCTGTATTCTGTTCTGTTCTGTTCTGTTCTGTTCTGTTCTGTTCTGTTCTATTCTATTCTGTTCTGTTCTGTTCCATTCTATTCTATTCTATTCTATTCTATTCTATTCAGAATTCTACTCTACTCTACTCTATTCTATTCTACATTCTATTCTTTTCTATCTCTCCTCTCCTCTCCTCTCCCATCCTAGCCACCCCACCCCATCCCACCTGTTCCATTCTATTCAATAAATTCTGTTCTATTCTATTCTTTTTATATTTTATTCTCTCTTCTCTTCTCCTCTCCTCTCCTCTCCTCTCGTCTCCCACCCCACCCCACCCACTCCATTCGGTTCGATTCCATTCCATTCCAAATAAGCACACAAGTCTAAGGACTACCATCACCCACAAAGTTTTCCATGGCTGTTTTAAACTTGGCAGGACTTCCCCCTTACCTTTGACCATCAGATCAGCCAAGGATTTGGACTTGCCAATGGCAAATTGGATGGTGCCTGTCATGTCCACATTGGTTTTCCTCAAGATCAGCCGGTGGATTTTCCCCTCTTGTTCTATGATGATATTTGGGCCCTTCTGTAGCACTTCCCCACGGAGAGACCATTTGGGGGGCTTCACTGAGTGGATGGAGATTTCGCACTCAAAGCGGGCTTCGGCTGGTTCCATCACCTCCACGTCTCTCAGCTCCTTCACGATGTTGATGGTTTGTTCTGAAGAGAAATAATGGAAGAAAGAGTCAATCGATAGGTCATTACCGTTGGAGCTTGGAGACTCGGTCATCCCCAAGTTCTTCAAGTCATCACTGTTGACCCAAAAAAAAGTTTTCTAAGATACAAGTAGTCATTGACTTACAATCATTCATTTAGTGACCGTTAGAATGGCAGTGAAAAAAGTGACTTCTGACCATTTTTAACACGACCATTACAGTATCCATGGTTACGTGATCAAAATTCAGATGTTTGGCAACCAACGTTGCATATGAGACGGTTGCAATGTCCTGGGGTCATGGGATCACTTTTTGCGAACTTCAGACAAACAAAATCAATGGAGAAGCCAGATTCACTTAACAACCATGTGGCTAACTTAACAATTGCAGCAATTCACTTATCAAACATGGCAAGAAAGGTCCCAAAATGGGGCAAAAGTCTCTTAACAATTGTGCCACTTAGCAACAGAAACTTTGCGTTCAATTGTAGACGTAAATTGAGGACTATGTGTACAAGTGAGAGTAGGATATACCTTCTACGTAGAACTGAGCACTGCTCTTGTCATCCACGGCATCGCAGGTGTAAATCCCTTCATCCTCAAACTCGGTCTCGTTGATGATAAGTTTCCGGTAGATCCCATCGCTCACTATCTCATACTTCTGGCCAGAATGGAGTTCTAGGTCTCCTTTGAACCACTTAACGATGGCATTCGGGCGAGAAACTTGGCACTCCATAAAACCTCGGTGTCTTTCGATGGCAATCTTCACCCGGAGGGGTTTAATGATCTTGACCGGTAGTTCTGAAGGAGGAGAACAGAAGAAGGTCACTGATATAACTTTGCAGGGAATTCAATGTGGATAATTAATACAGGTAGTTCTTGACTTATGATCATTTATTTAGAGATTATTAGAAGTTATAACGGCACTGAAAAAAATGACTTATGGCCATTTTTCACATACAACCATCGCAGCATCTCCATGATCACATGATCAAAATTCAGACGCTTGGCAACTGACTCATATTTATGATAGTTGCAGTGTCCCAGGGTCACGTGATCCCCTCTTGCAACCTTCTACAAGCAAATTCAATGGGGAATCCCTTATTAAAATTCCCTTAACAACTGAGTGATTGTGTGATTATCTGTATGATTCTCTTAACAACTGTGGTGAGAAAGTTCATAAAATGGGACAAAACTCTCTTAGCAACTATCTTGCTCTGCAACAGAAATTTGCAGCTCAGTTGTGGTCGTGAGGCAAGGGCTATCTGTAGTTAGTTTGAGGATACGCTTTCTGAAAAAAAAAACTGAATTCATTGAATTATGAAGTCACTCCTTACCTTTGACTTTAAGTTGAGCTCGTGATTCTGCAGTTTCAGCCACAAATTTTATTTCTGCGGAATCCTGCAACTCCACACTGCGGTAAACCAGGGAGTGACTTTTCCCTGCACACAAAAATAAGTCTCCAAGTTACAGGTCATCCATGATTCATCCATCAAACAAGTAAAAGTCATCCAAATTAAGACAAAAGCTCGCCACTCACTTTGACAGAACCATCTCCCCGTTTAAGGAACAGCCAAGATTACAGAATAACAGAGTTGGAAGGGACCTTTGAGGTCTTCTAGTCCAAACCCCGTTCAAGCAGGAGACTATTCTATTTCAGACAAATGTTTGTCCAATATCTTCTTGAAAACCTTCAGTGATGGAGAACCCACAACAGAATAACAAGATAACAGAATAGCAGAAAAACAGAACAAAAGAACAATAGAGTTGGAAGGAACCTTGGGGATCCAAACCCCTACTCAGAACCTATAATATTCCAAACAAATGATTGTCCAGTTTCTTCTTAAAAGCTTCTTATGCAGCAAGGAATATGGTTATTGTTCCTTGCTTCTCTGGCAAGGAGGGGTCAGGAGATAAAAAGGACCCTTGAGCATAATTGCTGCTATTATAAAGGTAGTCCTCAACTTATAACAGTTCATTTAGTGACCATTTGAACTTATGACAGTGAAAAAATGGTTTATGACCAATTTCACACCCTCCAACCATTGTAGAATCCCAAAGCTCACATTATCACAATTCAGACACTTGACAACGGACTCATATTTATGATGGTTGCAGTGTCATGGGTCATGTGATCATCTTTTGCGACCATCTGACAAGCAAAGTCTATGGGAAAGCCAGAATCACTTAACAACCTTGTGCCTATCTTAACAACTGCAGTGATTCACATAATAATTGTGGCAAGAAAAGTTGTAAAATGGAACAAAACTCACTTAACAAATATCACACTTCACAAGAGAAATTTGGGGCTCAATTATGGTTGTAAATCAAGAACTACCTGTACTGCATTTTTGTGTATTATTGTCACCCAGTCAGCGAGATATTCAGACTGGATTTGGTCTTCTTGTCCACCTATCAAATTCCTCCCAAGAAGCTGAGAGAGGCAGATGTGTATGTTTGATGGTGTTAAAGTTTCTGTTGCAGATTGTAAGCTGTTCCAAGTCAAGCTGCCTTCTGCAATTGACTGATTAGGATGTTGTCAATAGCAATGATGCATCATTAATGTTGGTTGCACCATCAGCCAGATGTTCAGACTGGATTTTGTCTTGTGTCTTTCCCAAGGATCTGGGCTAGGTAGATGTTATTGTTCTTGTCATAGCATAAAAGCTATTCTGAATAAAGTTGTCTTTTGCAATTGACTGACAAGGATTTTGTCAATGCCCATCAGTCAATTGCAAATGGTGACTTAACGTGAATTAGCTTACACCCTTCAACGAGACCTTTAGCATCATCAAACATAAACATCTTAATATTATTATGGATTATGAAATATGTGCAAGCAAATCATCAAACTCAGAGAGTACCAAGAAAACCACAGAAAGAGAATCCCAAATAAACAGGGCTTAACCCCAGACAATCAAGCAGAAAACAATATCTTAATCAAGGAACCACCAAAGAGAAAATCATACTTTCACCAACAGTGGCAAAGCAAGCTACTGTATATAATTAGGGAGCAAACCTATATTCCCTCACATAGATGATGTTATCTAGTTGGCTCATGCGATGTCTGCAAGCAAACGACCAAGCTCAGACAGCACAAAGGATCCCACACAAAGATAAGCATGGATTAACCCCAGACAAACAATCAAATAGAAAACAATACCCTAATCAAAAAGCTCCCAAGGAAATAAACAACCCATCAACCCTGCCAGGGGAAACAGCCATGTATAAAAAGGAAGCAAACTCCATCTTCATTCACATGGATGGTGTTACCTAGTTGGGTCAGGAGATGTCTGCAAGCAAACATCCAAGTTCAGACAGCACCAAGGACTCCACAAAAGAGAAACCCAGATAAGCAGGGATTAACCACAGACAAGCAATCAAGCAGAAAACAATGCCCTGATCAAGAAACTACCAAGGAAAAAAAAACTCATACCCGACCAACACTGTTCTTTTTAGCAACTGTAGATAAAAAGAGAGCAAACTCCACACTCCCTCATATGGATGACGTTATCTAGTTGGCTCATGTGATGTCTGCAAACAAACGACCAAGCTCAGAGACCACCACTTTTCAATTCTTCCTACCTTCCTGACGTAGTTTGATGTTCTCTCCAGCCCGGATTTTGTTTTTGTTACTGAACCACTGGGTTTGAACATCATCATGTGAAATCTCGCAAAGGAAAGAAGCACTTTCTTTTTCGCTCACTTCCACATCTTCCAACGGTTTTACAATCTTGATGTCCCGGGCTAAGGAATCAAAATGAGACATTTTTCTTTAAGGTTAAAGAGTCTGTGTTTCTTGCAGTCATTAGTGTGTGGGGGAAATTATACACAGTTTTATTTTATATATTAGTAGAAAAAAATTCCTGGGGAAATAGTAAGGAGTGGATCTTGAGGTTTAGCTAGGTGGCCACCAGGAATGGCAGAGAAATATTTGAATATGAACTTATTATATCTCTATAAGTAGTCCTTAACTTACGACCACAATTGAACCCAAAATTTCCATTAAGCGAGGCAGCTGTTAAGTGAGTTGCACCTCTTTCTATGAGCTTATTGCCACAGTTGCTAAGTGAAACTGTAATTATTAAGTAAATCATATGTTCGTTAAATGAATCCGGCTTTCCTCATTGACTTTGTTTGTCAGAAGGGAAGGTGATTCATTTAACAACCATGGCAAGATTGTTAAATCAGGCGCAATTCACTTAACAACCACCTTATTCAGAAATTCTGTTCCCAATTATGGTCGTAAGTCAAGGACTATCTGTATTCACTGATTGCTTCAAGAAGAGTTGGAATGGAACTGGCTTTAAAAAAGCAGAGACATAATGTCATTCTTAAGGTAAACTTGAATAATATATAATTATAGTAATTATAATAATTGAAATGGGAATATTCTCATATCTGACCTGCACTCCTTCACTTATATTAGACCCAACTTTCTATTACAAGTAGTCCTTGACTTATGACAACCGAGCCCCAAATTTCTGTTGCTAAGTGAGATAATTGTTAAGAGAGTTTTGCCCCATTTTACAATCTTTCTTGCCATAGTAGTTGAGTGGAATCACTGCACTTCTTAAGTTAGTAACATAGTTGTGAAGTGAATCAAGCTTCCCCGTTGACTCGGCTTGTCAGAAGGTTGCGAAAGGACCTTCACATGACCTCAGGACACGACAACTGTCATAAATGTAAGTCAGTTGCCAAGCATCTGAATTTCAATCATGTGACCATGGGGATGATGCAATGGTCAGAAGTGTGAACAACGGTCATAAGTCACTTTTTTCAGTGCCATTGTACCTTTGAAGCGAATGTTGTAAATCAAGGACTACCTGCATAATGAAACAAACATCTATATCCTGGCATTGTATATAAATAAATAGCTAGAATATCTTGAAAGCTGGGGAAAAATATTTTCACACTGATACAAAGACCAGTGCTTGTCAGAACAATAAACAGGTGTAATTTATCCTGATTGCCCACAAAGAAGGCAACTTTCTCCATTCTGCATTGACAAAGAATAAATAAATGGAGAATTTTGCTTCCTGAAATTACATGTATTTATTTTATTCTTATCCTGACTTTATTACTTCATAAATACCTAAAGGTGGCAAACATACTTAATACTCCTTTCCAGTAGTGGGTTCCATTTATCTTCCCTACCGGTTCAGAACTGTGAGAGCTCATGCACAGTACCTTCTGCACATGCACAGAGCATCCATGATAACGTCCGGGTAGGTGGGCGGAGCCTCCCGCCGCCGCCTGAACTGGGGTGAACCGGGGCGAAGATAGAAACCCACCACTGCTCCTTTCTCCTCCTCTTTTCCCCACAACAACAACCCTCTTGGTGATTGGCTCAAAGCCAGCTGGCCAGCTTTCATGCCTAAGGCGGAACTAGGGCTCATCATCTCCTAGCGATTGGCCCAAAATCACCCAACTAGCATTCATGTCAAAGGCAGAACTAGAACTCACCATTTCTAGGCCTGCACCTTGGACAACACTTTGGAATACATTTAGGAAGAACACAATGTCCCTGTGTGTCTAAAAGAAGTCTACTCTGATTCAATCTTCTTTTATATTAAATACTATTAATCACAGCTCCTAAATTCTCATTCCTTGGATGAGATTCCAAGAAGAGAAACCTGACTCCAACAAATTTAGGGATTTAGAGAGGGCATTTGTACCATGGATCTCCAAAACAGCTGAGCTCTTATCATCTACCGCATCACACATGTATGTTCCTTGGTCTTCGTATTCACATGTATGAATGATGAGGCTTCTCTTTGGTCCTCTGGAAGCGATGGCCATCTTTTTACTTGGCCGGATCTCCACTCCATTCTAAAATCAAGAAGTCCATAGAGGAGTTTATTGACAGAAAATTTTACTAGATCCAAGTTTTGAGACAGGTCCTGAGATACAAGTAGTCCTCGACTTACAACCACAATTGAGTATAAAATTTCTACGACTAAGTGAGACACCATTAAATGAATTTTGTTCCATTTTACAATCTTCCTTGCCACACTTGTTAAAAGAATCACTACAGTCGTTAAACTAGCAACAGAGTTGTTAAGTGAATCTGGCTTCTCCATTGACTTTGCCTTTCAGAAGGTCGCAAAAGGGGATCATGTGACCCCAGGACACTGCAACCATCATAAATATGAGTCAGTTGTCAAGTGTGTGAATTTTGAAAACGTGACATGGGGATGCTGCAAAGGTTGTGTTAAGAACAATCATAAGTTACTTTTTTCAGTGCCCTTATAACTTTGAACAGTCACTAAATGAACTGTTGAAAGTCGAGGACTACCTGTATTCCCATGAATCTGTGTAGATGCAATCTTATAAGACAGAGGTTCAAGCAACTTCAGACATTGAAGAGAAGCCCACAGCTTATATTTAATAAATTCAATACCTTGCGCCACTTAACTTCCACATTGGGCCTGGAAAGTTCGCACTCAAAGGTTATGTCATCCTTGTTCTGAACTTTGAGGTCTTTTAAAGGTGTGATGATTTTCACAGGGGATTCTGCCAAGGAGAAATAACATGTAAGCAATTGAAATGTTAGCCATATATCAGGGTAAGTTTCTTAGCCTGGTCTGCCTCTGGCCAAAATAGCATCAGACGCAAAGAGAAATTAATATATTTTATTTGTGCATTAAGTAAAATATAGGTCACTCCCAGATATAAGGTGAGAAGATACTTAAAAAAGAGAGAAAGGATATTACAGGTAGCCCTCAACTTACAACCACTTGTTTAGTGACAATTCAAAGTTACAATGCATTGAAAAAAGGGACTTGTGACCGTTTTTTACACTTACAATTGTTGTAGCATTCCCACACTTAAGTGATCAGAATTCACGATCCATCATCAGTGTTAGAAGAGAGGGGGGTTGCGGGGAGGAGGAGGAAGAGAAGGGGAAGACTAGATCTTTGGTGTTTTCTAAGCTTGCTTGTTTTCTTGCAGATGTTTCATGACCCCACTAGGCAACATCATCAGTGCTAGAAGTGAATGGGGTTGTGGAGTGGAGGAGGAGGAAGGCGGGAGGAGGGAGGGGGGACAATGACTATTGGGTCCTTGGTGCTCTCTGAACTTGCTGGTTTTCTTGCAAACATTTCATGACCCAACTAGGTAACATCATCAGTACTACTAAGGAGTGAGATTTGCTCTCGTTTTATATACTAGTCACTGCCCCATCAATGGGAGTGTTTTGGTAGTTTCTTGATTAGGCTGTTCTTTATTGTGTTAGTAGTTCCTGTTTGGGATATTATTTACTGCTTGGTGTTAAACTTTGCTTATCTGGGAGTTGTTTGCTTGTCAGGAAGTATTGTGATCTGTTAACTTTTTTATTGTCTCTTTTAAATGGTGTGTGGATGTTGTTTATCTCTATGTGCCTGTTGATGGCTGATTTGTCTGAATGCCAGGTTTCGTGCAATTCTCCAGCATTTATCTCTGGTTTATTTCTGCATTTGGATATGGTTTGTGTGGCTACGGGTTTGAGGATTACTTGTAATTTAAAAGAGGTTTTCTGAACACCTACCTTTCACATTAAGCCTGCCTGTGGTGTGAATTCCTTCAGCCTTGAAGGAAATAAGAGCTGAATCTTCCAATGTCAAAGATGAGAGGGTCAGTGAATGCTTCTTCCCTTGCATGGATATCTGGCAGTTGTCCTGAGACTTGAGACGGAGACCATCCTTCATCCAAACTGCTTCCACGTCTTCGTGGGACAATTCCACCTCAAAAGTGACCGATTCCTTCTCATGAACATCCGTCGGCTGCAAGCCTTTGATCAGTTTGATGGGTCTCACTAGGAAATGGAACAAGATGGATGAGATACGTTCGGGTTAAAAATCTCATATACCGGTATATCACTCTTCAATTGAGAGGAACATAGGATCTCCTACTCCTCACCGTGAAACCAACCAAATTTACATGCCATTTGATCTCGTTTGAAAACCACATCCCATCATCAATGCTGGAAGAGTTTGCTCTTTGTCTATACTCATTCATTCATTCATTCATTCATTCATTCATTCATTCATTCATTCATTTTCTATGGAATCTTTGGTGCTTTCTAAGCTTGGCTATTTTCTCCCAGACGTCTCATAACCCAACTAGGTGATATCATCAGTTCTAGATCTAGCAAGAAAACCAGCTCAAGAGAGCACCAAGAAGGAATTTCCCAACCATGAGAATTATGAAGGGGTGGAACAACCTTCCCTCCACCCCTAAAGGTTTCCAAGCAAAAGTTGTACAACTATTGATCTGGGATGGTTCAAGGCTTCCTGGGCTGGTCTACAAGCTCTCCACTGTCCCTTTCAACATTCTACAATCCTCACAAGGGTTGCATTCCTCAGAATTGGTCCCAAGGGATGACTTACTGTCTACAGTGACCTTGGCTTGCGTCTTGTCATGGAGGGTCTCGCAGGAATAAAACCCACGATCGTCACAGGATGCGCTCTTGATCACCAGGCAGTGCTTTGTCCCCTGGGCTTGGATCTCCAGATTGGCTGTTGGGTGAAGGACACTTGCGTTCTTCGTCCACTTCACCTCTGGGGTCGGCTTGGATAGCTCAACTTCGAGCACAATCGTCTGTTTCTCTTCTACAACTTTGGCTTCCAACTTCTTCACGAATAACACCGGCGCTTCTGATTATGAGAAAGACCAGGTAATTCAAAAACACAACAGTTACAGGTAGTCCTTGACTTAAGACCATTTGTTTAGCCACTATTCCTAATTATAACAGCACTGGAAAAAGTGACTTAAGACCAATTCTCGCGCTTACAACTATCATAGCATGTCCACAGTGACCTGATCAAAATTTGGATGCTTGGCCACCAGCATGTACAAGTAGTCCTGTCTTACAACCATTCGTTTAGTAACCGTTCAAAGTTACTACAGCACTGACAAAAGTGACTTATGACTGTTTTTCAAACCTGCAACCATTGCAGCATCTTCATGATCAAGTGATCAAAATTCAGACGTTTTGTAAATGGTTTACATTTATGACAATTACAATATCCTGTGATCATGTCATCTGCTTTTGTGACCCTCTGCAAGCAAAGTCAATGGGGAAGCCAGATTCACTTAATAACCGTGTTACTAACTTAACAACTGCAGTGATTCAACCGAACAACTGTGGCAAGAAAGATAGTAAAATGGGGCAAAAAATCACTTAACAACTGTCTCACTTGGCAACAGAAATTTTGAGCTCAGTTTTGGTCATAGATCGAGGACTACCTATTTTGATGACAGCTGCAGTGTTCCAGTGTCACACAGTCACCATTTTCAACCTTCCCAGCAGGCTTCAATCCAGCACAGCCTATGGGGGAAGCTGGATTTGTTTAACAACCTCAACAATTATTCACTTAATGACTGCAGTGATTTGCATAACAACCATGATAAAAAAGGTCAAAAAATGTGCCACGATTTGCTTAACAAGCACCTTGTTTACCAATGAATATTGTGGTTCCAATTTGTGGTTATAAGTCAACGACTACCTGTATTTAAAGGTGAGAAAACTTTTCACCCAGTGTTCATATTTTCCTCAACTGGGGAAGCCTTTAAAACTTACAATTTCTTCTACCATCTTCTTCTGAGTAATAGATGGCAGTCCAACACAAAAGAATGTTTTTACCTAGCCAATCAGGATTTTATGCTTTTTTTTTTTTTGCAAGAACTAGCACTACAGAGTGATCTCATCTTGAGGCACTAGATTTCTATAGGTAGTCCTCAACCTATTACCATTATTGAGCCCAAAATTCCCATTGCTGAGTAGGCACACAGAGAGGGATCCATCAAGCATGTACAGATAGACCTTGATTTACAACCATAATGGAGCACAAACTTTCTCTTGTTAAGCAAGACAGTTGTTTAGTGAGTTTTGCCCCATTTTACAACCTTTCTTGCCACACTTGTTAAGTGAAACACTGCAATTGCTAAGCTAGTCACACGGTTGTTAAGTGAATCTGGTTTCCCCATTGACTTGGCTTGGCAAAAGGTTGCAAAAGGGGATCACATGACCCCGGGACACTGCAACTGTCATAAATATGAACCAGGAACTTCAAATTGCCATTAAATGAATGGTTGTAAGTGGGGGACTACCTGTTTTTGCAAACAAGTCACCCGGTGGTGGGATTCAGCCACTTCGGGCCGGTTTGGGCAAACCAGTAGTTAAATTGCTGGCTGGCCACTCCCCTCCCCTTCCAGGAGTCCCCACACATCCCATTTTTGCTTCCAGGTAAGTGCAGGGAGGCCTACTAGGCCCAAAATAGGGTGCGGAGGGGTGCAGCGCAAACACCCCATGACCCGTTTTCATTCCCAGGAGGCTTCATGGAGGCCTCCTGGGCCCAAAATGGGGCACGAAGGGGGGTGCAGCGCCCCCACCCCACGGCCCATTTTTGCTCCCAGGAGGCTTCAGGGAGGCCCCCTAGGCTCAAAATGGGGTGCAGGGGGGCAGCGCATCCTCCCCCCCCACAGCATGTTTTCGCTCCCAGGGAGGTGCAGTAGGCCGAGTGCTGCCTGTCACACCCCTTGGCCATGCCCACCATGGCCACGCCCACCCACCCAGTTATTAGGGCAGAGAACTGGTTGTTAAATTATTTGAATCCCACCACTGAAGTCACCTCTCCCTTGTTAGATCCACCTGACTCACAAGGACAGGAAGGCAGGGTGTGTTGTGGGTCCTATCTATTAAGATTGTATATCTATGAAGAAACCATGAAAAAGGTCCTCCTCGGTTCTGGTCCTGTCTTTATGGAACAACATTCACCTTGAGGGGTGGGGAGGCGCATGTTTTTTTAATATTATAAGCTGCCCAAAGTCATATTTCTGTGAGTTTGGCGGTCACATAGTTTATAAAATAATAAAATAAAATAAAAATAAAATAAAAACAATGTAAAGTAATATAAAATAATAAAGTACAATAAATAAAAAATAAAACAAAGTAAAATATAAAAATGAAACAAACTAAAATAAAACATTAAAATGCAATAAAATAAAAAATAAACTAAAATCAAATTAAATAAGATTAAAAAATTAAAATACAATCAAATTGAATAAGATAAAAAGTTAAAATACAATAAATTAAAAAATAAACTGAATCAAAACAAAATTAAAAAGTAAAATAATAATATAAAATACAGTATAAAATAAACAATAGTTGACCCCAACGGGAGAGTATCCAGAAATGAGATCCCACACTTGGATGTTTCCTTCCATCCCTGATGGACTCTTGTCTCACCTTCCACTCGGAGGTGGGCCCGGCTCTCTTCTCCCTCGGCTTCAGCTGTGACTTCCCCACTGTCTTGGACCGTCAGTTCAGTGAGGGTAAGGCTATGATGGACATCCCGATGAGAAATGACATATTTCTTGCTGGCTCCGATCGGGGCGCCACGATGGCTCCACTTTACGGATGCGTCGCTGGGGGAGACAGTGCATTCAAAAACCGCCTCTTTGCCTTCTTCTGCCACAACCTTGGAGAGGCCCTTGACAAACTTCACAATGCGAGGTGCTGAAGAATAGACCAGGATACACATCACATAAAGGTGAGGGGGAATCTTCTTTTGAGAGGCCTCCTTAATGTGGTCTCTCAGCTACAGACTTGAGTTTGTTGGAAAGTGACAATGACCAATTTCCCAATCAGTTGTGCATTGCAAGTAGGATTAGTGCTACCGTGTTTCCACGAAAATATGACCTGACTGGAAAATTAGCCCTAGCATTTTTCAAGATGCCCTGCCCCAAAATAAGCCCCAGTTAAGCTCATCAGCCAGATAAAAAGTATTTGTACCATATTTCCCCAAAAATAAGACCAGAAAACCAGAAAATAAGCCCTAATGCATCTTTTGGAGCAAAACTTAATATAAGACCCAGTCTTATTTTGGGGGGGGGGGAAACATTGTAGATAGGAAGAATGCTATTATGTCTAAAGAGAACCCCTCTACTAAATCCCCCCTCCTACTTTCCCACACATGAGAAAGTGGCAGCATGGAAGCTTCCGGCCTAATATGGCTTCCAAAGCTGACACCTACTCCCTTCTAGCACTGTTGATGTTACCTAGCTGGATCATGAAACATTGCAAGTAAACAGCCAAGCTCAGAGAGCACCAAGGAACCCACCGTCCTCCTTCTTTTCCTCCTTCCCCTTCTCACCTCCTCTTCTGTTTCCTCCTGCTCCTGCTCCTCTTCTTCCTACCCTCCTTCTCCACCTTTTCCTTCTCTTCCTCCTCCTCTTTCCCCTCCTCCTCCTCCCTTCTGCAAACCCCCACTCCGTTCTAATGCTGATGAAGTTCTGTAGTTCACAACAGCTGCTTCTTGTGGCACCACCACATACCCCATTACATCAGAAAGTACCTGTGGGGGTGACTTGAATGGTGCATTGGTCATTCCTTGCCTCACATGAATATTCTCCCTTGTCCTCAGCCCGCAAGCTGGAGATGATCAGCACTCTCTTGGCACCAATTTCTTGCATCAGGTAGCGCTTGCTGGCTTTGAGGATTGTTCCGTCCTTGCGCCACACAACCGTTCCTTCGGGCTGGCTGAGTTCACAACTCAAATTCAAAGCCTTTCCAAGCTCAGCTTTTATGGGCTCCAGCTTTTTGGCAAACTTAACCGGTACTTCTGCAGGAGAATTGGAAGATAGAAAGAAAATAGGTCAAAAGAAAGATCATATAGTATTTATTTAGATTTTTTTATCCCGCCTTTATGCTACAAACTGGTACAAATGTCCAGTGGTATAAAATGTGCTGAACACAGAGGGTCTCATTGTCCAGTGATTTATCTGATGGATACATTTTTGGCTTAAGGAAGATATGTTTCTAAGCTTGAAACAGTATGTAACAGAAGAAGATATTTGTAACTCAGGGTTGAACTGTGGGATCCAATGGTGGTCTCTGAGCTGTGTTGGTTTCTTGCAGATATTTCATGACCTAACTAGGGAACATCATCAGTGCTAGAAGGGGTTTTCAGAGGAGGAGGAGGAGGAGGAGGAGGAGGAGGAGGAGGAGGAGGAGGAGGAGGAGGAGGAGGAGGAGGAGGAGGAGGAGGAGGAGGAGGAGGACAATGATGACTGTGAGATCCTTGGGGCTCTCTAAGCTTGGCTGATCTCTTGCAGACATTTCATGACCCAACTAGGGAACATGATCAAGCCCCTCTCCCTTCTAGTGCTGATGTTGTTACCTAATTAGATCACGAAATGTCTGCAAGAATACAACCAAGCTCAGAGAGCCCCAAGGACCCCACAGTCCTTTCTCCTGCTCCTCCTTCCTCCCTCCCTGCAAATCCCCTCCTTTCTAGCACTGATGATGCTCCTGCAGAAATATCTACAAGAAACCAACCCAGCTCAGAGACAACCAAGGATCCCACCTCAGTTCAACCTCAAGCTACAAACATCTTCTTTTCTGCAAACCCTACCCCCTTCTAGCACTGATGATGTTCCTTAGTTGAGTCAGGAAACGTCTGCAAGAAAGCCACCAAGCTCAGAGAACACTATAAATCCCACAATTCTCCTTCTCCTTCACCTTCTTTCCACAAACCCCATTCCCTTCTAGCACTGAAGATGTCCCCTACTTGGATCATGAAACACCTGCAAGAAAGACCCCAAGCTCAGAGACCACCAAGGACTCCACAGAACTAGTAACTACTGACTCACACAGCTCTTGACGCCACATTATTCTGGGGCTGGAAAGAGCTTGAGATGATTTCTTTCAACTTTGACTGATCTGATGTTTCTGTCTCATGTTAGTTGGCCTTGCAACTTTCACCAAATTGCTGTGACATTTCAGGATGGCCAGCTCTGCTTGTCTCTTACCTTCCACCTTGAGTTGGAACTGCTGTTTCTCACTCTTAACTTCGCAGGTGTACAGACCAGCATCTTTGGTTTCGGCCGTCTTCACAATCAAGGTCCTAGCCTCCTTGTCCTTCTTGACCTCATAGTTCTTACCATCTTGGATCTCAACTCCATCCTTGAACCACTTGACCTCAGCATCCTCAGGTGATACCACAGTGGAGAAGACAACCTCCTTGTGCTCCTGAGCAACAATGGTCTCCTCCTGAGCAGCTTTTCTTTGGAGTTTGACCTCCGGTTCTGGAAGAGCAATGGGAAAATAAGTACAGCTAAGTCCTCAATTTATGACAACACTTAGGATGGGAACGTCTGTTGCTAAGTGAGTAACTGTTAAGTCAGTAGTGAATCCAACCCTCCCTCCCCTCAATACCTCATAGAACATAGAATGGTAACATAATAGAAGAGACCATTTGCCAAAGCAACTTAGGCATGTAAAAGATTCAGAATAGAGAATAACAGAGTTGGAAGGGACCTTGGAGGTCTTCTAGCCCAACCCCCTGTTCAAGCAGAGACCCTATACCATCCTGGACAAATGGCTGTCCAATCCCTTCTTGAAAACCTCCAGTGATGGAGCACCCATAGCCTCTGGAGGCAAGTCATTCCTCTAATTAATTGTTCTCACCACTTGGAAATTCCTCCTTAATTCCAGGTAGCTTCTCTCCTTGATTAGTTTCCATCCGTTGCTTTTGCCTTCAGATGCTTTGGAGAATAGATTGGCCCCCACTCTTTTTTGAGGTAGCCCTTCAAATATTGGAAGGCTGCTCTCATAGTCATCCCTAGTTCTTTTCTTTGACTTACAATCCTTGACTTACAACCATTCATTTAGTGACCATTCGAAGTTACAACAGCACAGAAAAAAAGTGGCTTATGACTGTTTTTCACACGCCCCTTGCAGCATCCCCATGGTCACGTGATCAAAATTCAGATGCTTGCCAACTCACTTAACAAATGTCTCACTTAACAACATAAATTTTGGTTCAATTGGGCTCGTATGTGGAGGATTACCTATACTATACCCCCACGTGATCTTCAAACTATTCTTCTGATGATGCAGCCTGGGACCACAGTGGCCTTTTTAGCAGCTGCACACACTATTAGAAAATGAGAAGAGATCTCACCTGTTATTTCCATCTTGAAGGTCACTTTCTGACCACCTGCTTCACAGGTATACTGTCCAACGTCCTTGATCGCCACTTGCTCCAGATACAGTTTGCGCGTGGTTCCATCTGACTCCATCTTGATGTGTTTGCTAATGGGGATGGGTTGTCCATCTTTGTACCATTTCACCTGAGTGTCCGAAGTGGCCACCTGGCAGGTCAAAATGGCATTCTCCTTCAGGACTGCCTTGACTTCCTTCTTTATTTTGTCCTTATTGGTAAAGACTTCGGGAGCTTCTGTGATGTGAAAGAAAAGAGATGTTGTCGACTTGCATAAAAAGAATCAAGTTTTAATCTCTTTATTTTATTTCAATCTCTACCTACCTATCTATCCATTCCTTCATCATCTCATCCATTCAACTCCATCTGTATTTGTCTGCCCATCTCTCTGTCTCTCTGTATCTATCTATGTACCTGCCCATTCATCATCTCATGTATCCATCCATCCATCCGTCTCTCTCTCTTTCTCTCTCTCGAACCTGTCCGCACATCATATTCATTCACCTCTATGTATGTATGTCTTTCTTTCTGTCTGTATCATCTATCTGTGTTTCTAAGTATCTCTCTGTCTGTCTATCCACCCACCCACCCACTGATCCATCCATCCATCCATCCATCCATCCATCCATCCATCCATCCATCCATCTATTATCTTTATCACTTATCTCTATCAATCCCTATCTATCTGTCTGTCTATCATCTGTGTCTGTCTGTCTATCTATCTATTATCTAGTTATCATCTCACTCTCTTTCCCTCTCTCTCCCCACCTCTCCTTTTCTTTCTCCCCCTTCCCCCTATTTCTCTCTGATTCAATACTTTTGTCAACCTAAGCATTAAAGGCTGTAACTCATTCAAAAAACTTCATAATTGCTTCTACATAATTTCCACTCTACTCACCTGGGATAGTGAGAGGGAGAAAGGTTTCAAGAATGCCCAAATAGCACCCAAGACTATCAACACAGATCGAAAAGAGATTCAGCCTTTCTGATTGGACAAACTTTATGATATTGACTCATTCTACATGGAGCAAAATTGTTATTCTCACCTTCAACAACAACTTTGTAGGCCAACTTCTGTTTTCCAGCTTCACAGGTGTATTCACCGGCATCTTTCTTCTCTACCTGTTGGACAACCAGACGCCGGGATCTGCCTTCAGCTTCCACCTTGAATTTCTTGTTGGAGGTGATCAATTTCCCATCCTTGAACCACTTGACATCTGTCTTGGCCTGGGCCACCTCACAGCTGAGAGAGATGTTCTCTGTAGCCACAACTTTGAAGTCCTTCTCAAACATCTCCTTGTTGGCAAACATCTCCTCTGCTTCTGGACCATGATCATAGCAGGGTTTTAAAAAGCAAACAAAGAAAATAGCAATAATTACTAAATACAGGCTGTTCTTCTGTAGAATTAGGATCTTTTGCTAATTTTGTTTGACTCGTTTTTTCCTAGATTTGTACATAACCTGGAATTTTTAGCTACGTGGAACTCTTTGGTAAAAAATATAATAGGGGCTCATTCTGTTTCTAGAAAGCATAAAACAATTCAATCAAAATCTCTGAGCTACAGTATTTCAAATTCGTAGTGCGTCCCCAAAAAAGTATAATTGCCACAGATTTTTTATTGCCATAAATAACATATATTTATTTCTATCATATGTCTGTCTGTCTGTCCATCTATCTATCATCTATCTATACTTGTCAACTTACAAAGAATCTATCCTGCTTATATCCTGCAATATAACTAAAAATAAAGAAAAAGGCTATGTATATTGTTACCTGTTACAGTGACTTTGAAAGTGAGCTTCTGGCCACCAGCTTCACAGATGTATTCACCTCCATCTTTCTTCTCCACCTGTTGAACAACCAGACGTCGGGATCTGCCTTCTGCTTCCACCTTGAATTTCTTGTTGGAGGTGATCAGTTTTCCATCCTTGAACCATTTGACGTCTGTCTCGGCCTGGGCCACTTCACAGATGAGAGAGACAGTCTCTGAAGCTACAACCTTGATATCCTTCTGGACCTTCTCCTTGTTGGTAAACATCTCCTCAGCTTCTCTATCTAATGTTGAAGGAATGGAGAAAGCTTCTTAATTCACTTTCTTCTTAGGACATTTTGACAGATGGATGGATGGATGGATGGATGGATGGATAGATAGATAGATAGATAGATAGATAGATAGATAGATAGATAGATAGATGAGAGACAGAGAGAGAGAGAGAAATGTGTGTAATATAAAGGCATTTTACCTGCAACTGTGATTTTGAAAGTTAGTTTCTGGCCATCAGCTTTGCAGGTGTATTCTCCTGCATCTTTCTTCTCCACCTGTTGCACAACGAGACAACGGGATCCACCTTGTGCTTCTACTTTGAATTTCTTGCTCGCAGTGATCAGTTTGCCATCCTTGAACCATTTCACTTCTGCCTTGGACTGAGCCACCTCACAACTGAGAGAGACATTCTCTGAAGACACAGCCTTGATATCTTTCTGGATCTTCTCTTTGTTGACAAACACCTCCTTAACTTTTTCATCTAGATGTGGGAACAGAGAACAAGACACATTTAACACTTGAAGTAATGAGCTTCAAAAAGGAGCTGTCATCCTCATATCTTGGTCATCCTCATTAAGTGACAATTGCCTATATATGAGCTCACAGTGTGCTACAGCTGCCAAAAAAGCCAATACAGTCCTAGGCTGCATTAACAGAGGGATAGAATCAACATAATGTGAAGTGTTAATGCCACTTTATAAAGCCTTGGCAAGACCACACTTGGAACACTGCATCCAGTTTTGGTCACTATGTTATAAAAAAGATGTTGAGATTCTGGAAAAGTGCAGAGAAGAGCAACAAAGGTGATTAGGGGGCTGGAGGCTAAAATATACGAAGAAAGGTGCCAGGAATTAGGTATATCTAGTTTTAGGAAAAGAAGGACTAGGAGTGACATGATAGCAATGTTCCAATATTTGAGGGGCTGCCACAAAGAAGAGAAGGTCAATTTATTCTCCAAAGCCCCTGAAGGCAGGATAAAAAGCAATGAATGGAAACTAATCAAGGAGAGAACTAAACTAGAACTAAGGAGAAATTTCCTGACAGTAAGAACATTGAAGAACATAGTGAGAGCTGAAGAAGCTTCTTGGATGAGAAGCAAAACATCTTCAAAGAAAAAGAAAACCAGAAAGTCCAGTTGCCTCTTGAAAAAGCACTTTTAGGACAACCTTTATTTGGATGACTGAGAATCTCCATAGAGAATGAGAACAATTAATCAGTGGATCAGCTTCCCTCCAGAAATTGTGGGTGGTTTTTAAGAAGAAATCGGACAATCGTTTATCTGAAATAGTACAGGGTTTTCTGCTTGAGTAGACGGTTGGACCTCCAAGTTCCCTTCCAATCCTGTTATTCTGTTATCCTCCATATGGTTGTCCTTTTCTTGCCAAACGCCTCCTAAAATTCTGAGCCCCAATCAAATCAATCCAGATTTTCAAAATGCTACTTAAAAGGTAACCAACATCCTTATGTAGCTTTGATTTTCATGTTTTTACTGGTGTCTAATGCTCATCAATTTTGGAGGTGGTGTTGAAATACAGCCAGATTTCCAACTACAAAGAACATGGATAATAAAACTATAGTTGCGCTATCTAAAACTGTTGGCCGAAGCAAACTTTCTCATTGACACAACTTGAAGGTGTTCTCTTACACTTCTGAGAGCTCCACTGGTCAATCAACCAAAAATGGATTGGTCTGACCACTTTTATTGCTCTATATGCGAGATGTAGAGAATATAAAGCTGGTTGTACCTGCAATTGCAACTTTGAAGGTGAGTTTTTGGCCATCAGCTTCACAGGTGTATTCACCACCATCTTTCTTCTCCATCTGTTGAATAATCAGATGCCGGGATCTGCCATCTGCTTCCACCTTGAATTTCTTGCTAGAGGTGATCAATTTTCCATCCTTGAACCACTTAACATCTGTCTTGGCCTGGGCCACCTCACAGCTGAGAGAGACATTCTCTGAAGCTACAACCTTGATATCCTTCTGCACCTTCTCCTTGTTGACAAACATCTCCTCAGCTTTTGCATCTGAGTTGAAAAAGAAGACAATCAAAATTCAACTTTTCAACCTTTGTTTTAAATTGTAATCATCCTTTCTGGAATCATAGGACAGTAGATCACAACCTCCATAAGGGAAATTACCTTATCATCCCTCTTCAGGGTTTTTATAAAGTATATACAGCTAGTCCTCAACTTACAATCATAATTGGGGCCAGAATTTCTATTTTTAAGAAAGAGGCTTGTTAAGTGAGTTGTGCCTGATCTTTTTTGCCATGGTTGTTAAGCAAATCCCTACCGTTAAGTAAATCATGAATTCATTAAGTGAATCAATACATTTGCTTTCAGAAGTCAGTTGGAAAGGTTATAAATGGTGATCACATGATCGCACGATACTGCAACTATTGTAAATTCATGCCAGATGCCAAGTACCCTAATTTGGATCACGTGACCATAGGGATGCTGGGACAGTCATAATTGCAAGGACTAGCCATAAGGTGATTTTCTCCTTGGTTAGAGCAGTGGTCCCCAACCCCCGGTCCGCGGACCAGTGCCGGGCCGTGGAGTACCTGGCACCGGGCCGCGCAGCGGCCGGGGGACATGAACGCTGCAGCGCAAAGGCTCCTGGGCCGTGCGCAAAAGCTCCTGGGCCGTGCGCAATGGGCCGTGCGCAAAAGCTCCTGGGCCGTGCCCCCACCCCTGCGCACGCTCAGCGGGCCGCGGCGATAAAAAGGTTGGGGACCACTGGGTTAGAGTATTATTTTTTTATTGATTGTTTGTCTGGGGTTAATCCTTGCTTATCTGGGTATCATGTGCTGGAGAGAATGCATTTTGGTTTTTCTCTTTCCTTCTTAGTTTTTCTATTGTCTTTTCTGAATAGCGTGTAAATGTTGTTTATCTCTATGTATCTACTGATGATTGATTAGCACAGATTATGTTGCCTAGTTGGGCAATGAAACATCATCAAGAAAACCACCAAGCTCAAGAGAGCGTCAAAGACTTCACAATTCAACCCTGACATATGAAAATTCTTCTCAGACCGGCCTCAGCTTGAGCCTCTAAGAAAGAACAATCATTAACTCCATGTGTTGGGAAAGGTATAGTTTACTAAAGGTCAAGTGAACTACAGTAGTGTGTAACCAAAACTGAAACTTGTGGCCCAAATCCCAAAGTCTAACTTTTATCTCCTTTTGTTGCCTCCCATCTGCCCCACCCCCCCATGTCTAATCAAATTCAAATTAGATGTTTTCAGAGCAGTCACTTCTGAACGGTAGGCTTGGTATGCAGCTGCGTTAAAGTTCCCAGCTGGTTGACCTTGAAGCCCATCTTGGACAGAGATAGTGAAGTTTCGTTTCCTTTGAAGCCTCCTCCCTCCCGTCTTGCTCCCGCCTTGAGTTCATTGCAGCTGACACTGAATGGTTACGAAGCGCAAGAATGAGGTGGCAGCTGACAATTCTCTTTTATTAGCATGCAAAATCTTTTCCTACCTACAACCGTGACTTTGAAGTTCAGTTTCTGGCCATCAGCTTCGCAGGTGTATTCACCGGCATCTTTCTTCTCCACCTGTTGAAGAACCAGATGCCGGGATCTACCGTCTGTTTCTACCTTGACTTTCTTGCTGGCAGTGATCAGTTTCCCATCCTTGAACCATTTGACATCTGTCTTGGCCTGGGCCACCTCACAGCTGAGAGAGATGGTCTCTGAAGGAACAGCCTTGATGTCCTTCTGGATCTTCTCCTTGTTGGCAAACACCTCCTCAACTTCTTTATCTAGTAGTGAAAGGACAACCAAGACATGTTCATTCACTTTCTTTTCCAGGCATTTGGTCATTTCTCTTAATGACTAAAATCATGACAATCAGAAGGTGCAAATCCCATCTATTCATTCTACACATCGTCCCTCTGTGGGGTCCTTGATGCTCTCTGAATCTGGTGGTTTTCTTGCAAACATTTCATTACCCATCTAAGTAACATCATCAGTGCTAGAAGGGAGTGGGGTTTGCAGAGAGCAGCAGGAGGAGGAAGACTGTGGGGCACTTGGTGCTCTCTGAGCTTGGTGGTTTGTTTGCAAACATTTCATAACCCAACTACAAAACACCATCAGGGCTAGAAGGGACTGGGGTTTGGCTTTCCCTGTCAGTTTTACTGGAAGAGATGTTTTCTCCTTGATAGTTCCTTCATTAAAATATTGTTTTCAAGCAATCAAGGTATAGTTCAGCTACAGTTCAGCTTATTAAGCTATATTTATTATTTCTTTTCAAGCCCAACACTGATTAAATTTTGCTTCTGGGTTCAATTTCTGCTAGATTCCTAGCTATATGTACTATGCATAATAGATCTATAGCACTGTGCTGTTTAAAGCTCTTTTTTGCATTGACCTAAGCTGTTCTCTTAGAACTCAATGGAACAATCAGCAAAAAAGAGGATTTTTTTGACCCCCTATCTTCACATTTAGGAAGATGTAAAGGAAAATATAACAGTGTTCGCACCTGCAACTGTGACTTTGAAGGTGAGCTTCTCACCATCAGCTTCACAGGTGTATTTGCCTCCATCTTTCTTCTCCACTTGTTGAATAACCAGATGCCGGGATCTGCCTTCAGCTTCCACCTTGAATTTCTTACTGGAGGTGATCAATTTTCCATCCTTGAACCACTTGACATCTGTCTTGGCCTGGGCCACTTCACAGCTGAGAGAGACAGTCTCTGAAGCCACAGCCTTGATGTCCTTCTGGACCTTCTCCTTGTTGACAAACATCTCCTCAGCTTCACTATCTAATGTTGAAGGAATGGAGAAAGCTTCTTAATTCACTTTCTCTTAAGGACATTTTGTCATATTCCTTTACAGCTAAAATTCTGAGCTTCAAGAAGGTCCAACTTACATATTCTATACCATCTAATATATGTCATCCTACATCTGGATGTTTGTCTCACTGGCAAACACCACTTTAGCTTCCAAATCTTGACCAAGACAAAAAAAAACTTGTAAAGGTAAAAAAAAATCATATTTAATTATTGCTCCAAGTATCCTTATTTAGTCTAACATTGAGATCTGCTGGATTTTCTCCTTGTTGACCAACTACTGGAGCATGATATAGAAAATATGACAAAGTCATCAAAGAAATTTAAAGTAGGATTTAGAAGTTAACAGGATCCTTATTTAGCTTTTGTTCTAATGATTTTTAGGGCTACCTGACACTGATGAAATTTGTCTGTTGTGTTCAAATTCTTAACAAATGTCCACCTACATGCAATAGGAAGAATAAAACGAAAACACAGGTAGTCCTTGACTTACACCCACAATTGAGCCCAAAATGCCTGTTGCTCAGCGAGACAGTTGTAATGTGAATTTTATCCCATTTTACAACCTTTCTTGCACAGTTGTTAAGTGAATCGTTGTAGTTGTTAACTTAGTAACACAGTTGTTAAGTGATTCTGGTTTCCCCATTAACTTTGCTCGTCCAAAGATCGCAAAAGGAGATAATATGATTCTGGGACACTGCAACCGTCATAAATATGAATCAGTTGCCAAGCAGCTGAATTTTGATCATGTGATCATAGGGATGCCACAATGGTTGTAAAAACAGGTATAAGTGACTTTTTTCAGTGTGGTTGTAACTTTGAATAGTCACTAAATGAATTGTTGTAAGTCAAGGACTTCCTGTACATCCTTGCAGAAGGAAAAACTGTTTGTAGAAACATACATTCATGTGGAGACAAGTTGAGGCTGCTCTGTTAGTGGTCTCTTGAATGATCAGTAAAAAATAATATTGGTTTGGTCACTTTTATCTCTATATATGGGAAGAAGTTATGGAAAAAAATGAAATATTTGTACCTGCAACTGTGACTTTGAAGTTCAGTTTCTGGCCATCAGCTTCGCAGGTGTATTCACCTGCATCTTTCTTCTCCACCTGTTGCACAACCAGACACCGGGATCTACCATCTGTTTCTACCTTGATTTTCTTATTGGCAGTGATCAGTTTCCCATCCTTGAACCACTTGACGTCTGTCTTGGCCTGGGCCACTTCACAGCTGAGAGAGACATTCTCTGAAGCTACAACCTTGATATCCTTCTGGACCTTCTCCTTGTTGGTAAACATCTCCTCAGCTTCTCTGTCTAATGGTTGAAGGAAGGGTCAAAACATCTTAATTCAATTTCTCTTTAGGACATTTTGACATTTTCCTTTACAGCTAAATTTCTGAGCTTCAAGAAGGTCCTACCTACATATTCTATGCCATCTAAGATAAATCATCCTATATCTAGATGTTTGCCTCATTGGCAAATGCCACCTCAGCTTCTGGATCTTGGCTAAGACCAAAACAAAAGAATTAAAACATTAATTTTTAAAGGTAAGAAAAAATATCAGTATTTGGGATTTAAGGATCTAAGGAACATTAGTATACGTCCTCCTGCTTGAGCAGGGGGCTGGACTAGAAGACCTCCAAGGTTCCTTCCAGCTTGTTCTGTTCTGTTCTGTTCTGTTCTGTTCTGTTCTGTTCTAGTCTAGTCTAGTCTAGCCTAGTCTAGTCTAGTCTAGCCTAGCCTAGCCTAGCCTAGCCTAGCCTAGCCTAGCCTAGCCTAGTCTAGTCTAGTCTAGTCTAGTCTTCTAACCCTGATATCCTTCAGGACCTTCTCCTTGTTGATAAACATCTCCTCAGCTTCTCTGGAAGGAGAGGATAACATGCATTCACTCACTTTTTAGGGTATTTTATCATTTCCTCTAATTGCTAACATGATGAACATCAGGAAAATCCATACTGGATAGTCTACACAGATAGTCCTCGACTTATCACAATTGAGCCCAAAATTTCCTTTGCTAAGCAGGACAGATTCTGAGTGAAGCTGGCCCTATTTTATGATCATTCTTGCCAAGGTTGTTAAGTGAATTGTGGCAGTTGTTGCAGTAAATACAGGTAGTCCTTGACTTACGGCCATAATTGAGCCCATAATATGTTTCTAAGTGAGACATTTGTTAAGTAAGTTTTGCCTCATTTTACTTGCCACCTTTGTTAAGTGAATCACTGTGGTTGTTATGTGAGTCACATGATTGTAAAGTGAATCTGGCTTCCCCATTGACTTTGCTTATCAGAAGGTCTTAAAAAGTGATCATGTGACTCTGGGACACTAAAACCGTCATAAATATGAGTCAGTTGCCAAGCTTCTGAATTTTGATCACATGCCCATGGGGATGCTGCAATGGCTATAAGTGTGAAAAACAGTAGTAATTCACCTTTTCAGTGCCGTTGTTACTTTCAATAGTCACCAAGCGAATGGTTGTAAGTTGAGAACTACCTGTACAACCCAACACCTATAAAATTCTTATCCTGCATGTAGATTTTTGCCTTCTTGGTTAACACCACTTTGGTTTCTCAACCTTGACCAATAAAAACCAAACCAAAAAAAATTAAAGTATTGCTTACAAGATTAAAAGAATCCTTATTGCACTAACCATTCAACTTTTGCTTAATATTGAGGCAATTTGCCATTGTGTTAAAACAGATTTCCAATTACCAGTGATCCTTGATTTACATCCATTCTTTTAGCCACCGTTTGAAGTTAGAATATCACTGAAAAAAGTGATTTGCAACCAGTCCCCGAACCTACGACCACTGCAGCATAACCACGATCAGGTGAACAAAATTCAGGTTCTTGGCAACTAGCATGTATTTGTGATGGTTGCAGCATTTTGGGGTCATATGATCACCATTTGTGACCTTTTCAGCTGGCTTCTGACAAGTAAAGTTAACGGGAGAAAATGGATTCGCTTAACAACCACATGATTCATTTAACAACTGCAGTGATTTGCTTACAAACAGCAGCAAAAAATGTTGCAAAATTGAGCATGTCTCACCTAATAACCCACTTAGAAATGGAAATTCTGGCCCAAATAGTGCTCATAACTTGAGGACTACATTCCAATGGAGTTTCTGGGAGATGATCAACTAAAGAAGTATTCTTAGGTCTGTTTTATCTTCTTATATGAGAAGATGTAGAAAATATAAAAGTGTTTGTACCTGCAACTGTAATTTTGAAGGCGAGTTTCTGACCATCTGCTTCACAGGTGTATTCGCCTCCATCTTTCTTCTCCAACTGTTGGACAACCAGATGCCGGGATCTGCCTTCAGCTTCCACCTTGAATTTCTTGCTGGAGGTGATCAATTTTCCATCCTTGAACCATTTGACTTCTGTCTTGGCCTGGGCCACCTCGCAGCTGAGAGAGACATTCTCTGAAGCCACAGCCTTGATGTCCTTCTGGACCTTCTCCTTGTTGGCAAACACCTCCTCAATTTCTCTGTCTAATGGTGGAAGGAATTGACAAAGCACTTAATTCATTTTCTCTTTAGGTCAATTTCGCATTCTCCTTTCCAGCTAAAGTTCTGAGCTTCAAGAAGATCCAACTATATAGTAGTCATTTCCTTGATATAGTTTCTACAAGCCAAAAAAACCTTTTTATTTTTGTTAATGTGGTGACACCCTGATTAGTTTGTATCCTGAAACAGGATAAGAAATAAAACAAAAGGCAACATCTTCTCCTACCTGATGCAGTTACTCTGAAGGTGAGCTTCTGGCCATCAGCTTCACAGGTGTATTTGCCGCCATCTTCCTTCTCCACCTGTTGAACAATCAGACGCCGGGATCTGCCATCTGTTTCCACCTTGAATTTCTTGTTGGAGGTAATCAATTTTCCATCCTTGAACCACTTGACATCTGTCTTGGCCTGGGCCACCTCACAGATGAGAGAGACGTCCTCTGTAGCCACAGCCTTGATATCCTTCTGGACCTTCTCCTTGTTGATAAACATCTCCTGAACTTCTTTATCTGGTGAGGGAAGGAGAGAGGCAGAAATTTTCATTAACTGCTTCTTTCTGGTGGCAGTTGATAGTTTCCATTAACTACTAAACATATGTTCTTCAGAAACACTCAAGGGTGTATCCTACATAACCAATATCTCAACCTTTTCTTAGTTGGTACCAAGAACCCCACAGTCCTCCTTGTCCTCTGCCTCCTTCTCCTCCTCCTCCTCCTCTTCTTCTCTGCAAACATTACTCCCTTCTAGCACTGATAATGTTACATAGTTGAATCATGAAACATCTGCAAGAAAATAACCAAGCTCAGAGAAAACGAAGAACCCAACAGTCCTCCTCCTCCCAAACCTTCCTCTGATGATGATGTAAGTTCAATATCTGGACCGTGGTCCCATCCCATCCCAGGTGAAACATATCTAACCCCTAAAAACAGTTATTTATAATTAATGTTTGCTCTAATTAAGTGTGGCTTTCTTGAACCTCAATGTATTTTCTCTTGAGTAACCAACCATCTATGATCTGAAGCGAGCTGGACCATTTTTCTGGAGAAACGAACTTCATTGTCTCATTGCAGGAAGTAGGAAACAAGCAGATCCGAATCTGAATCATTTTAAGATATGTTGGCCAGATCCAGGAAGGAACGTTTGGTGGCCATGGATTTGTCAAATAATGGTTGATTGATATAATTATTTATTTATTAAAGAACCTATATATGGCCTACCATTCGTATTGACCCTGGGTGATTTACAAACATGAAATCCCAGTACAGAAATCAATAAACCCCCATCCCTCTGGTGACAACAATCAGTCCAACCATTTGATGGATTCCATATCACCCTGGGATTCCTAGGCCCATTGGCCAAACCATGTTTTAAATGCCTTTCAGAAGACTCTCAAGGTGATGGCCAATCTTAACTCTGCAAGATGATGTTTCCCAGGAAGGGAGCCACTACAAAGAAGGCCATACTTCTTGGTCCTACCAAATGGACCTCCTTAAGAGACAGGACCCATAACGTCTCCTGCCTCCTTGCTCTGGTGGGTCAGGTGGATATAAGTGAATAAAGATGGCCCTTCAAATAACAGGGAGGGAGCCACCATGGAGAAGGCCTGGGTCCCACCAGATGGACCTCCTTAAGAGAGAGAACCCATAATTTCCCCTGCTTCCCTGCTCTGGTGGTCAGGTAGATGTCACTGAGAAAAGACGGTCATTCAGATAATCTGGCTTTAAGTCATGTAGGCTTTGAAGGTGACAGCCAGCACCTTGAATTGGACCCAGAAGCAAATCTATTTGTGATAAATCAAAACATCAAAATATCTATTAATTTCTGTCATCATATTTGTTACTTATATCTGGAAATATAATGATAAAGGAAAAGACTAAAGGATTTTTTTCCTACCTGTTACGGTTACTTGGAAGTTCAGCAACTGACCATCCGCTTCACAGGTGTATTCACCTGCATCTTTCTTTTCCACCTGTAGGACAACCAGATGACGGGATCTGTTTTCTGCTTCTATCTTGAATTTTTTGTTGGAGGTGATCAATTTTCCATCCTTGAACCATTTGACTTCTGTCTTGTCCTGGGCCACCTCACAGCTGAGAGAAATGTTGTCTGAAGCGACAGCCTTGATGTCCTTCTGGACCTTCTCCTTGTTGACAAAAACTTCTTTAATTTTTTCATCTGGGGTAGAAGCAGAAGACAAGACACATTTATTCACATTAGAGCTTCTGAGTGTTCTTCTTAACAATCAACAAAAAATGGATTGATTTGACCACTTTTAACCATATGAGAAATGTGGAGAATATAAAGGTAGTTGTACCTGCAACTGTGATTTTGAAGGTGAGCTTCTGGCCATCAGCTTCACAGGTATATTCACCTGCATCTTTCTTCTCCACCTGCTGGACAACCAAATGACGGGATTCACCTTGTTCTTCTATTTTGAACTTCTTGGTGTCAGTGATCAGCTGCCCATCTTTGAACCACTTGACATCTGTCTTGGTCTGGGCCACCTCACAACTGAGAGAGACGTTCTCTGAAGCCACAGTCCTTATGTCCTTCTGGACTTTCTTCTGGTTGACAAAGACTTCCTTAATCTTTTCATCTAGGCGTAGAAGCAGAAAACATTCATTCACATTAGAGCTTCTGAGTGCTCTTTTTAACAATCAACTAAAACTGGATTGATTTGACCACTTTTAACTCTATGGGAGATATAAAGATAGTTGTACCTGCAACCGTGACTTTGAAGGTGAGCTTTTGGCCATCAGCTTCGCAGGTATATTCACCTGCATCTTTCTTCTCCACCTGTTGAACAACCAGACAACGGGATTCACCTTGTTCTTCTATTTTGAACTTCTTGGTGTCGGTGATCAGCTGCCCATCTTTGAACCACTTGACTTCTGTCTTGGTCTGGGCCACCTCACAACTGAGAGAGACGTTCTCTGAAGCCACAGTCCTTATGTCCTTCTGGACTTTCTTCTGGTTGACAAATATCTCCTCAACCTCTCTATCTAATAGTGGAAGGAATGGACAAAACATTTTACTTCACTTTCTCTTTAGGATATTTGATTGTTTTTATTTAAAATTAAAGTTCTGAGCTTCAAAAAGGTCCAACTGATAGATTATATATGAACTAAGATAAGTCATCCTACATCTAGATGTTTGCCTCTTTGGCAATCACCACCCTGACTTCTGATTGTTGATCAAAACAACATCTAAAATCACGAAATTTAGGAAAATCCAAACAGGATAATTTTTATTTCCTGGGGCCTGTACTTGTAAGATACAGTCATCTGTATTTTTGTCATCTTGCTGAAGTTCTCCTTAACATCTGAATAACTGTACAGGTAGACTTATGACCACAATTGAGTCCAACATTTTTGGTGCTAAGTGAGACAGTTTAAGTTAATTTTGCCCCACTTTACGGCCTTTCTTGCAATTACAATTGTTATGTTAATCACCCACTAGTTAAGTGAATCTGACTTCCCCCCATTGACTTTGCTTGTCAGGAGGTCGCAAAAGGGGATCATGTGAATCTGGGGAGATTGCAACTGTCATAAATACATGTCAGTTACCAAGCATCTGAATTTTAATCACGTGACCATGGAGATGCTGTGACAGTCATAAGTGTCAAAAATGGTCATAGGTCCCTTTTTTAAGTAATGTTGCAACTTCGAATGGTCACTAAATGGACTGTTGTAAGTCAAGGACCACCTGTATTAACAGTACCATGGGAAAATCAAGATTTTTACCTGTTACAATCACTTTGAAGGCCAGTTTCTGGCCATCTGCTTCGCAGGTGTATTGACCTCCATCCTTCCTGTCAACTTGTCGGATAATCAGCCAGCGAGATTTCCCTTCTGTTTCAATCTTGAATTTCTTGCTTGGGGTGATGAGTTTCCCATCCTTGAACCATCTCACTTCCATTGTGGGCTGGGCTACTTCGCAGCTGAGAAAAGCGTTTTCGGAAAGAATAGCTCTGATTTCTTTCTGGACTTTCTCCTTGCCAAAAAAGACCTCTGCAGGCTCTGGGGTGAGGAATAACAGAAAAACAGAGTTGGAAGGGATCCTGGAGTTCTTCCAGTCCAACCTCCTGCTCAAGGAGGAGATAAATCATGTGAGTGCTTCAATCAAGACTCAGCTGTATATATGTATGTATGAATGAATGAATGTTTATATATACCAATATTCATCCATCCATCCATTCATTCATTTGTATTTTGCTTTTATTCTTTTTACAAATAACTCACGGTAGCGAAAATATCTAACACACTTTCTTCCTCCTATTTTTCACACAACAACCCTGTGAGGAGAGATGGGCTGAGAGAAAGGGACTGATTCAAGTCACCCAGCTGGCTTAAAGAAGGACTAGAACTCACCATCTCCTGGTGATTGGAACCAAAGCCAGCAGGCTTTCATGGCTAAAGCGGGACTTGAATTCATGGCCTCTTGCTTTCTAGCCCTGTGTGTTAACTACCATTTCTCTTATCCATTTTCCTTTCTTGATTTTATCCCTCTTGGAAGTCTCTGTTGACTTTCTGCCCTAAAATGCACTTCTTGCAAATTGTTGGTGTTGGTCAGCAAAGAGTGAAGCTTTGACTAATACATAGAGATCTACAGGTTGTTTCAGCTAATAATAAAGCTTAAAATCCCTTTATTTACTGGACTGTTCATTGTTTCCAGATCAGCGATGGCAAACTTTTTAGACACCGAGTGCCCAAACTGCACATGCATGCCCAAACAGAAAGATGTGTGGGTGCGCACGCATGCATGGACATGTGTGCATGTGCAGCAGAGACCCAAAGGCCAGCTGGCTGGTGGGAAGTGGGGCATCCCAACACTGGCAGCGCAGCAAGAGGTAAGATCTTTTTCTTTCATGACCTTCTGTTTCGTTGTTTGCAGGGAAACAGAAGCTCACGAAAGGAACGCCATGGAGATCTGACCTGGGGCGTCGGTGCGCATGCCAGCAGAGAGGGCTCTGCATGCCACCTTTGGCATGCATGCCATAGGTTTGCCATCATGGCTCTAGAACCACCCTCCCCCAAAACCCAATTGCCATGGCATCTGATCACTGCCTTGAAACTTGTCAAAGATCTGAGCTTGAAATTCAAAACCGCAACAGCATCATGGTCAGCTGTTTCCATGCAATGGCTTAGGAAAATATATGCAGATGACAGTTAATATTACAGGTAGTCCTTGACTTACAACCGTTTTTTTTGTGACTATTAGAAGTTAAAACGGTACTGAAAAAGGTGACTTATGACAGTTTTTCACACTTACGACCATTGCAGCATTCTCATGGTCACATGAATAAAATTCAGATGCCTAGCAACTAGCTCGTATTTATGACAGTTGCAGTGTCTCAGGGTTACATGATCCCCTTTTGTGACCTTCTGAAAGAAAGTCAGTAGGGAAGCCATTCACTTAACAATCGTGTGACTAGTTTAACAACTGCAGGAATTCTTTTAACAACTGTAGCAAGAAAGGTCGTAATAAGGGGTAAAACTCATTTAATAAATGTCTCACTTAGCAATAGCAATGTTGGGCTCAATTGCAGTCCTAAGTCGAGAACTATCTGTACAGACATATTTGAAAGCAAGCATTTGGACCGTTTCTTACCTTTGACCTCCACCTGGAAGGTTAGTCGGTCATCTTTTGATTCGCAGGTATAAACCCCTTCGTCTTCCTTGATGGCGTTTTGGACAATAAGTTTTCGCTGTTTTCCCTGAACAGAAAATGTCACCCTTTGGTCTGGCTTGATGTCCTTCTTCCCCTTTCGCCACAAGACTGCATCAGTGGCTGAGGACACTTCGCAAACCAGCTCAAACTTCTCATGAAGGTTGACTGAAATCCCAGGGGCTGAGTCATTGACAAATGTGGCCACTTCATCTAGAAAAGAGGGGTGAAACTCAGTGATCTGATACAAGCCACAATGACATCGAACATGTCCTGGTGTCATTGGTCAAAAGGACAGGAAGGGCAAATTATGTCATTTGTCCACTGACATTATGATACGTGATGTCCTCATATCCTTTGTCTAATCCCAGCCACCCCCAACATATGGAGGGAGTCCTCCATTTATAACCATCCATTTAGTGACTGTTTAAAGTTACAATGACATTGCAGCATCCCTATGATCACGTGATTTACATTGAGATGTATGGCAAATGATTCATATTTATGACGGTTCCACTGTCCTGGAGTCATGAGGTCATTTTTTACAATCTTCTGACAAGTAAAGTCACTGGGAAAGCCAGATTCACTTTACAATTGTGTGACTCATGTAACAACTGCAGTGATTCACTTAATAAAAGTGGCAAGGAAAAGTTGTAAAATGGGGCAAAACTTACTTAACAAATGGCTTGCTTAGCAACATAATTATGGGCTCAATTATGGTCGTAAGTCAAGGACTACCTGTATTTATGACAGTTGCACTGTTCCAGGGTGATGTGATCATCATTTGTAAGCTGGCTTCTAATAAGCAAAGTCAAAAGGGGAAACCAGATTCACTTAACAACCACAGGATTCACTTAACAACTGAAATGATACACTTAACTATGGCCGAAAAGGTCATTAAACGAGGTACAATTCATTTAATAACTGTCCTGCTTAACAACAGAAAGTTGGGGCTCAATTGTGGTTGTAAGGCAAGGATTATCTGTACTTATTGAATCGATGCCTGATGCCTATGGCACATCTTGGGGAAATTGGAGAATGGATGTCCTTTTTATAATTTGCCTAACATAATCCCACAAATGATGAGAAGGCATCCAAATGGCATTGTCTCAATTATTTCATTGTACCGATGACACAATGCAAATTTGCATAAAGGGGGATAAACTGCATCCCTAAATGGTACATTAAATGTATGCCAACTTAGAAAAATTCAAATTTTCTAGTCATCTTCTCTTTTTTCCTCATCTTTCCCAGCATTATGGACTTCTTAAAGAATCTGTGTTTTTTCCTTGGTTGAGGAATTATCTATCAAACTGGTGTTGACCCTTGGTGACTATCTAGATCTTCTTCAGGTTGATCTGTACTTTAAGTCTTCCAGTAGGACATTCATGGCCACCATAACTGAGCATCTACCTTTTGCTGGTCCTCCCCTTCTACTTCTTTCTATCTTTTCCAGTATTATGAAGTTATCAAAGGACCCTGGGTTTTTTTTCATTGATTAAATGAAAATGTTTCATTTATGTTCCATCAAGTTGGGGTTGACTCTTGGCAACCATCTAGATATTCTCCAGGCTAATCTATACCCACCTTGGCCCTTCAAATCTTACAATAGGGCATTCATGGTCACCATAACTGAGCATCGACCTTCTACTAGCCCTCCTCTTCTACTCTTTCCTTCCACCTTTCTCATTATGATGGACTTCTCTAGAGAATTAGATCTTCACGTTGAATAATTATGTTCAAGTTGGTGAAGATTCTCAACAACCACATTGATAGACCTTCTCTAGAATGATCTGTCTCCAACCTGATCCTTCATGTTTTCTAATGTGCACCCAACATCACTGTCAATTCACCTCACTCCTGGTCATCCTCTTCTTCTCTTTCCTTCTACCTTTAGTAGCATTGTGGACTTCTCAAGAGATCTTGGTGTTTTCATTGATGGTGTACCATCAACTTGGTGTCCAGCTTTAGTGTCCAGACAGATAGACCTTTTGCAGGAAGCTCTTTCCTTAACTTGGTTCTTCAGGTCTCCCAACAGTGCCTTCATCACCACCGTAATTGAGTCCCTCAATGTTGCTGCTGGTTGTCCTTCTCTTTCCTTCCATCTTTCTCAACATTGTGGACTTCTTAAGGGAGCTTCAAGTTTCAGCTGGTTGACTAATTGATTGATTACTTGCTATAAACTTGGTGTCCAGCCTTAAGTGTCCTGGATCTTCTCCAGGAAGATCCTTCATTAATCTGGTTCTTCAGGTCTCCCAACAGTGCGTCCATAACTGAGTCTCTCAGTGTTGCTGCTCATTGTCCTCTTTCCTTCATCCTTTCTCAGCTTTGTGGACTTCTCAAGGGAGCTTGGTGTTCCCTTAACTTGCTTCTTCAGGTTTCCCAACAGTGCCTCCATCACCACTATGAATGAGTCCTTCAACCTTTCTGCTGGTCATCCTCTGCTCTTTCCATCCACCTTCTCCAGCATTGTGGACTTCTCCAGACAACAGAGCCTTTCCACAATATATCCAATGTATGATAATTTGAGTCTCTTTATTTCTTTTACCCATTCCAAACAAAAAACTCAACAAGGTCAGCCACAACTACATGATGAAAGCACAATTCCTGCGCACAACCCATATATAAAGGCAGTGGAACTTCAGATTCACAGTGGTGGTTCTCATCTTCTCCGTGGACATCCCAACCCTGTCCTTGCCAAACTAATATGTTGGCGTCATCTCCCAAGCTCAGGTTTTCCCATAATTATTTCTTAAAATAGGAAACTACAATTTAATTTCAGCTTCCTAAAGATCTCCCAAAACTATGGTTTGAAGATCATGCTCAGAAGAAGAAAAGAAGTATATATTGCAAATACCTTTCAAGGTGACTCTTCCAATGCTTTCAATATCCTTGGTTACAAATTTCACCTCTGCCTCCTTGAACGCACTGGTGACCCGCTTAATTATTAAACTGTGGCTTGCTTTGGTTCTCGTAATTATGTATTTGTCACTGTTCTGCACAAGGTTGCCATTGATGTACCATGAGCCGGGACTAGGGATGGTGAGGTCCACAGTGAAGGTTGCATCTCTCCCTGGTGCAACTTCGACATTTCTCAGAGGAGTTTTCACTGCCAGGGTAGGTTCTGTGGGATACAATGATGATGGGCAAAGATTAACAATTTTTTCTCAATAGAAGAGAATATTTGTAATTGAGGGTTGAATTGTGGGGTCCTTGGTGCTCACTGAGGTTGGTGGTTACCTTCCAGACTTTAGATAACAGGAGGAAGAAGAGGAGGAGGAGGGGGAGGAGGGAGGAGGAGGAGGAGGAGGAGGAGGAGGAGGAGGAGGAGGAGGAGGAGAAGAAGAAGAAGAAGATGATGATTCTGATCATTGGAATTAATGCAGCATATTATTCATATTCATAATACAAGATATTTGAGAATTTTAGGTATTGGCAGCTTAAAAAAGTCTAAATCCATCCATCACCTTCAATTTAGCCCATTGCTGAAAAAAACCAAACTTACCAAGATGCCAGACTCCAGGAAATTCCAGATAATCACTTTGGCCATACTTGTTTACTGCAGAAACTCGGAACTGGTAGTCAGCCTCTTCAGTCATGTTGTTGACCATCAACTCAGTTTGGGACACCAAAGCTTGGTGGCACCTCAGCCATGCAAATCCAGTCAGCTTCTTACGTTCAACAAGGTAGCCATCTATTGGGACAGGCCGGTCCGTCTTCCGAAGAGACCAGGCTAACGTCACTGAGGTTTCTGTTTTATTTTTCACCACTGGGTCAGTTGGAGGATGTGATGGGGGTTTCTTTGGAGCTGGTCAGGAGGGGAAACAGGGAAAGACCAAGTCAACATTTGGGGGGGAAACCACAAGTTTTTTAAAAGGTGCGAATATAAAGATAGTTCAAAGGTTGTGCAAGCGCCATCATTTTCCCATCATGTATTCCTTTGCCGGAGTCCTCTGAGATGGGTGGTTTTCTTGCAGACATTTCATGACCTGGGGTTTGTGGAGAGGAGGAGGAGGAGGACGACGACGACAACGACAACTGTGGAATCCGTGGTACTCTCTCAACTTGGTTGCTTTCCTCCAGACATTTCATGATCCAACTAGGTAATACATCAGTGCTAAACGGAATGGGGTTTACACTGTATATAAATAGAGAGCAAACCCCATTCCCATCTTCATCACTGCTGATGTTTCCTAGTTGGATCATGAAATGTCTTCAAGAAAACCATCAAGCTCTGAGAGCACCAAGGATACCCCCACCCCACTTCAACCCAGAGCTACAGAGATTCTTTTCTATCATACAGGTATGTTTAGTAACTGTTCAAAATTACAACAGCACTGAAAAAAGTGACTTATGACCATTGCAGTATCCTCATGGTCACATGATCCAATTTCAGATCCTTGATAACTGACTCCTATTTATGATGGTTGCAGTGTCCCAGAATCACGTGATCCCCTTTTGCAGCCTTCTGACAAGCAAAGTCACTTAACAACTATGTTACTAACTTAACAACTGCAGTGATTCACTGAATGACATCTGACTTAGCAAAAGAAATGTTGGGCTCAATTTGGACCCCTTCAAGAAACCTTAGTTTAAAACATTATTAGAATCAGGCGGGGTCAGTTATTCAGATCAGTGGCGCATTAAAAACATAAGAAAACCCCAAGGCATCTGTCCCATAGCGGTAAAGTCATTTGACCCAACTCGATCCCCAGAATATGCTTGAAGATCCGAAGCAGAAGGTAAGCATCAATCAATCGATCACCGTTAATTTCTTGCATGCAAGAAACGTGCTGTCATTTTCTACCCATCCTTAAAATAATATATGGAGCAGTGGTATACAGGTAGTCCTTGATTTATGACCACAATTGAGTCCAATATTTCTGTTGCTAAGTGAGACATTTGTTCAGTGAGTTTTGCCCCATTTGACGATCTTTCTTGCCACAATTGTTAAGCAAAACCGTGCGGTTGTTAAGTTAGTCAGAAGGTTGCAAAAAGGGGATTGCATGATTCCGGAACACTGCAACCGTCATAAATATGAGTAAGTTGCCACGCACCCAAATTTTGATCACATGATTGTGGAGATTCTGCAATGGTCGTAAGTGTAAAAAGCAGTCATAAGTCACTTTTTTAGTGCTCTTGTAACTTCGAATAGTCACTAAATGAACTGTTGTAAGTCAAGGATTACCTATAGTCCTTAAAATGGGGCATTTATAAACAAACGATCTGTCTAATGTAAGGAGCAATAGAGAGCATTTCTCCTGTAACTTTCTGTATCTCAGCCTCCTCTTCTTTTAGAACCACTTCTTGGTTTTTAGAGTCATAGGGCTGGAAGGGAGCTCAGAGGTCTTCTAGTCCAACTTCCTGCTAGGCAGGAACTTTATACAACCCCGCCTAAATAGTTGCCCAGCCTATTTTTGAAAACCTTTATTGATGAAGCACCCACAAGGCAATCTGTTCCACTAATCAATTGTTCTCACTGTCAGGAAGTTCTAGGTTGAATCTCTCCTTGATTAGTTTCCATCTGTTACTTCTTATCCTGGCCTCTGGTGTCTAGCTACGATATAGTATGGATTCTGGTGAGAAAAAGTTATTTTTGCAAACAGGGTGCAGTGATGCTTACTTCAATTATGTTCTCTATGTAAGGTTTTCGTATTCTTTTCTTGGTATATGAGATGTTAGCTTAACATGCAATGGCTAAGACAGTGGGTTGGGCAGCCAACTTCAGATGGCAAATTAAAGAGATTAAATTAAAGAGATTAAATTAAAGAGATTTTTCCAACAAAGTCATTTTCCAATACGGCAAACAGGTTGGGTCAGACTCAGAAACTGCTCTGCACTATGATTTCTGAATTTGATCTGGTTACAGGTAAGTCCTCAACTTATCACCATAATGGAGGCCAGAATTTCCATTGTCAAGTAAGGTGGTTATTAAATCAGTCATATCCAATTTCATAACCTTTTTAGCCATGGTTGTTAAGTGAATCACTGCAATTGTTAAGTTGTACAGTTGGTCCTCGACTTACAACAGTTCGTTTAGTGACTGTTTGGACTTACAACGGCACTGAAATAGATTTATGACTGTTTTTCACACTTATGACCATTGCCGCATCTCTGAAGTCACATGATCAAAATTGAGATGCTTGGCAACTGACTCATATTTATGATGGTTACAGTGTCCCAGGGTCATGTGATCATATTTTATGATCTTCTGACAAGCAAAGTCAATAGGGAAGCCAGATTCACTTAACAATCAGGTCACTAACTGAACAACACTTAACAACTGTGACAAGGAAGGTCATAAAATGGGGTAAAACTTACTTAACAACTGTCTCACTTAACAACAGAAATTTTGGGCTCCATTGTGGTCATAAGTCGAGGACTTCTTGTATATCATTGTACTGTATCTTATTTTAAGGGTGGATAGTAAATGACGGCATGTTTCTTGAGTGCAAGAAATCAGTGGCAATTGACTCATGCGTGTGTTCCGCTTAGGATTTTCAAGCATGTTCTGGGGATCAAATTGGGTCAAATGACTTCATCACTACAGGGCTGACTTGGGTTTCTCTCATGGTTTGGCTGTGCCACTGATCTGGATAATTGACCCCACATGATCCTAAGAACCTTTTAAACCAGGTTTTTGTTTTAAGGGGTCAATCTTGGCACCCAACATTTGATGGCACTATCATAGGCATTGTTCTTCTATACGGATAGTCAAGACCACAACTGAGACCAGAATTTCCATGGGCCAAAACTCTATCTAGCTACAAACACACCCTCCCTCCCTCCCCCTCCTTTTTTCTCATTAATCTACCCTCAGTACCTCATAATGACAAAACGAAAACAGAATTTTACAAATGTATGTAAATTTCAACAACTAGAATCAGGCTACAGCATAACAAAATTGACAAAAGTAAAGGGGGTCTGAATACTTTCTGAATGCACTGTATATCTATCATCTAACTATTGTCTGTCTCTGTCTGTCTGTCTGTCTGTCTGTCTGTCTGTCTATCTGACTGTCTGTCTGACTGACTGGATAGATAGATAGATAGATAGATAGATAGATAGATAGATAGATAGATAGATGATCTATCTATCTATCTATCTATCTATCTATCTATCTATCTATCATCTATCTATCTATCATCTATCTATCTCTATGTACCATCTCCCTATCATCTATCTACTGTATCTTTCTATCTATGAGCAAAACTCAGTTGTGGTCCTAAATCAAGGACTAACTGTATTTGCAAGCTGTTAAGCATCTAAGATCATCAGAAGAAGCCTGCAATTTCTAAATAACAAATATGGAGGAACGAACCCCTCATACGCATAGGGGAAAAAATCACTCTCACCAGAGACAGTAAATTGCGTGGATGTTCTACACTCATCAGCCACAAAGACAATTTCTCCTCCATCTTCCATTTGACAATCCCGGATGATCATGGTGTATTCTCTATCTGCGGATGAGATTGAAATGCGACCACTGGGTTTTAATTCTTCTTTATTCTTCAACCATCGGAACTTCTCGCACTTCTGTTCCAGTTCCACGCAGAACACTGCAGTGTCTTTTATACTGACAGCTGTTTTCCTTGGCAGTTTCTTGACAATGTTGCCTAGGTTGATAAATAAAGATGTGATCATTAGCTTCAGTCAACTCACATTAAAAATTCCATGCTTAGAAATACTATGAATAATGAATGTGTCTAGGTAGGGAGGTATATACAGATATAGATGGATAGGAAGATAGACAGACACAGATAGATAACTAAACAGAGCGATAGATATGTGAAAGTTCAGAGAGGAAGAAGAGAGAGAGGGAGGGAGGGAAGGAGGGAGGGAGAAATGATTAAAGATATACCGGTAGATAGATAGATAGATGAGGTAGGTAGGTAGGTAGGTAGGTAGGTAGGTAGGTAGGTAGGTAGATTAGATAGATAGATAGATAGATAGATAGATAGATAGATAGATAGATAGATAGATAATGATGGGTAGAGATAGAGATAGATAGGTAGGTAGGTAGGTAGGTAGGTAGGTAGGTAGGTAGGTTGATAATGATGGGTAGAGATATAGATAGAGAGAGAGAGAGAGATGGATAGATAGAGATAGATAATGATGGGTATAAACAGATAGATGGATAGACAGATAGATATAGATAGATGAATGATATAGAAGATAGATAGATAGGTAATGATGGGCAGAGAGAGACAGAGATGAGATACATAGATTAGATTAGATTAGATTAGATTAGATTAGATTAGATAGATAGATAGATAGATAGATAGATAGATAGATAGATAGATAGAAAATAATGATGGATTAGAAATAGATAGATAGATAGATAGATAGATAGATAGATAGATAGATGATGGGTAGAGATAGACAGACAGACAGACACATACCCTCACACACACACATCGATGTGGATAGAGGGATAATTGGATAGATAATTATAGAGAGATACAGAGATATTGGGGGAGAGAGAGAAATAGACAGATGAATGAATAGGTGAGGGGGTAGACAGATAAATGGATGGATGGATGGATAGATGGATTATAGTTACATGAACTGATAAATAGGAAAAGAGAGACAGAGAGAAATTCATATATGAATAGATATATGGGAGGGGGGGAGAGAGAGAGAGAAAATTGGATAAATAGAAGGTGAGAGGGAATAGATACATGAATTGACTGATAAGGGGGGAGATAGACAGATACCTATCCCTTACATGCATTCTAACCATCCAGGTTAGAAGCCAGAGAGGCTGACATGAATTTTGTAGTTTTATATAAATAAATATATTTCCCATCTCTATACACCCCAAACAAGAAAATTCAGGTAAACAGGAGCAGCGTGAGGTAAATTGCAGAGCACACCGAAGAAAAAGGCGGGAAAAAAGGGAAACGCCCCCTCCACACCCATAGCAACCAATCACAGTGCAGATTGCCTCAGGCAGGAGCCAGCCCTTTTCCCATCAATCAACTATAACTGTTTGTTCTGGCTCACGACACGAGTCCCCTATTAAATTTAAATATCATAACATACAGTGGACGGAAACATACACTGAATTTATTGCATATTTTTGTGTCCAGTGCACTACGGTTAAACCTTAGAGCTGGGAACAGTCCATCGTCAGCCTTGGTGGAGCTCAAAAATCATTTGGATGGGAACCCACAAGATCCCACCCAAATAAACCAGGCTTAGAAAACCCAAATATTTTCCCCTTTTTGCATTTTCACAAATGTGTTTTTTGCAGTTTGTGTTTGTCAGACTGGCGGACGACGCCATCCAGCAAGAAACACAGAGATGGCTTGGTCAGAGGCAAATCAGTTTACCTTCCTAACCCTGACTTGTAAAGTGGACTGACATATCCAGGCAGTTCTCGACTTACGACCACAATTGAGCTCAAAATTTATGTGAGAAATTTGCTAAGTGAGTTTTGCCCCATTTTACAAATTTTTCTTGCCACATTTGTTAAGTGAATCCCTACTGTTGTTAAGTTAGTCACCCGTTCGTTAAGTGAATCTGGCTTCCCCACTGCTTGTCAAAAGGGGATCACGTGACCCCGCGACACTGCAACCGTCATAAATATGAGTCAGTTGCCACGCATCTGAATTTTGATCGTGTGACTGAGGGTATTGCAATGGTCATAAATGTGAAAAATGGTCATAAGTCACTTCTTTCAATACTGTTGTACTAAATGGACTGCCGAAGACTACCGGTATGTGCTGCAGAGTTCAAAGGCATCAACGTAAATTATATGTCTGCAATCCATTCAATTGCTTGGCAAGCACCATGATCTGAACTCAGGTTACAGAAATCCCTCGGATGACCTCCTTCGACCTTAAATGCAAACAGCCATGAATTGACTCTCTTAGATAACTAGTGGTTTGCAACAGAGATCTTGCATTTCACCCCTGGAATTATCGACTAAAGAAGCCTGATCTCTGTCTAAAAATTGTTAGCAGGTCAGAGCTGAATTGCCTTTAATGATTTTATTTATTAAACGGGTATTTAACAGATAGTCCTGGAAATGGGAGCAGAATTTGCGCTGCTAAGCAAAAGGGTTATGAGGCGAGCTGTGACTGGCTTTGCAATCTTTTTCACCACGGTTGTTAAGTGAATCACTGCAGTTAACCATTGTTAACACTTAACAGTGGTTAAACGAATCATATAGTCATTAAGTGAATCCAGCTTCCTCCTTTGCTTGTTGAAAACTGGCTGGGAAGGTCACAAATGGAGATCATGTGACCCCGGGATGCTGCAAGTATCATAAATGCAAACCGGTTGTCAAGAGCCCGAATTTTGATAATGTGACCTTGGGGATGCTGCAGTGGTCGTAAGTGCGAGGATCTGTGTATTGATTTTACTAATATGAGAACCCTTCATATGTGTAAATGCCAAATCTTAGGATTCTTAGCGGTGGTAAGGGTGACTTGTAAATTTGGGCAGATGGTTTTGAACGATCACTAAGCGACCAGTCATAAATTGAGGACTACCTGTAGAAGGAAATCCTACCAAGAAAGATCAGATGGACTTCACTTACCTTGAACGCTCAATTCAGCGATGGTTCTGCTGCCTTCCTTCATCTCGCAAATGTAGACAGCGTCATCATCCATGGTGACATTTTGGACTGTGAGCTTGCGGCATAGCCCATCTTCTTCAATCTTGTACTTGTCATTCTGTTGAAGTCTGGTCTCCTCTTTGAACCAAGTGGTCTCCACATCAGAATGGGGAACTTCGCACACGAAGATCGCGGAGTCCTTCTCCCGAACTTCCAAATCTTGGAGTTTTGTCTTGAAAGGTATTCTCGGTTCTGGGGAAGAACCAGACGGAGAAATGAACTTTGGTAAGACATAAGACTGAAGAACCATCAAACAGCAAGTGTGGATTCTTCTCAATGACGTTAAGATTGTTTAAAACATCAGTAGAACAATGTGATCTAGAATATCAGTAGAACATTAAGATCCAATAGAACATCAGTAAAACGTTATGATCAATCGGAACATCACTAGAACCTTACGATCAAATGGAATATCAGTCTAAAATTACAATCAAGTGGAACATCAATAGAACATTATTATCAAGTAGAACATCAGTAAAATGTTATGATCAAGGGGAACATCAGTAGGAAATTACGATCAAGTTGAACATTAACAGAACTTTATGACCAAGTAGAACATCACTAGAACATTATAAGTAGATCATCAGTAGTAAATTGCTGATCAAGTGGAAAATCAATAGAACTTTGGGATCAAGTAGAACATCAGTAGAACATTATGATCAAGGGGACCATCTGTAGAAAATTACGATCAAGTGGAACATCAATAGAACACTGTGATTAAGTAGTAAAACATCAGTAGAACATTAAGATCAAGTAGAACATGAGAAAATATTGTGATCAAGTAGAACATCATTAGAAAATTGTGATCAAGTGGAACATCAGTAGAACATTAAGATTAAGTGGTACAGGTAGTCCTTGATTTACAATCACAACTAAGCTCAAAGTTTCCATTGCTAAGCAAGATAGTTGTTAAGGTAGTTCCCCCCAATTGTATGACCTTTTCTTGTGGGAAGTGAAAACTCACTTAACAACTGTCTCAGTTAACAAGAGATGTTTTGGGTTCCGTTGGGGGTCGTAAGTCGAGGACTACTTGTAGTCCTGTCTTCTATGAATTAATTCAATCTCTTTCAACGCTTTCAGTGTGACCAACCACCATCCCTTCTTATAATTTAGTTTTTTAACTCCCGACACTGGAACATACAAGTAGTCCCCGACTTACGACCGTAAGTCTTAAAGCCATAAGTTATGAAGTTTAAACAGGCCACTCTGTAACCACACCAATTTTACAACATATGTAGGGTGGTCGTTAAATCAATCCTACAGTTGTCAAGAGAATGCCACAGTCGTTAAGTGAATGCTACGCTCATAAAATAAACCCAGTCTATTAAAGGGTGTCTTTTTGCTCTAAAACAGACGTAAATGTTGATTTCCAGCAAAACCATCATAAATCACAAGCATGTGACCGCGGGATGCTGAAAACGGTCATAAAGCAGGCTGGTTGCCAAGCACCCAAAATGCAGCCACGTGACCAGGAGGGCGGACGTCAAAATTTTGAATCTGGGTTCAAAGTAGCTTTTTCAGGATCTATTGTAATTTCAGACTGTCGCTAAGTGACTGTTTGTAAGGACGGGTGAAATGCTACCGGTTCCGACTGGCTCAGGAGGACTGGTAGCGGAGATTGGGGCTAATTTGCCGTACCAGTAGCAATTGCTGGCTGGCCACACCCCTGAACCGGACCACGGCCCGCAGCCCTGCCGTGCTTCCCTGCCTTTCATGGGGCCTTCCCGTGGCCAGCTTGCAAAGGCAGGCAAGCGGAAGGCCACATGGAAAGCAGGCAAGCATGGCAGGGATGCGGGGAAGGGAGCGAGCAGCTTACTCCCTTCCTTGCAGCCCTGCCATGCTTGCCTGCCTTCCATGCTGCCAAACTCATTGTTCGGAGCGTCAGCAATTTAAGGAAACATCTTCCAACTCTTCAAAATCAGCTTTAAGAGTGCCGAGAAGCCGACAGCAAAAAGTAGCGGCAGCGGGGGTGACGGGGAGTGTGTCTGTGTCCCTCCGCGGTCCTCCTCTCCCAGGTGACAGCCAGGGCTTCACCGCCTCCTCTTTTCCTCAGAGGGGCAGTGTCTGCCTCCAAGTCCTTGCGGAGGGAGGGACACACATACACACACACACACCTGTTTCCCCCCCCCCCCGCCACTACTTTTGCTGTTGGCGTAAAGTTGATCTTGAAGAGCTGGAAGATGTTTCCTTAGATTGCCGCCAAATGCCAAATTCATTGTTGGGAGCGTCAGCAATCTAAAGAAACATCTTCTTACACCTTCTTCTACCCATTTCCCCCCCCCCATCCCCGTTTTTCCATTACTATACCTGGCTTCTGCTAATTACACCTCCTTCTCCCCATTTCCCCCCACCACTTTTTTTTCCATTTCTGTATCTGGATACTGCTTCTGCAAGAGAAGTCTCCGATGTTCGCTTAGGTGGCGGAAGGAAACTCAAAGCTTTGGGGGGCTTCAGAAGGGTAGAATGTGCTTCAAAATGTGCAGCTCCTGGCTCTAACAGTGAGTGACGTCAAGTTGGCCACACCCACCCGGTCACGTGACCATCAAGCCACACCCACAGAACCGGTAGCAAACATTTTTACATTTGACCCCTGGTTGTAAGTCAAGGACTACCTGTGCTTACTTGAAACTCAGGTGTCTTTAAGGGTCTTGATTCAGAAAATGCCACTGAATTATGGGGTTTGAGATCAAGGAATCCATTTTACACAGGATCAAATCACCATCCAGCCAAGTATGAAAATTGAATATCTGCACCCTGCTAATGTCAATCTCCTTGTAAAACTAGCCAAGAAAGTTGTTTACTTCCTTGGCACCTACTACTGCAGAAGATATGCCTGAGATTAGATTTCTTTTGGTTTAAAAATACTTAACAGTCTTCTTTTAGTTGTGAAGCTAAATGTTCTTTTTTTAAAAAAAACAAAACAAAACACTATTACAGATAGTCCTTGACTTACAACCATTTGTTTAGTGACCGTTCAAATTTACAACACCATTGAAAAAAATGACTCCTGACCATTTTTCACAATAACAACCATTGTTCCCTCCCCGTGGTCACGTGATCGGAATTTGGCCGCTTGGCAACTGACTCGTAATTATGACGATCGCAGTGTCCCCACATGATCCCCAAAGTCAATGAGGGAGTCAGATTCACTTAACAACTGTGTTACTAACTTAACAACCGCAGGAATTCACTTAACAACTGTGGCAAGAAAGGTCATAAAAGGCGGGAGGGAAATCACTTGACAAACGTTTCGCTTAGCAACGTACATTTTGAGATCAATTGTGGTAGTAAGTCGAGGATTGTCTATGTGTTGTAAATAGAAATAGAATAGAAATAGAATTATTCTACATCCTGCTTTTGTTGAATGAACTGCTGATCTGAGATTATTTTCTTACACCTTCTCTTCCAATGTTTCTCAACCTTAATAACTTGAAGACAGGTGGAGCTACAGCTACTCACCTTTGACGATTATCAGGACAGAACTGTAGGTCTGTCGTGCCAATTAGTCTGGTCTTGAGCACACTGTGCTACACAACAGAAGATTTACAGCTACTCACCTTTGATGATTACTGACACAGGTTTGTCCTGTCAAATTGTCTGAGGGTCTTGAGGCCATTGTGCTACACAGTGGAGGATGTACAGCTACTCACCTTTGACAATTACTGACACAGAACTGTAAAGTTTGTCCTGCCAAATTGTCTGGTCTGGAGCCCATTACGTGACACAATGGAGGATCTAAGGCTACTCACCTTTGACAGTTACCAACACAGAACTGTAGGTCTGACCCGCCAAATTTGAAGCTGTGCAGGTGTAGAGGCCGTTATCGACCTGTTTGCAGAAGAGGATCTTCAAGACAAAATTCTCTTGCTCGTCCTCGTAAATTATGTGTCTCCGGCTCTCCAGGATCACCTCTCCGTCCTTCTTCCAAACCGTCTCCGGTTTGGGTTCTCCGGTTACGTAGCAGCTCATTTTGGCGTGCTTGCCCTCGGTGACAGTGAAGCTTCGAGTGGTGACCCGATAATATGAACCTCCATCACCTCGGAGTCCCTTGGAGGTCAAGCTAGCAGCCCGTTCGTAATCCAAGGACAAGCTCAATCCGAGTTTGGACCGTCGTTCGGTGGAGATCAAGGACTCTACGTTGGACAAATCGGTCTTCCGGATTTCTTCTCGTCTTTTCTGCATGTGGGACAACAACGGAGAGGTCTTGCTGCCGATGTCATCTATACTGTGTCTCGTGCTGCCTGGGCTGTAGGAATCTGGAAGATCTACCATCAACGCAGCGGCTGCACTGGAGGATCCTAAAGGATTCTCTGCACGGCAAGTGTAGGTCCCGCTGTCTCCCAAATGAGTACTTTGGATCTTCAGAGCGTTCTTCTCACCCTGGGATTCAATCCGGATCCGGTTGGAGTCAGATGATTTGCCCAGATGCTTCCCATCTTTCTCCCAGTTGATGGCGAGGGGAGGACTACCTTGGACGATGCACTTGAACATGGCATCTTCACCCATGATCACTCGGATGGATGTGGGCTTCTGGATGAAGTATGGGGCCGATTCCGTCACGGTGGTCTGCTCGCCGACTTTGATACTGACGGCGGCGAAGGCTTCCCCGATGGTGTTCTTGGCCCGGCAAATGTACTGACCGCTGTCCTCCAAGCTCAAGTTGTAGATGGTGAGACGATAAAGGTCATCATCTTCTACCATCTTGAAGCGTCCTCCTGTCTGGATGGGGAGTTTGTCCTTCTCCCAGCTCACCAATGGGATGGGGTTGCCAATGATCTGGCAGCTCAGGGTGGCATCTTTGCCCATGGAGACCACGAAGGCTTTGGGCCTCGTCAAGAACCTCGGGACGCCGCTGTAGGAAATGTAATCCATCTTGTTGGCCTACAAGAAGGAGAACAACAATAACCATGAGGAGCAAGAAAATGAGTTTTGTGGACACTAATGAAGGGTTGTACAGGTAGTCCTTGACTTATGACCATTCATTGAGTGTTTGAAATTACAACAGCTTGGGAAGAAGTGATTTATGAGCAGTCCTTGCACTTACGACTTTAGTATATTCCCTTGGTCACTAAACACATGTTTGTAAGTCGAGGAGAACCTGTAGAATGTTATGATCAAGTAGAACATCAGTAGAACATTACGATCAAGTAGAACATTATGATCCAGTAGAACACTGAGGTCCATTTTATCTCTACAACTAGGATCTGGAGTCATTCTTTTTCTAGCTTGGAGACAATACAGATAGTCCTCGACTTACAACTGTTCGTTAAATGACCATTCAAAGTTACAACAGCACTGAAGAAAGTGACTTATAGCTAATTGGTCCTCGTGTTTACAAGCATCACAACATCCCTGCAGTGATATGATCCAAATTTCAGTGCTTGGCAACTGGCTGGTATTTATGACGGTTGCAGCATCCCAGGGTCATGTGATCACATTTGCAACCTTCCGACAAGCAGTCAGTGCGGGGAAGTAAGACTCGCTTAATGACTGCAAGATGCATTTAACAGCTTCAGTAATTCGCTTAAGAACCATGATATAAGAGGTCGTAAAAGCAGATGTGACTCACTTAACAATCACTTTGGTCCCAACTGTGGTTGTAAATCATGGACGACCTGTAATCAGCAGGGGTCACAGGAAGCATTTGGGTTCAATAAACATGGATACTATCCACATCTCTATGAGCAGATAGTTCTTGACTTACGACTGGTTGCTTAGTGGCCCTTCAAAGTTATTGCGGATTTCCCTGGCAGTTCTTATGACTCATTTCTGAAAGCCACCATGGCTTTGGGCTCTCAGCCATCTAGACATTTTTGGTCATATCAACGTTCTATGATCACATGACCATGTTTTACCATGATGCACTTAGTGACCGCTGGAGAAAAGGTCATAAAATCAGGTCAGTCATGTGGAATTTATTACAATCCTCATGACTTACTACCATGATGGGCAGGCTCTACTTCAGTCGTAACTCAAGGACTATCTGCAATTCAGCTCAAGAAAACCAAGAAGGCTTTGTGGAAAATATCCACTTTATTTGGCTACGGTTACAGGAGCTGGAAACAGGTTATAAATAGGAAGCTAAAAGAATTATTCTGCATGTTGTCTCTTGTTGAAAGGACTGCTAATTTTAGGTTAATTCCTTCCACCTTCCATTCCAGTGTTTCTCAGAGTTGGAGATGGGTAGACTTCAATTCCCAGAATTCCCCAGTCAGCCAAGCTAGCTGAAGGCTGGCGAGAGAGAGAATAGGTAGGTAAGTAGGTAGGTAGGTAGATAGATAGATAGATAGATAGATAGATAGATAGATAGATAGATAGAAAGAGAGATAGAAACAGAGATGATATAGATAGATAGATAGAAAGACAGATAGACATAGATAGATAGAAAGATAGATAGAGATGATAGATAGAGAGAGAGAGAGAGAGATAGAGAGATAGATAGATATGGAGATTGAGGAAGGAAGGAAGAAGAAAGGAAGGAAGGAAGGAAGGAAGGAAGGAAGGAAGGAAGGAAGGAAGGAAAGAAGGTTGGTTTTAATTTTTAAATGTTTTTATAATGGTTTTCTAAATGCATTGTAAACTGCCCTGAGTCTCCTGAGAAGGGCGACATATAAATTGAAATAATAATAATAATAATAATAATAATAATAATAATAATAATAAGAAGAAGAAGAAGAAGAAGAAGAAGAAGAAGAGAGAAGAAGAAGAAGGGAAGGAAGGAAGGAAGGAAGGAAGGAAGGAAGGAAGGAAGGAAGGAAGGAGGGAAGGAAAGAAGGTTGGTTTTAATTTTTAAATGTTTTTATAATGGTTTTCTAAATGCATTGTAAGCCGCCCTGAGTTTCCTGAGAAGGGCGGCATATAAATTGAACTAATAATAATAATAATAATAATAATAATAATAATAATAATAATAATAATAAGAAGAAGAGAAGAAGAAGAAGAAGAAGAAGAAGAAGAAGAAGAAAGAGGGGAGGGGAGGGGAGGAAGGAAGGAAGGGAAGGAGGGAAGGGAAGGGAAGGAAAGGGAAGGGAAGGGAAGGGAAGGAAGGAAGGAAGGAAAATGGATGGACAGACAGACAGAAAGGCCAGAAATCAGGGCTGTCCAGAGGTGGAGTCAAAAAAGTCAGGATGGCTACCATCGCTATCAGCCTCATTGTTGTACTCCAGAGCTCAGTTCTATTTTCAACATGGTTCAAACCTCTCAGCCTCATCCAAATTTCTCTCCCCCCATCTGCTAACGAGTTGTTATGCAAAGGGTGTGTGCCCTGTGCGACTTCCTACAATCCTGATGAGTTGGTCCCAGCTGTCTTCTCCTCCTGACCAAACCCCCACCCTCCTTTCACGGTTCTTCGGGCCCCCCGCTGCATTTCATACCATCCAACCCATATGGTGTTTCCACCTGTCTGCAAACTTCAAACCCGCTTCCCACCAGTGACAGGTCTGGCCCGGATTCCTTGACTAAATTTATAATTCTTGCCTTACTTATTGAGTCAAATCCAGATTTAAGCCAGATTTAGCCACACTGGATTAAAAAGTCAATGGCCACCAAGGTCAAAATCTGCAAGATGGTGGACACTCCATGGCAATGGATGTTTGCAACACCAGGTCTGCTATCTTTGCAGATTTTGACTGCCTATATCAGCAGTCCTTTTTCCTTATCCTTCTTAAGCATGTTATTCACTTAGCAACTACAGTAATTCACTTAACAACTCTGGCAAAAAAGGTCATAAAATCAGTTGCTCTTCACCTCTGATAATTTTTAGGTAAATAAATAATGATGAGAGTTAGGAATTCAATACAGATAGCCCTCGACCTACGGCCACAATCGAGCCCAAAAATTCAGTTGCTAGCGAGGCATTTGTTAAACGAATTTTGCCCCGCTTTATGACCTTCCTTGCCACAGTTGTTAAGTGAATGACATGCTTATTAAGTGAATCTGGCTTCCCCACTGATTTTGCTTGTCAGAAGGTCACAAAAGAGGATCACATGACCAGTGGTGAAATCTAAAATTTGTTACTACCGGTTCTGTGGGTGTGGCTTGGTGGGGTGGGGGGGTAATGTGACTGGATGGGCGTGGCCTTTTTTTTTTTTTAACTATTAAAACAATTTTATCTACAACCTTTTCAACAAAAATGCTTTCAAAAGACTCTGACGATCTCAGCTGAGTTGCCTGATCGTCAGAGGCTTTTTTTCTTTTAAATGCCTCTGACGATCAGGCAACTCATCTTGGATCGTCAGAGGCATTTAAAAGAAAAAAAGCCTCTGACGATCAGGCAACTCAGCTGGGATCGTCAAGAGCCTTTTGAAAGCATTTTTTCTACAACCTCTGAAGAGGTCGTAGAAAAAATGCTTTTAAAAGCCTTTGACGATCCCAGCTGAGCCGCACGATCATCAGAGGCATTTTTTTCTTTTTTCTTTACTTTTAAAAGCATTTTTTCGACCGAAAAGGTTGTAGAAAAAATGCTTTTAAAAGTAAAAATAAAGCCTCTGATGATTGTGCGGCTCAGCTGGGCATGGGGGGGGGGGCAGGGATTTTTGCTACCGGTTCTCCGAACCAACCGCTTCCATCGCTACCGGATCGGGCGATCTGGTCCGAACCGGGAGCATTTCACCCCTCCACCTGACCCTGGGACACTACAACGGTCATAAATATAAGACAGTTGCTAAGCATCTGAATTTTGATCATTTGACCATGGGGATGCCAACAATCGCAAGCGTCATAAGTCCCTTTTTTCAGTGCCGTTGCAACTTTGAACGGTCACTAAACAAACTGTTGTAAGTCGAGGACTTACCTGAACAGGTCGTCCTCGACTTACAACCATTAGTTTAGCGACCGTTTGAAGTTGCAACGGCACTGAAAAAGGCGATTTACAATCGGTCCTCCCACTTACAACGGTTGCAGCACCCCAGGGTTATGGTGATCACCATTTGAAACCTTCCCTGGTGGCTTCCAACAAGCAGAGCCAATGGGGATAGCCAGATTCACTTAACAACCACACAATTCACTTAGCGACTGCAGTGATTCACTTAACAACCATGGCAAAAGAACATCGTAAAATCAAACACTATTCATTTAACAATTGCCTTCCTTAACAATGAAACTTCTGGTCTCAACCTTGGTCGTAAATCAAGGACGGCCTGTAGAGATTCAGGAAAAGTGGTCAGTTCTGATTATAATTCTTCCACTTTTATCAAGTGCAAATTTTCCCTTGCTAAACAAAACAGAACGTTTGAGAATCCTACAAACACAAAATTATTTGTCTTGCAAACTGTCATAGCTTTTCTCAGAACCATCCAGCTACTTAGAGAAGAGGATATCTCTGAGCATATGAAGAGTATTTTTTCCTTATGGGATAAGCAACAAGGACAAGCAACCAGCTTTTGGTCACGCAGAAATGCCACAAGCACTACACAAAACAAAATAGCGATGGTCATACAACATAATGATTTGCTCAAGAGGTAGCCCTCGACACACGACCGTTCATTTAGTGACGGTTCAAAGTTACAACAGCACTGAAAAAGTGACTTATGACCGTCTTTCGGTTACATTTTCTGCAGGGTCATGTGATCAAAATTCAGACGCTTGGCAACTGACTCGTATTTATGACGGTCACAATGTCTCGGGGTCACATTATCCCTTTTTGCGACCTTCTGATAAGCAAAGTCAAAAGGGGAAGCCAGATTCATTTAACAACCATGTTACTAATTTAACAACTGCAGGGATTCGCTTAACAAAAAAAAAAATCACAAAATGGGTATAATGCTCATTTAACAACTGCCTTCCTTAGCAACGTAAATTTTTGCCTCAGTTCTTTTGGTGGACAACTGCACTCAATAAAAACTTAATTCTTTTGAAAAAAATAATGCATGCTTAGCTTATGGGTCTGCATTCTGTAAACATCATTCAGAGATTATTCACACCTCAGGACTGCCAATCTTCCTTAGCCTAATATTCCTAAGGGTAGTCATCGACCTACGACCACAACTGAGATCAGAATTTCCACCACTAAGGAAGGCGGTTGTTAAGTGAGTCCCGTGCCTGCTCTTACAACCTTTTTAACCCCTTTTGTTAAATAAATCACTGCAGTTGTTAAGTGAATCATTCAGCCATTAACTGAATCCAGCTTCCCCCCATTGACTTCGATTTGGCTGGGAATGCCGCAAATAGCGATCTTGTGACCCGGGCACGATGCCAGTTGCCAAGCACCTGAATTTTAATCACATGACCATGGGGATACTGCCAACGGTCATAAATGCGAGGACCAGTTGTAAGTCCCTTATTTCAGGGCTGTTGTAAGTCTGGTTACTAACAAACGGTTGTAAGTCATGGATGACGGATATTCAAGTAATCGTTTTTTAAGGTACAAAAAATCAAGATCTCCAAATAAACACCCCTTGTATCCAACAAATTTAAAAGCATCATGATTACATACTACCAAATTATAGGGCCACGCACAAAGCCTCTGCAGGGCAATCCAGATCAAGTCTACCTTCAACCCCGAACAGTTGGGAGTGACTGGGTGAGTCACACCCTTCCCCTTTCTTAGCCTGTCCTACCTCGCAGGGCTCCACTGTAACACTGGAATAATAATTAAAAATTAAGCTAGGCCAACTCCAATAGGAAAGTCAAATCGACATTTAGTACAGCCAAGTCCTCGACTTGCGACCACAATTGAGCCCAAGCTAGGTGAGACATTAAGTGGATTCTGCCTCATTTTATGATCTCCCTTCCCAAAGCTGTTAAATGAATCACTGCAGTTGATACATTAGTCACATGGTTGTTAAGTGAATCTGGCTTCCCCGTTGACTTTGCTGGTCAGAAAGTCGCAAAAGGAGTCTCCAGGGCACTGCAACCGTCATAAGTACGTGCCAGTTGCCAAGCATCTGAATTTTGATCATGGGAAGGTCCAATGGTTGTTAACTGTGGAAAAGGGGTCATAAATCAATCTTTTCAGTGCCGTCGTAACTTTGAACAGTCGTTAAACGAATTGCTGTAAGTTGAGGTCTGCCTGCAAGTATATTTTTAGAAAAATAGAACTCTCCCATCTGCTTGGACAGTGTCAAAGGAATAATCCCGATTGCAATCAAATCTTACAAAGCAGATTCCACGCAATGTGATGGTCTCTTCAGCTAAATAAATTGGGGTTTTTTGGTTTTTTTTTTAAGGCATGCTTTTTGCCTATTGATCCCCAGGCTGTATATAACAGGCAAACACGACTCAGCCCCTCCATTCCAGCCAGGCCTGATCACTGACCGATGGCTCTTAAAATAGCCTCAGCTGTCCAGCTCTATCTTTTTTGCAAAGCTCCCCTGGAGAAATTCAAGCTGAGAACTGGAGGCAGGAGAATAAGCAGAGGAGATTAATAGAATTGCTCACATGCTGAAATCTGGGTTTTCACCCGACGCAGAATTTTTGCAAGACGCTTCCTTATTTAGGAAGAAAAAGACAAGCAAAAAAAAAAATCAGTGCCATATTCCCAACCCCGTGCGATTTGAAAAGAGCATTTTCCTGCTTAAACCCCCATGAAATCCAAGTTATTTTACTTTTAAACCGACATTTAAAATCCTGCCTGGGTTGAATTGGCCTCACCCAGGAAAACAAACAAACAAACCTGCTTCCCAGGTTCGGCCTGTGATTTGTCTGAAATGGTATAGGGTTTCCTGCCCGAGCAGGGGGTTGGACTGAAAGACCTCCAAAATCCTTTCCAACTCTTTTATTGATATCCTGAGGTTGAAAATCAAAATTGATTTTTTTTTTTTTTGACTTTCAACCTTACAAACCAACATGGAAATGGGTAGGGAGAGGGAGGAGGGAAACCAGAGCTTTTTTTCTCAACAAGCCACCATTCTCTGGTCTGTCCTGTCCAGAGTGAAATTTAAGGACCTTACCTGGGGTCTTTTTTTCAAGCCTCTTTAATTGGGACGATGGACAGGTTCTTGACAATTTCAGTAACCATCCAGAAGACGGTGGAGAGGAGGCTAGGAGGATTCAGGGCACCCCTTTTCCCCCTCCCAGCCCCCCCCGGGAAGGAGAAAACAGAAACCCCCGTGAGGTTGGGGATGTGCAGAAGGCAAGCCCCCAGACTCGCTGTGATGACCCCTGGCTTTAGCTGAAACCCAGCTCCTCCCTTGAACTGTCTCCACCAGTCATGTTGGCTTGCTGACGTGATCCTCTCCCGGCTGTCCATCTCCAAAATAGTCCTAGGTGTCAGTTGGTAGGCAGATTAAATTTCATCTCTCTTGCGGTGCCTCAAAAGGCATCACGTCGGACGGGCTGCGGTGAGGAGTGGGCGTTGCTAGTTGGCTGGAGGGTAAACTTTACGATGAACAATTGCAGGAACTGGGACTCTCTAAAGAGAAGGACTAGAGAAAGGGACATGATGACATCTTCCAATATATTGAGGTGCTGTCACAGAGAAGAGGGGGACAGCCTGTTCTCCAAAGGACCTGAAGGCAGGACAAGAAGCAACAGATGGAAGATTATCAAAGAAAGATCTAGAATTACGGAGAAATTTCCTGGCAATAAGAACAATCAGAACGGCTTGCCTTCAGAAGTTGTGGATGCTCCAACACTGGAGGTTTTCAAGAGAGCCGTCTGCCTGGAATGGTATAAGAATGCTCGAGCAGGGGGTTGGACTAGATGAGCTCCAAGGTCCTTTCCAATTCTGTTATTCTGTAATTCTGGTAACAAGGACATCGTGAAGTTAGGAAGGTTAAAAGATCCAGAAAAATCTGCTTGCTTGCACAAGTTGTTCTGCTTGCTTGTATGATGTGTGCAAAGAGACAGGTGGGGATTTTCATGATTGACAGGACCAGAAAGGACCTGAGCAGCAAATGCCAGAAAACCTTCTTTCTCCCATGTGGGTTTTAAAACTGCTTTTGCATGGAACCAAGATGATCCCATAAATATTAGGGGAAAACAATAACTCTAAAGAGTAAGAAAGAAATCGCAAAGACCACTTCTGTGTTCCCTGCAACTTGCTAGGTCCCAGGATAAAATTTAATAACAAATGAAAATTAAAGTCTTAATTTAAAAAAAAAAATTAGACTTCTAGGAAGCCTCCCTCCCTAGATTAAAATATTCTTTGTTCTTAACATTAAAAGAGACAGGATGGAATATTTCCTCAAAGGAGAACTAGGGAAAACATGTTCTTAAAGGCAGAAAGCAACCCCAGTCTTCCTGCATAGTGAAACAGCCTCCAGCAGATGCCTGAAGTCTTTCGAGATTGATATTTTGTGCCCATTAAGAAATTTGGGCCAGCCTATTCATAAACAAAATGCCTTCAGCTCCAGCTGGTGGGATTAAAAAGAACAGGATGTAACTTTTAGGATTAACCCACCACCATTGAAATAGTAAAAGAAACAAACTCACCACATTGCAGCACTACAAACCCCCTGGAGCATCTCAAACCCAAAACCCCAGAAACCTATAAAGATCCAACCACTCATTCAGCTATTTTGTCAGCTGTCCCAGAACTACATGCTGTTGTTGGTTCTGCTCATAAATAAACCTTCTACCTTAAGCAGCCAGTCAGCCTCCATTTTATTTCCAGAGACTTTCTCCCGGCTTGGAACCCGACCAGATTTTTTTCTTCCTACAGATTCACGACCTCTCATTGTAGCACCATCATGTGCCAAGAACCCATTTTTCTTTCCTGACTTATAAAATTAATCCTCTTTATATCTTTTGTCTTCTCACATGGTTGGCGGCATAATTTATACCTCTTCGGCCATATGAATGCTGTGGCATGTAAGAAGATAAAGAGAATTTTAAAAGATCACAAAAAAGAGACTATCTCAGTTACAAAGGATTTGTGGGTGTACAAAACAGATTGCAGATAAATGATAAAAACCTTCCTGTTGATTTTTTTTTTGGACCAGGTAGTCCTTGACTTATGACCACCACTGAGCCCCTCATTTCTGTTGCTAAGTGAGACATTTGTCGTTAGTTTTTCCCCATAGTATGACCTTTCTTGCCACAGTCTTAAGTAAATCACTGCAGCTGTTAAGTCATAAACATGCTTGCTAAGTGAATCCAGATTTCTCCTCGACTCTGCTTGACAGGTCACAAAAGGGGACTCCGGGACACTGCGCCGTCATAAATATGAGCCAGCTGTTACTTTTGATCACATGACCATGGGGATGCTACAACTGTCGTAAGTGTGAAAAACAGTCATAAGTCACTTTTTGAACCTTGGTCACTAAATGAACTGTTGTTAAGTCAAAGACTTACCTGTACAAAACCATTTCCCATCCTTAATTTATTACAAGATAGAATTCCAGTCCTTTAGATATTAAATATTTTTATTGTTTTAGTGCTTTCCAGCAACCATTTAGAATTACTCCAAAAGGGAAAAATAACTTTGCATGAAAAAAAACAGCAGCTTAAACTTATAACACAAATAAACACTTGTAGTCTTCGCAAGGTGCGTTTTAAAATGCATTATCAATTTTAATAATTTTTCAGGATTCACAATCAGTCTTCCTCATAATAGCAATCATATTATCATGTTGGATGATAACCAGGACAAACAGCATATTGACCTGTTTTACGACTGTCCGCAACGAGTTGTAACACGAGGACTACCGTACTTCTGTACACATAATTCAACCGTACCTGATCAACAGCTCAAGTTCAGGTTAGATAAAGGATATCTTGATTCCAATCAATACAATACAGGTAATTGCGACCCCAGCTTGAAATGTTGGTGTGCTGATGCAAATTCCCAAACTTTTTATGCAACATCATCCGTGGTTAATTTAACTTCAGTTTTAGCAACTTAGCTTCAGCTTCCGACCAACACATCCACCAAAGCGTGTCTTATTCATAATCAAGTTTAAAAGAAAGGAGAAATGCACCATGGTTACCGTTAAGTTTGGCACTGAAATATTAATCTTCCAAAAACTGGGGAAAAGAAAACAGGTTGAATTGCAAAAACTAACAAAGATGCTGCATGAGTTTTGCCACTTCCTTGTTCACGTCTTTGGATGAGGTGTCTTTAAGGCAAATAAATTAAATAATGCTTAATTAAATTAAGCTTATAAATTAAATATTGCTTAATTGCATCGACTTTTCAGTGTTGTACTACCAAGATTTCAGCAATTATCTGGGCTTGAATGCCAGCAGGAGGGAAAAAAGGAAAAAGAAAAGGAAAAAGCAATTAAATTGGCTGTTTTTATGTGTATGTATATATATATATATATATATATTTAAAAAAAGAATAACCCATTTCATAACTGGCTTCAAATTCTTCCCAATTCGCTCTTTTGTTTTTTTAGTCTTTGCCTTTTATGCGGTTCTTGGTTTGTAAGGGGATGTTGGCTAGATCCAAGGCATTCTGACCAGGAATGCTGGTCAAATTTCTGGGAAGGACGATGTGCTGGAAAGCACACCATAAAGCTGTGCGGGTTTTCCGTGTGGAGAACATGAGCTTGTTCACAGACGATGCCAAGGCCAGGGTATCTGCAACGAAGACAAAATTTCATTCATTCATAAATCTGAATGGTGTATATTTCCCTGATAATTTTAAACCATCATCGATTAGACCGCCAATTCAGATTCTCCTTGCTAAATGTACATGTTTCAATTCATGGCTTAGCATGAAAAAGATGTCTACAGGTAGTCCTCGACTTATGACCACAATTGAGCCCAAAATTTCAGTTGCTAAGCTAGACAGTTAAATGAGTTTTTACTCTCTTTTAGAACCTGCCTTGCCACACTTGTTAAGTGAATCACCATAGCTGTTAAATTAGTCACACAGTCAAATTTAAATGAATCTGGCTTCCCCATTGACTTTGCTCGTTGGAAGGTCGCAAAAGGGGATCATGTGATCCTGAGGAAGTCGTAAGTATGAGCCGATTGCCAAGTGTCCAAATTTTGATCACGCTGCCACAGTGATGCCGCAACGGCCATAAGTGTGAAGAACAGTCATAAGTCACTTTTTTCAATGTGGTTGTAGCGGTCACTAAACGAAGAGTTGTAAGTTGAGGACTACCTGTAGCATGTTAATGTTTTAATTTTACTGCTTAATGTTTTTCATGGTCTGTATTGCTGTTTATGATACTGTCAGCCTGCCAGAGTTGCTGGATACTGAGATGGGAGGCAAATAAATAACAATATTAATTACTAATATGTTATTAATTAATTAATTAATTAATTCAATTTGTATGCCGCCCCTCTCCGAAGACTCAGGGCGGCTCACAATACATTTAAAGAATCATTATAAAAAGACATTGAAAAATTAAAAACATTAAAAACTCATTCACACCATTCATGGCCAGATCTTGCCAAATCGCAAGAGTGAAATCAACGGCCCCAGGCCTGCCGGAAGAGCCAGGTCTTCACCACTTTTCGGAAGGCCAATAGGGTGGGGATGGTCCGGACCTCAGGAGGTAATTGGTTCCAGAGAGCTGGGGCCGCCACAGAGAAGGCCCTTCCCCGCGGGCCCACCAGCCGGCATTGTTTAGCTGACGGGACCCGGAGGAGACCAACTCTGTGGGATCTTACCGGTCGCTGGGAGCTATGCCACAGAAGGCGGACTCGAAGATAACCTGGCCCTGAGCCATGTAGGGCTTTAAAGGTAATAACCAACATATTGTTCGTGTATCTTTTAGCCTCTACAGGAGTCTGCGACAAAGAATACAAGCATTTCTGCTGGTTACAGGTTCAGCAATTCGCCCTGGTTGGAAGTTTAAGTGGTGTTTCTCAACCTTCGCAACATTTACATAGGTGGACTTTAACTCCCAGAATTTCCCAGCCAGCTTCTAAGAGCTCCAAGTCCGCTTATCTGAAAATTGCCAGCATTGAGAAATGCAGACTCAAGGCAATGTTTTTCAATCTTATTCAGCTTTTAAGATGCAGGGATTTCATCTCCCAGAATTCCCTAATAGGGAATCAAAAGGTGGTCCTTGACTTACGACTGTAACAGAGCCCAAAATTTCCGTTCCTAAGCGAGACGGTTAAGTGAGTTTTGCCCCATTTGATGACCTTTCCTGTCGCAGTTGTTAAGTGAATCGCTGCAGCTGTTAAGTGAGTCACCCGGTCGTTAAGTGAACCTGGATTTCCCATTGACTTTGCTGGTCAGAAGGTCACAAAAGGGGGATTCACATGACCCTGGGACACTGCGACCGTCATAAATACGAACCAGCCAAATTTTGACCAAGGGACCGTGGGGATGTTGCAAGTGTGAAAGATGTCCCAAGTCCCTTTCTTCAGCGCTGTTTTAACCTCGAACAGTCACTAAACCGATGGTTGTAAGTCAAGGATTACCTGTAATCAGGATCTGTATAACAACAGTGATTTTAAGCAGAAGTACTAATGAAAGAACGCGGCATTTGCCCATAAACTAAAGTCAAAGTACTTACCTTTTTCATTGGTGGTACGTGGCGCCCGTGATTTCCAGTTGGTAACTGCATTAAAAATCTCATTGTTCCTCTTGGCCTGGGTCATACGAATGGCTTCCAAGTGGCGCTCCAAAATAATCCATGTATGCTTGTGGATAGGAACGCCGAAAAGGCTTTCCAGTTTCTCAAGTAATAGGTAAACCTTTTTTTAAAAAAGTTAAAAAACCAAGACTGAATTTTACTGGAAGGGGGGGGGAAGAGTTTCATCTTTGAAAAATGAATATTTTGATTTTTCTACAGGTAAATCTTTGAGTGATGACAATTGAGAGCAGATGTTCTGTCAGGCCTGCCTCCGTTCAAAACTCAAGAAAGAAAATCCCCAACACTGAATCAGAGAAGAGGTACTTTTACTAAGTTTAAAATGACAGCAGCAAAAACAAGAAGGCAAGATCTGATTCAAAATGCGTAAAAGTTACACACTGGAAGCCACTCCAAATCTCTCCCCTCCAGGATCCAGCACTGAGAGCCCAATCAACATCCCGTATGATGTTGTGGGAAAGCTCCTCTTCAGGTATTTCTCTCATCTGGAGTCTCAGGACAGTTGGCCTTGAAGGAGTATAAGCAACTCGACTCAGCAGAGCCATAATTCAAACCTCCCTTCCATGGGACAACTACACACCACCTCGCTTCCCTACCCCAAATGCCCATGGCTCCTTCCCATTTCTATGGCAGCCGATAGCAGGCATGCTGCAGAAACCCATGCTGGAAATCTGGCTGATACGTTCTATCGCTTAAGCAAGGCAGTCATTAAGTGAGTTGTGCTTGGTGTGTTATGATCTTTTATTAACAAATCGCCACGGGCCTAAGGCAGGGGTGAAATGCTCCTCAATCCGGGAGCGATGGTGGTTGGTGGTTTGGAGAACCGGTAGCAAAAACCCCTGCCCTCCCCCATGTCCAGCTGAGCTGCGCGATCATCAGAGGCTTTTTTTTTTAACTTTTAAAAGCATTTTTTCTATAACCTCTTCGGCCGAAAAAATGCTTATAAAAGTAAAAAAACAAAACAAAAACCGCCTCTGATGATCGCGCGGCTTATCTGTGATCGTCAGAGGCTTTTAAAAGCATTTTTCTACAACCTCTTCGGTCGAAGAGGTTGTAAAAAAAAATGCTTTTAAAAGCCTCTGACGATCCCAGCTGAGTTGCCTGATCGTCAGAGGTTTGGAGAGGTTGTAGAAAAAATGCTTTTAAAAATTTTTTTTAAAAAAGAAAAAGTTGGCCACGCCCACCCAGTCACATTACCCCCCACCAAGCCACGCCCACAGAATCGGTAGTAACAAATTTTACATTTCATCACTGGCCTAAGGTTGTAAAGCAAATCCAGCTTTCCCCGCTGACTTTGCCTGCTGGAAACAGGTTGGGAAGGTCGCAAGAGCTGATCAGGTGTCCCAATGCCACAACCATTGAAAATACACGCTGGCTGCCAGGTGTCTGAATTGTGATCGCACTGCAATGGTGACACAGCTAATCCTCGACTTCCAACCATTCGCTTAGTAACTGTTCAAAGTTACAATACACTGAAAAGAGTGACATTTTTCTAAAAATATGTATCTACAAGCAGTGGTGAAATTTAAAATTTGTTACTACCGGTTCTGTGAGCGTGGCTTGGTGTGTGGGGGTAATGTGACTGGGGGGGCGTGGCCAATTTTTTCTCTCTACTTTTAAAACCATTTTTTCTACAACCTCTTCGGCGAAGAGGTGGTAAAAAAAAATGCTTTCAAAAGGCTCTGACAATCCCAGAGTTGCCTGATCAACAGAGGCTTTTTTAAAAACTCAGCTTGGATCGTCAGAGGCATTTAAAAGAAAAAAAGGGTTTTTTTTTCTTAAAAGCCTCTGACGATCCCAGCTGAGCTGCGCAATCATCAGAGGCTTTTTTTTTTTACTTTTAAAAGCATTTTTTCAGCCGAAGAGGTTGTAGAAAAAATACTTTTAAAAATTAAAAAAAGCCTCTGATGATTGCGCGGCTCAACTGGGCAACGGGGGGGGGGGGGAGCAGGGATTTTTGCTACCGGTTCTCTGAACCACCCGCCTCCATCGCTACTGGATCGGGTGATCTGGTCCGAACCGGGATCATTTCACCCCCTGTCTACAAGTAGTCCTCGACGTACAACAGCTCACTCAGTGACCGTTTGAAACCACAACAGCACTGATAAAAGAGACTTATGACCATCTTTCACACTTAGGACCATTGCAGCATCCCCCTGGTCACTGGATCGAAATTCAGACGCTTGGCAACTGATAATGGTTGCAGAGTCCTGGGCTCATGTGACTCGCTTTTGCGACCTTCTGACAAAGAAAAGTCAATGGAGAAGCCAGATTCACTTAATAACCGTGTGACTCAATTAACAACTACAGTTATTCACTTAACTGTGACAAAAAAGATCATGGAAATGGGGCAAAACTCACTTAACAACTATCTCGCTTAGCGACAGAAATTTTTGCTCAATGGTGGTTGTAAATCAAGGACTATCTGTTCTTCTTTCTATTCAGGGCCCCCCTCTATAATGAGGGTGCCGGTGTCCAGTCCTCCCATTTTTCTCTGTTTTGCCTAATTCTAGAGCCTGGTTCTGGTTAGAAAACCAGAAAGCTGTGCATTCAAGTCCCACCTTAGGCATGGGTGAATCTGGGCCAATCAGAATGCAGTACTCACCTTTGCTTGCTCTTGAAACTGGATCCAAATCAGGCGATCCACTTGAGAGGGATTAGCTCGAAGCCGGAAACATGGAATCTCACTGGAGGTGGCAAAAGATTTCCTAGGAAAGCTCATTGCTAAATCAGCCTCCATCTGGAGGGAAAATAAAAAGGAATTTTCAGAGCATCCTCCAGTCTTAATAGCGATTTCCCTTTGATCCCAATTGGTATTTAAAAGGCAGACCTCTTCCTTAAATCTCCAGGGATCAACTACAACGTTACCTTCAGCTGGAATTTAATTCTCAGGCACTTACATAGATCCATCCAGGCATTTGGGTAGTACAATACCAAAGAATTTTGCTACAAGGAGTCGTTGACCTATGATCACAATTGAGCCCAAAATTTCTGTTGTTAAGTGAGACATTTGTTAAGTGGGTTTTGCCCAGGGGTGAAATGTAAAATGTGTTACTACCGGTTCTGTGGACGTGGTTTGGTGGGGGGAGGTGGGTAATGTGATTGGGTGGGTGTGGCCAACTTTTAAAAAAAAAAAAAACTTTTCAAAGCATTTTTTCTAATGCTTCGAAAAGCCTCTCTGCCGATCAGGCAACTCAGCTGGGATCCTCAGAGACTTTTCAAAGCATTTTTTTTTTTACCACCTCTTCGGCCAAGAGGTTGCAGAAAAAAATGCTTTGAAAAGCCTCTGAGGATCCCAGCTGATCCGCAAGATCATCAGAGGCTTTTTTTTTTTAACTTTTAAAAGCATTTTTTTGGCCGAAGAGGTTGTAGAAAAAATGCTTTTAAAAATAAAAAAAAAAAGCCTCTGATGATCGTGCGGCTCAGCTGGGCATGGTGGGGGGGGCGCAGGGATTTTTGCTACCAGTTCTCTGAACCACCCACTGCCATCGCTACCAGATCGGGCGATCCGGTCTGAACTGGAACATTTCACCCCTGGTTTTGCCCCGTTTTATGGCCTTTCTTGCCACAGTTCTTAAGTGAATCACTGTGGTTACGTTAGTAACCTGGTTGTTAAGTGAATCTGGCTTCCCCCTTGATTTTGCTTCTCAGGAAGCCGCAAAAGGGGATCATGTGACACACACACCCCGGGACACCGCAACTGTCATATATATGAGTCAGCTGCCAAGTCTCTGAATTTTGATCACGTAGCCACGGGGATGCTGCAACGGTTGTTCAGTGTGAAAAAGTCATTTTTTTCCCAATGGCGTTTTTAACTTCGAACAGTCGCTAAACGAAATGTTTTCAAGGACTACCTGTGCTGTCTTTTTTTCAAACCGTATACTTCCAACTACAGGTAGTCCTTGAGTTATGACCGCAATGGAGCTGGCCTGTCACGGAAGTCAGTCATGACGGTCGTAAAATAGGTCATCCTTGGCACCGGCCTGATTTTATGACCTTTTCTGCAGCTGGTGATAACCAGCCGTCTTTAAGTGAAACAATGGAGCTCTACTGTATGGGCTGGTCATATGGGCTCTACTGCAGGGGTCTCCAACCTTGGCAACTTTTAAGACTTGTGGACCTCAACTCCCAGAACAAGGTTGGAGACCCCTGGTTTAGAGGAAACCTGGAAATCAGGGCCGATTCTCAGCAAAAGCATCGTGAAATGATGCTTTACATCTCCACCCCAGGCCACCCCAGTGATGCCCTTGAAGTGATGTCCCAGTGCCTGGAGGCCGTGCAGATCTGGATGGGGAGGAACAGGCTCAAGCTCAACCCTTCCAAGACTGAGTGGCTGTGGCTCCCGGCATCCCGATATAGTCAGTTGACTCCATCACTGACTATTGGGGGCGAGTCCTTGGCCCCCACAGAGAGGGCTCGCAATCTGGGAGTCCTCCTGGATAGGCAGCTGTCCTTGGAGGAACATCTGACGGCTGTAGCCAGGGGGACCTTTTGTCAGGTTCGCCTGATTCGCCAGTTGCGGCCCTTTCTTGATCGGGATTCCGTGTGCACAGTCACTCATGCCCTCGTCACCTCGTACCTGGACTACTGCAACGCTCTCTACATGGGGCTCCCCTTGAGGGGCACCCGGAGGCTCCAGCTGGTCCAGAATGCAGCAGCGCGGGTAGTGACGGGAGCAGCATGGCGCTCCCATGTAACACCGCTCCTGCGTGAGCTGCACTGGCTCCCGGTAGTCTTCCGGGTGCACTTCAAGGTGTTGGTTATCACCTTTAAAGCACTCCATGGCATCGGGCCTAGCTATCTTCGAGACGGCCTGCTGCTACCGACAACCTCCCATCGACCTGTGCGCTCCCACAGAGAGGGCCTCCTCGGGGTGCCATCAGCCAAACAACGCAGGCTGGCGACCCCCAGGGGGAGGGCCTTCTCTGTGGGGGCACCCACCCTCTGGAATCAGCTGCCCCCAGAGATAAGGAGGATCCAAGACCTCGGTGCCTTCCGCCGTGCCCTTAAAACCTTCTTTTTCCAGCAAGCTGGGCTGGCTTAACATATTTTTTAATATTTTTTAATTTTTAATTGGTCTGTTATCTTAAATTGGGGCCAAATTAATATATATCCTTTTAATTGTTTTTAATGTTTATATTGTATGTTTTTATCTGACTGTACACCATCCTGAGTCCCTCGGGAGAAGGTGCAGTATATAAATTCGAGATAAAATAAAAATAAATAAAAATAAATGTAATGCAGGCCAGCTGCCAAGCACTGGGAGGGGCTGTCAGAATCAGGTCGTAAAGACCCCAGCATTTCATGACCCAACTATATAACATTATCAGTGGTAGAGAGAGGGAGAGCAAACCCCGCCCCCCCTTCTAAAATGGATGACGTTCCATAGTTGAGTCATGAGACGTCTGCAAGAACCCACCAAGCTCAGACAGCATCAATGACCCCCCCCCAGTCCTCCTTCTCCTCTCCTCTCCGCAAACCTCCTTTCCTTCTAGCACTGATGTTGTTACCTCGCTGGGTCATGAAATGTCTGCCAGAAAACCAGCAACCCTTCAGAGACCACCAAGGTTTCCACATTTAAATAGAAGTCTATCCTTCTCAATTTGGATGTTCTCCAGATGCATGTGCTTCCACCTCCCAGACCTTCCCCCTTCCATTCACAGTGGAACCCCCTCTTCCACTGGCCTGGAAGGTCTTCAGCCTGGAGACGTGTGTCACATAATAACCCCTCTCTCACCTTTGTTCGCTCTCTTTCTAACGCCCGCCACTGTTTGTAACAGTCCTCTAAGCGCAGGTAGAGTACGCGGGAAGGCCCAACATGATTAGTGATCAATCTGTCTTGGGGAATCAGTGGTGGGAGCATGTAATACGACGGAGAGGCGTCTCTGTTGATAACATGACTTAAATGGGGAATGTTGTCATACTGAAGATCAACCGAGAAAGATGGACATGACGGTGAAAAAGGAGGAGGCTGAGATGCAGGAGAATTTGGAATTTGGCTGCAGCCCGTGTCTAACGGGAAGAGGTGAAGGAACGCCGGATTGAGGAAATCAAACAAATTGCCCATTTTTTTCTTGCTTCTCAGTGCATCCAGCTGAGTCCAGTCCGGACCTATGAAGGCTGGGTTCATTTTAGCTCGTCTCTCACTTTCCCTTGTTTTCTGATCAGCATGGTTTCCATTTGGTGCACTGTCCAATCTGCGGAATTTTGCAAACCTGTTTGCAGAAAGACACGGTGGCCAACCACGGGGTGGAATGTTTCTCGAAATTTCGCCCAAGCGTTCCGGCCGAGGAGCTCGCAAATGAAGCCGGGAACGTCCGACAGAATTGTGCGGCTTAAGATTTTCCTTGCAGTTGGAAAACCCGTAATTTTGCAGATAGCTGCATTTTCGTGGGGCCATCTGGAAACCGAAATGCTGGACGACGGAGCTGTTGACAGAAGACTCACGTGGCAGGGTATTCATTTGATTTGGCTTTTTGTAAATTGCACATGATGCCCTTAAGGGATTTAAACTTCTGCTTTTGAGGCATTTATCTCCATTGTAAAATGAATTTTGTTGCTGGAAACCTGGGAGTGGAGATAAGAGATTTGAAGAATCTCGGAGGGGATACACAGAATTTTTACTTTTAACATTATTAAAGGAGGTGCTTGGGTTGTTGGGGCAATTTTGCTGCTGGTTTCGGTGCAGTTCGGTATTCGCTCCTTCGGGGATGCTATTTAATTGCTGAAATGGGGATGTGAGGAGATAAATGAATTGGGGCGATTCGTAAGTGCATCTTGTAGCACATAACTGGCTCTCCAGAATCACCGGATACCATATCCCATCTGCCGCAGAATGAGGCAGCTGAATTGATTTTTCTGTGTTGCTGGCCCCAAGCACACCGCTTGCAATGCCCTCCTGATCTTCTCCATAACATTCAGGAGGGCAGATCAGTGATGAGAAGCAGTCCCTCCTGCTAACATCAACTTGTTTCTTACAGTTACTGCATTCAGGAACGATGTCGAATTGCTGATTTAAATCTTTATAGGTAAAATCCTTGTTTTGTGGATCAGAGGGGTTCAGAGCTTCATGAGATGGTGGAAAGCAAGGAGGACAAGGGAGTGGCAAGGAGCCAGTCGCCTGCAGATCACAGAGTTTCCTGCTTAACGGTTCGGTAGGAGACGCCTTTTCCAATTTTTCTTCGTAAGAGTTCCGTGATTCAATGAGGTTAGCTTGGTTTTCATGATCCCAAATGTTCATAGGAAAAAGGCTTGAGTATCTGCTACTATTTTCCAAATCCATGGTCCAAGGTGGAGGGAATGAGTTTGACTGAGAGTCCCTGCAATGGACAAAATTTCATTTCTAAACATACTTTATCTTCATTACACGTTCCACAAAGAGGTACCCAGTTGGATCAGGCTGATGACCCATCATGGCAGAATATCTCCTGAATGTTAATAATATTTTAAAGTTTCCCATCTAAAATTCCACATAAAGGCCTTTCTATACAGGTAATCCTCGATTTACGATCATAATTTAATATGATATATTATAAATATATAAATCATATATAAATATAAATCATATAAATCAAATTTAAAAAAAATAATAATTGAGCCTGCCATTACAAGTAGTCCCTGACTTACGACCGTAATTGAGCCTGCACTTACAGGTAGTCCTCAAATTACAACCATTCATTTAGCAACTGTTTGAAGTTACAACAGCGCTGGAAAAAGTGACAGCACTGGTCCTCATTGTCATAGCATCCCCACAGTCATGTGATCAAAATTTGAGTGTTTGGCATCTACAGGTCATACAACAGCTCGTTTAGTTGACTGTTCAAAGTTACAGCGGCACAGAAAAAGTGACTTGACTTATGACCATTTTCCACACTTATGACGGTTGCGTCATCCCTGTGGTCACGTGATCAAAATTCAAATGCTTGACAACTGACTCATATTTATGACAGCTGCATTGTCTTGGGATCATGTCTGCAATTATTGCAAGTTCGAATCTCGCCAGGCTCAAGGTTGACTCAGCCTTCCATCCTTTCTAAGGTAGGTAAATTGAGGATCCAATTTGTGGGGGCAATAAGCTGACTTTGTATAAATATACAAAAGGATGAGGCTATTGCTTAACGCATTGTAAGCCGCCCTGAGTCTCCGGAGAAGGGCGGCATATAAATCGAACCAATAAATAAATAAATAAATAAATAAACTTCAAACAATCGCTGAACAAATGAGCTCTGGTGGCTCAGCAGACTAAAAGCATTGTGATTAAGACCAGCTGCCTGCAATTACTGCAGGTTCGAATCTCACCAAGGCTCAAGGTTGACTCAGCCTTCCATCCTTTCTAAGGTAGGTAAATTGAGGACCCAGTTTGTGGGGCAATAAGCTGACTTTGTATAAATATACAAAAGATGAAGGCTATTGCTTAACGGCATTGTAAGCCGCCCTGAGTCTCCGGAGAAGGGCGGCATATAAATCAAATTAAAAAAAAAAATGTGATCACAACCTTCTGGCAAGCTGAAGTCAATTGGGAAGTCAGATTCACTTAACTGGGTTACCAACTTAACAACTGCAGTGATTCACTTAACAACTGTGGCAAGGAAGGTCGTTAAAATGAGGCAAAACTCAGTTCACAAATGTCTCACTGAGCAATGTAAATTTTGGGCTCAATTGTGGCCATAAGTCTAAGACTAAATGGTTCAGCATCCCGGGGTCAAGCAATCACCATTTGCAAATCTTCCTAGCCAGCTTTTCCAACAGGCAAACTCAAGAAATTGGCTTTGCTTAATGACCATGTAATTCTCTTAGCAGCTGCAGTGATTCGCCTTACAACCGTGGCAAAAAAGAAAGATCATAAAATCATCGGGTGCCACTTTCTTAACAACCTCCTTCCTTGACGTCAGAAATCCTGATCCCAATTGTGGTTTTAAGTCGAGGACTACCTGTGCAGTATCATGCAGGCATTCACAAGATCGTTTATGATGTCACCTACCAATTTAGACTCTGCTAAAAGAGCAGCTGACACTGGAAAAAAATTGATCCCGTTCTCATCTTAATCTAAGTCGAATTGTCCAGCCAACTGATCCCACTTTGCATGCTCAGGATGAGGGTGTTATTCTATTTTAACAAAGTTTTTAAAATATCTGCCGGGGGGGAGGAGACGGGGAGGGAGAAAAAAAACAGCACTGTACCATTCTGTCATATCTTCTGATTCGTTGGGCTCCTGCAAGATGCTGGTCACTAAGGCGAACATATCAGGACCGCTGGCAGAGTAAAAGAGATCGATCTGTGTCCTAAAAGCAAGGATAAACAAATGCAAAATAAACCTGGCTTAGGATGTCACCAGAATGTTTAGTATATTTTAATTGGTTTTTTATTATTAACGTTTGTATTACATGTATTTTTATCGTTCGCTGTTCACCGCCCTGAGTCCCTTAGGAATAGGGCGGTATATAAATTTAATAAATAAATAAATAAATAAATAAATTTATTTGCATCCAGCCTTTTATTATTATTATTATTTACAAATAACTCAAGACAGTGAACCTCTCCAACACGGCTTCCTATTTTCCCACAACAACCACCCTGAGAGAGACGAACTTGCCCTAAAAGTCAACACAGCCAACTTTCATGTTTAAGGTGGAACTAAAACTCACTTGTTCCTCCTGGCGATTATCCCAAAACCACCCACAGGTTTCATGCCTAAGGCAAGAACTAGAATTCACCCTTTCCCGCTTTCTTAAAACACAAAACCAAACTTTTTTTCTCTTTGCATTTCTTCCGCAGTATTATTTAGGATCGGAGCTTAAAAGACTTGAAAATTCATAAAAGCAGACAAAACATATAGATAAAAGTGTCAAGGGATAGGTTATGTTTGAGTGTTTGTGGGAACACCAGCAGAAGATCCCCCCCCCCCCCGTTTGTATCATCCCTGAAAGGATCCCGGTTCATACCTTTGGTCTGGACACCCGTGCAGGGAAGTCCCCATCCTGGCGCCGTCTTCACATCTGGCTGAGCTATTGGATAATGGGGGATGTTCCATAGAGAAGGCTGTATTTGTTCGTTCACCCAAAAGTTGGGGAAACATTTCTTGATTACTGAGGTTTCCCTGAGGAGCAATTGCAGGGGGGGAAAAAATTGTAGGCAGGAACCCAATAAGATATAAATCAGGTGTCAAAGTTCCAAGTTAACACCCCCAACGAAAGAAGACTCCGAGGCTCGAGATTCCTCAAAGCTCTATTTTGTTAAGACATGTCATATTGGCACATCTGGGAAAAGCTGAATCTGAAAGCTTCCAGGTTTGCCCCACTCAAAAGAAAGTCCAGCCCAGCACCCACAAGTCCATCACATGGCCCAATCATCCACCATCCAAACTGGAGACACCTCCCAGTCATCTGACTCCATGGGCCGGGGGACTGTGTCCTTGACTGTCTGAGAAAGGAATGCTATTTTGACTATAGACTTCATATCACCCACACTCTATGCAATCCCCCCCCCCATTTCCCCACACAAGAATGTATCACAGGCCTGAAGGCCCAAATGTAAAAGATGGCTTCCAGGTCCAGGGGTGCCAAACTTGATTTCGTTGAGGGCCACAGCAGGGTTGTGTTTGGCCTCAGGGGGCCAGGATGGGCGTGTCACTCGGGTCGGGGGCGCCTGTGGTGGCCCTAGCGTTCTGCCGGTGAAAACGGGCTCCTGAGCTCCGTTTTCGGCTGCAATGGCTTCCTGCAACCCTCTGCCAATGAAAATGGAGCTTGGGAGGGCCACACACGGCACACCCAAGCTCCGTGTTCGCTGGCAGAGACACCGTGGGCCGGTCCTTTGCTGTTTCCAGGGTGGCCGTATGGACCAGGTTTAAGCACTCCATGGGCCAGATCCGGGCCCCAGGCCTTGAGTTTCACACCCCTGCTTTAAATTATCAGAAAAAGATGATTTCCCACAGACCTAAATCACAACACCGTGCGAGATATTTCACCGTACGAAAATATATTTGAAATTGCCACTCCATTTTCTCCATACATACTTGTATAGGTACAGGTAGTCCTCAACTTATGACCGCTCACTTAGTTACCATTCTATGATGAAGACCAAAAGATACTTATGACCTAGATTTGAAGTACTAATGGTTACCTCCCCCTCCCCTCCCGCATGTGGTCAAATGACCTCCTCATGGGCACTCCGCGATTTACTTTTTTTTTTGCTGGAAATCAAAATTTGCATCCGGTTTCTGACAAAAGATGCCCATTATGAATGAGTTCGCTTAACAACTGCCACAATAAAATGGTGTCAAATTGTGTCTATCATTATGGGTGCCTCAACTTGTAATTGAAATTCCAGGCTCCATTACGGTCACAAATTAAGAACTATCTATATTATTCAAGGTAATGTGATTGCGTTTAGTACAGATAGTCCTCAACTTACAACCACAACTGAGCCCAAAATTTCCATCACTATGACCATGGGGGATGCTGCAATGGTTGTAAGTTTGAAAACAGTCATAACTCCCCTTTTCAGTGTTGTAAATTTTGAAACGGTCACTAAAGAAATTCAATCTGTGCAAAAGATGCCATAGATGTAATAACCTACTGATTTACTCCTGACTCTGGTTACACAAGGATGGAGCCATGAAAAACAAATCTTTGAAACCATCCATAATGCTCCTGATGAAACACTTCTGTAAATCCTCACACGGTCTTTTCTCTGCTTTCTTTGAGCCCAAATATTCATACCTGACAGAGATAGGCACAAAGAAACAAGGGATTCAATCATGGTCCAGATCTTCCTCCTTCGGAATACAATTGTCCTCGACTTACAACCATTCGTTTAAGTGATTGTTAGCGAAGTTGCAACAGAATTGAAAACACCACTGTGGCAACATCCCCAAATTTGGGGCATAGGCAATTGTGGCATTGTGCTGGGGTCATGTGATTACCATGTGTAGCCTTCCCAGCTAGCTTCCAACAAGCAGTCAATGGGGGAAAAACAGATTCACTTAACAAATGCAGTGATTTGCACAACTATTTCTTCCTCTTTTCTCCACTCTGGAAAACTCCACTCTCTCCTAGCCCTCAAGATTCCACATTTAGGCTAGAAAAACGAAATGCACAGGTACAGAATATGTGGTACCTTGCTCAATAGTGGTGACTGTGGGAGGGATCTTGGAGTCCCACTTAGACATGAGCCAGCCGTGGGCAGCAGCTGCCAAAAAAGCCAACGGAAGCCATCTTTTTACCTTTTGTGCCTTCAGGCCTGTCACAAATCCGACTGTGGGAAACTGGGAGGGGGGATTGCACAGAGCGAAGAAGATATGTAGACACAACAAAATTCTTTATAGAAAGTCAAGGCCATTGCGTCCTGCAGCTGCGTTGAAAAGAATGAGGAGGTATCTTCTGTTCCAGACGGTACCTAATTGGATGTGTGGTGGACATGTGGGTGAGGGGCAAGGTTTTGAACTTTCTTTTGGGTGTGGAAAACCCGGAAGCTCTCGGATTCCAGTTTTCCCAGCTGTGCCAATGTGACATCTCTTAATAAAAGTTAGCTTTGAGGAACTTCAAGCCTCAGAGTTTGATTTCGTTGGGGGTGTTACTTGGAGCCCTGACACCAACACAGTCCTAGGCTGCATAAACAGAGGGACAGAATCACATGTAGTGTTAATACCCCTTTATAAGGCCTTGGCAAGGCCACACTTGGAATATTGCATTCAGTTTTGGTCGCCACGATGTAAAAAAGATGTGGAGACTCTAGAAAGGGTGCAGAGAAGAGCAAGAAAGAGGATTAGGGGACTGGATATATAAACAACGGTTGCAGGAACTGGGTAGGTCTAATCTTATGTAAAGAAGGATCAGGGGAGACATGATAGCAGTCTTCCAGTATCTCAGGGGCTGCCCCAAAGAAGAGGGAGTCAAGCTATTCTCCAAAGCACCTGAAGGCAGGACAAGAAGCAACAGATGGAAAGTAATCAAGAAGAGAAGCAGCTTAGAACTAAGGAGAAATTTCCTGACAGTGAGAACAATTAACCAGTGGAAGGACTTGTCTCCAGAAGCTGTGAATGCTCCAACACTGGAAGTTTTTAGGAAGATGTTGGATAACCATTTGTCTGAAGTGGTGTAGGGTTTCCTGCCTAAGCAGGAGGTTGGACTAGAAGACCTCCAAGGTCTCTTCCAACTCTGTTATTCTATTCTATTCTTTGTTGCAGCCCCTAAGATGGACCACTGGTATCATGTCACTCCCACTCCTTCTTTTTATTAAAAAGGAGACATGATAGCAGCATTCCAACAGGAGTGCTGCTACAAAGAAGGGGGGAGGGGGTTAAACTTATTTTCTAAAGCACCAGAAAGCAGGACTCCTGCATAAGGAAAGGGTTGGACTAGAAGACCTCCAAGGTCCCTTCCAGCTATGTTATTCTTTAATTCTATTCTCCAAAGCACCTTTAGGCAGTGCAAGATGCAACAGATGGAAACTCATCAAGGAGAGAAGCAACTTAGAACTAAGGAGAATTTTCCTGACCGTCAGAACAATTAACCAGTGGAACAACTTGCCTCCAGAAGTTGTGAATGCTCCAACACTGGGAATTTTTAAGAAGATGTTGGATAACCATTTGTCTGAAGTGGTGTAAGGTTTCCTGCCTAAGCAGGGGGCCAGACTACAAGACCTCCAAGGTCCCTTCCAACTCTGTTTATTCTATTCTATGATGTTATCTAGTTGGGTCATGAAACATCTGCAAGAAAGCAACCCAAATCAGACAGCTCCAAGGATTCCACATTCCTCCTCCTCCTTCTCTTCCTCTCTGCAACCCCATCTCCCTTGTAGTACTGATGTTACCACAGTAGTTTGGTTATGAAACATCTGCAAGAAAAACACCAAGCTCAGAGAGCCCCAAGGACCGTACAGAATAAACTCCAAGCCTCAAATATTGTATTCTATTGGCTTTTAGAAATTACCCACTATTTTATCATTCCCAGTTAATATACCTCATTACATTTAATATCTCAAACATTAATGGTCTAAAAAACATATACATACCCTCAAACACCCTTCCAGACAGCAAAATAAAAGTCCAGTATAAAGATGCAATCGCTTTAAATGTCATTTAAATCATCAAAACTCTCATTTTACATCCTTCCTGCCCTCATTCGAATTATAGGGAAGGGTCCACTTGTCTCCATTTTCTTTTACTTCACTCTCAACTTACTTGCCCAAGTGTGACAGCAGCTGATTCCTCTCTGCACTCAGGGGGATTAAAATCAGGTGAAATTTAGCAGATTTAACAGATAAAGGGATAATTGATATAATTATACCTTAGCAATTTGTCCTTCAACTGCCCTTCCAGCTGGTGCTAGATACAAACTCAGTTATACCTGACAACTCACACACAGAAACAGTTGCCAAGTTATGGGATATTTCCCCCCCCCCAGAATAAGCAAACATGTGGGAATTATCCACAGGTGTGATTCCCCCCTCAAAAAAAGGCTTAATTTTATTGAAAATCCTTCAACTTGCTGCAGGGTGATATCTTTTGATGACTTTTCTCTGTTGCTATAATAGATGTAGTCAAAGGAAAATATTCAGTGTAATAAATATTTAAGAGAGATTACTTTTACCAAATGTTAAGAGTACAAAAAGGATCTAGGCAAGTATTTTAGAATAATTAAACAGCCAACAAACATATAGTATATTTTTATTCTTAAACAAGTAGTCCTCGACTTGTAACCATTCATTTAGCGACCAGTCAGTGGCACTGAAACAAGTGATTTATGACCGGTCTTCACACTTACAATCATCAAAGCATCCCCACAATCCTATGATCAAGGTTCAGTCGCTTGGCAACTCGTATTTATGACCTTCCCAGCCGACAAGCAAAATCAATGGGAAAAGCCAGATTTGCTTAACGATCACATGATTCGCTTAACAACGGGTGGGATTCATTTACCAATCATGGGAAAAAGGGTTGTAAAACTGGGCACAAGTCACTTAACAACTGTCCTGTTTCGTAACAGAAATTTAGGTCTAAAATGTGGTCGTAAGTCAAGGATTGCATGTACTTATCAATATTAAGGGAATCTGGCATCAACTTTGTAGATTAAATTCTACATGACCAGAAGGGGAAAAAAAAACCCACAATAATTCTCAATTTATAACCACAGTTGAGAATGGAACTTCTCTATTACCTTTGCCTGTCAGGAGGTCACAAAAGGGGATTACGTGACCCCGGAACATGGCAACCATCATAAATATGAGCCAGTTGCCAAGCATCCAAATTTTATTCCTGTGACCATGGGGATGCTGCAACGGTCATAAGTGTGAAATATGGTCATCAGTCACTTTTTTAGCATCCATGTAATTTTGAATGGTCACTAAGCGAATGGCTGTAAGTCAAGGACTACATGTAGGAGGAAAATATGCTCAGTCACCTTGAATTTGATAAATAAATAAAAAATAAATCTCAAATGGTCGTTAAGTCGAGGACGACCTGTACAGCAATTCTGGTAGTTTGGAAACTCAACACAAGGATTTATCATGTTCAGGAACCATTTTCCAAGCAATTGAAAAAGGGGTTTTTCTTGCAGACTGGGGAATTCTGGGAGCCGAAGTCCACCCATTGTAAGGGATGCAAAGGTCTGAGATTCACTGGGTTAATGTGTTGTGAGAATACAGCCATACCTTCCACCAATCCAGCCTTCTCTTCTTTTCATTTCTGAGATTCCTTATTTAGCCAGAAGACTTCTGATGAACTCAACAAGTTTGCTTGCTCAAAATAAACTCTTAAATAACGATACAGTAGGCTTCTTTAAAAAAATTGCACTGTACCAAATAACATACTCTCACACTTGCACAGTGGCAGGTAACACTACCTACTGCTAAACCATATTTTGCAACCATACGATATGGCTAAAATTTATTTAAATTAGTTGAGAGAATGGTTGGTTTAACAATGTTTTGTTGAAAGTAGGATTAAAAAGTACAAATAACCTTCAACTTACTACAACCGAGCCCAAAATTTATGCTGTTAAGTGAGACATTTGTCAAGTTTAGCTCCATTTTACAACCTTTCTTGCCACAGTTGTTAAGTAAATCATTGCAGTTGTTAAGTTAGTAACATGGTTGTTAAGTGAATCTGAATTTCCCATTGACTTTGCTTATCAGCAGGTCGCAAAAGAGGATCACATGATCCCGGGACACTGAAACTGTCATAAGTATGAGTCAGCTGCCAAGTGGCCTAATTTTAATCACATGACCACAGGGATGCTGCAACAGTCATAAGTGTGAAAAATGGTTATAAGTCACTTTTTTCAGTTCTGTTGTAACTTTGGCCACAAAACAAATATTTGTAAGTCGAGGACTACCTGTTAACAAGAAAGTTCAGGATGCCTGCAAACAAAAGACCCCATCTGGATCTTTTTTATATATATAAAACTTCACCAGAATTTTCAAGAAATGCAAAATGAGAACTTCCTCTGGAAACACCCAAAACTGAATGGGAAAATTTGCGGAGCATGAGCCAAATAGAAGTTTGCAGATTTCGGCCCTGCGGTGCAAACGGAACGTAAATAGAATTTTATTTTATTAATAATGAAATATCATTCATATTAATTATTTACTTGATGCATAATTCAAGTTTGTTGCACGTTAGGAAGTGGTAAAACCTGGCCAAACTTGTTTGACTTTGGAAGTAGGCTGGATGGGAGACCACCAGGAAATCCCAGGTATATTTGTGGCTTTAAAAAAAAAAAGGAAAGTGATATAGGTAATTCTTGACTTACATTGAGTGACTGTCCAGTTACAAAGGCACTAAATAAAGTGACGTATGACCGTTTCTTACATGACCGCTGCAGCATCCCCGTGATCACATGATCAAAATTCAGATTTGGCAACTGACTCATCCTTATGACCGTTACCATGTCCCAAGGTCATGAGATCACCTTCTGCAATCTTCTGACAAGCAAAGTCAACAGGGAAGCCAGATTCATTTAGCAATCGTGTACCTAACTTTAACAACTGCAGTGATTTTCTTAACAACTGTGGCAAGAAAGGTAATAAAGTGAGGCAAAACTGACTTTAAGAGCTGTCTTGCTCTACAAGGGCAATTTTGGGCTCAATTGTGGTCGTAAGTGGAGGATTACCTGTAATTGCAAGTGATTTCTCCTTTAAAGACTAAACACAGCTATAGTGGTAACAGTTTTGGGCTGTCCCAGGGGTCACATGAGTCTGAGCATTACTTGAGGGCCCCTCAGGTCCAAATTGCTGCTTTCCAGGTGTGTCATACATGATTCCAGGTGTGGGAGTTGTAGTTTGATGACCAGCCAGGCTCATGGAAGGTGATGGGAATCATAGTTCGAAGACTTGGATAACAGCAGGTAATAATGGGACCTGCAATCCAACAAGAGGAATGAGAGAGATCTGGATTAGCACATCAGGAGAACACTACTCTGTTGGGGATGATGGGACTGTAGTCCATCTGAAAAAAGGGGGTGGGGGCAGCGAAAGAGGCCCCACCAGCTCACGGCAGGTCTCTAAGTGTATATTTGCAGGAACCCAGGGTGCAGCCGTGCTTCCTGCCTGTGCATAATGGGATTTGCAGTCCAATATGGAATGTGTTGATTAGCACAACTGGAGGCGCAATACTGCACTGGGGATGATGGGACCTGTAGTCCATCTGGAAAAAAAGGTGTGGGGGCAGCGAAAGAGTCCCCATCGGCTCACGGCAGGTCTCTAACTGCATATTTGCAGGAACCCAGGGTGCAACCGTGCTTCCTGGCTGTGCATAATGGGACCTGCAGTCCAACATGGAATATGTTGATAAGCACATCTGGGGCGCAACGATGTGGCTGGGGATAATGGGGCGTGTAGTCCAGCAAATAAAATGGGGTGGGCTCGCTTAGTGCAGCTGCACCGACCGCTGAGAGCCCTCTGGGTGGGGATAATGGGATTTGGAGTCCGACATATTGAAAGGAAGCGGGGCAGGGGAAAGAAGTTCAAAGCCTGTGTCCCCCATTGCCTGGGGGATGATGGGAGCGTTGGCTGGGGACGATGGGAGGGGCAGTCCTCCGGCTCCCCAGCCACTCAAACCTCACCTCCGGGCGCGGAGCGCGGAAGCCGCCCCCACCCACCACGGCGGCCATCACCGCCGAAGCTCTTTTGATTGACAGGGCCGCCCGGCGCCCCCCCATTGGCGGCAACCACCACTTCATTCCCGCCCTCTTGAGCGCGGAAAGGCGGCGGAAACCGCGCATGCGCCGCCGCCGTTGAGCTCGCGCTCCTAACGGCTCTGGAGGCGGAAGCCGAGGGGCTGGGGAAGCTGGGAGTTGTAGTCTGGAGAATGGTCGGGCGATAGAAGTGGGGCGGAGGCGCCCCATTCCCTCTTTTTTTGGGTGGGGGAGGGTGTGTATGTTATATATATATGACTTTATTAATGTTCATAGACAAAAGCTCAAATACTTCAGGAATAAGCCGGAAAAGCAACGCTTGCACACCTCTCCCTCATTCCCAGCTGTCCACATTCACACGTGTATCTAACTACACGTGTCAAGGCGGGTCGTGTGAAACTGCTTTAGGCGTGGTTATTATTTTTTTCCTCACTCGTTTTCTCACCGTTTCGAGGGAGGAGGTCTGACTGCCATCTTCAGCTGGCAAGGAGCTAAAGCAGAGGGCAACCTTCATCAGCCTGAAAAAATCTGGCTTTTGCATTAAATGGAGATCCAGACAACCATCGTTCCCTGCACAAAAACAACTTTTATTTTTTATTTTCCCCCCTTGCTGTACTTTTCAGTGGGATGATCCAATCCTAGATGGACCTTAGAGGTCATCTAGTCCAACCCCACTTTCCCAGGTCAGGAAAGTGAACGGCAAAGTTTTACAAATTTTACAAGCTTTTGTAAATTTTACAAGTTTTTTGTAAGTTTTACAAGTTTTACAAATTACAAAAAAACCATGTCATTTGCCCCTCAAAAGGTTATGTACTCTTTTGAAAATCTGGAAAGATAGAACAATCCAAGACTTAAAAACCCTGGCCCTTCTGTTGCTGTATAACTTTACCAACTTTTAATATTCCGGATCTATTTCAATGAGTTTTGCCTTGAGTGTGACATCAGGTAGTATTCAACGACCACAACTGAATCCAAAATTTCTGTTGCTAAACAGAAAGTTAAGTGAGTTTTGCCCCATTTTACGACTTCCTTGCTACAGTTCTTAAGGGAATCAGTGCAATTGTTAAAATTAGTAGCGTGGTTATCAATGGCTTTCCCGTTGACTTTGCTTGTCACAAAAGGGGATCACATGATCCCAGGACATTGCAACCGGTACATGCTAATTGCTGAGTGTCCGAATTTTGATCGTGAATAAAACGGTCATAATTATTTTTCAGTGCAAGTCTTAAGTGTGCAAAACAGTCATAAATTCTTTTCGGTGCCACTGCAATTTCAAACAGTCACTAAATGAATGGATTTCAAGTCAAGGATTACCTGTAGTTTCCTTCATGGAGCAGAATAGAAGAGTGATCACCTAGTGGTCTACTTTCCATTCTTATTCTTCTGCTTTTAGCCACTTAAAAGGGTTAAATCTGCCTGATTGAAGCCAATCCCTCTTTCTTACAGAATTGTGGGGAAAATAGGAGGAGGAAGGCGCATTACATGCAATTACTGCCTTGCCTTGACTAAATGCAAAATAGGGTAAAATTTTCATGCTATCACATTTAGAACCAGTGGGGTCTTTTTTTCATAGCAGCCAAGGGAAGTCCTCAACTTCCAACGACCGCAATTGAGCCTACTATTTCCGTTGCTAGGCAAGACAGATGTTAAGCAACCCCCATTTTACAACCTATCACTGCAGTTGTTATGTGAATCTAGCTTCCCCATTAACTTGGCTTGTCTGTATCTGCAGTTCCTTGGGCAGTCTGAGCTATATATATATAAATCCCTTTTTCTCATCTGATATATTTAAATAACTCAGAAAAAAGGGATTTATATATATAGCTCAGACTGCCCAAGGAACTGCTGATACAGTTCTACAGAGGAATCATTGAGTCTGTCATTTGTATTTCTATAAGTGTCTGGTTTGGCACAGACTTCAAGGGATAATTAGAACTGCAGAAAAAAGAATGGCAACCAGCCCGCCTTCCATGGAGGACCTGCCTACTGCACGGGTTACAAAGTGGGCTGAGAAAATATCTACAGACCCCCTCACATCCCGGACATAAACTGTTTCAGCTTCTTCCCTCAAGATGACACTATAAAGGATTGCACATTAAAACAACCATACACAAAGACAGTTTCCCCCCATGCCATCACTCTGCTAAACACTTAATTCCCATGACACTGTCTTATGTCTGAGTGGCGTAGGAGGCTAATGCCTCCTACTAAGGCAGCATTTAACATCCAGCTGCCTGCAATTACTGCGAGTTCAATTCTCACCAGGCTCAAGGTCGACTCAGCCTTCCATCCTTTCTAAGGTGGGTAAAATGAGGATCCGGTTTGTGGGGGCAATAAGCTGACTTTCTATAAAATATACAAAAGTATGAAGGCTATTGCTTAACGCATTGTAAGCCGCCCTGAGTCTCCAGAGAAGGGCAGCATATAAAAATAAAAATTAAAAATTAAAAAAAATATGCCCTGGAATGTCAAACCACTTAGTATTACTCTTATCCTTCTCCTTTGTCCTATTTCGCTTCCCTGTTTATATTTTCTGGTTTATGTTGATTGCTTTTATTTAGCATCTGGTGACTTATCACTGAGTGTTGTATCTTATAATTTACAATGATTGTATTTTTTGATTGTGATTTATCACATGTTGCTTGTATGTACACTGAGAACTTCTGCAGCGGAGACAAATTCCTTGTGTGTGTCCAATCACACTTGGCCAATAAAGAATTCTATTCTATTATTAATTTGCAAATAAATTAATATTTTGACATTTTAATATTCTGATTTGGGCCTACAGGTTTAGAAGATGACTCTTAATCCTCCCCCCCCCTCCAAATGCCCGAGAGAAACGGTTTAGAATGTACCATAAAGGAAAAAAAAGGTTGAAAAACATTGGGTCAAATTCGTAAAACTAAATCACAAAGCTGAAACAGTGTTTACTGATAGACAGAACATTTAATGATTCTTAGTTTTGGATTTTTTCACAGCCACACCCCAATCCTAATGCTATTTTTCACACATACAGATACTATAGGTTTACAACCATTTGTTTGGCGGCCAAAGTTAAAACAGTACTGGAAAAATGGACTTCAAGTAGTCATCAACCTATAACCACGTTTCTTGCCACAGTTGTTAAGTGAATTACTGCAATTGTTAAGATAGTCACACGATTGTTGAGTGAATCTGGCTTTCCCCATTGACTTTGCTTGTCAAAAGGTGCTTAAGGGGACATGACCCAAGGGCACTGCAACCGTCATAAATATGAACCAGTTGCCAAGCACCTGAATTTTGGTCACATAACCATGGGGATGCTGCAACAGTCATAAGTGTGAAAAATGGTCATAAGCAGTGGTGGGCGGCTGGGGGTTCGCAGGGGTTCGGGAGAACCTCTAGCTAAGATTCTGTGCAGTTCGAAGAACCCCCAAGTCCTACTTCTGGCTGACCCCACCCACCCCTCCCCTCCCAGGAATCCCCACGTGACCTATTTTGGATTCAGGTAAGTGCAGAACGTGCACGGAGGCTCGAGGAGGGCGACAAAATTGTCGCTGCATTTTTGTATTTACCAGATGAGCTCTTATTTTTGAACTCTAAGACTTACCGTAGCTTGCCAAGTTCTTATCAGTAAGCTAACTGCGCATGTCTACATTCTTTCACTTTTTTCTTCTACTTTCTTTGTTCTCCGGCCAGGAGAGGTCGCCGGGAAAGCTGCCAAGATGTAACTAATTAGATTAGTGAGATGTTTTATTTTCTTTATAACAAATAAATGAGTTTTTCTTAGAAAATATATCTTCGGGTTTATTTTCTTAAAGTATGCTTCAAGGGAAAAGCCTCGATCCACTTCTCTAAATCAAGGTACAATTACCCGAGAGCAGAATGGGATTAATTAGCACCCTGACAAAAATGGGCCTACCAGAGGTTCGGGAGGGCCTCTGGAGCCTAGGGAGGCCGTTTTCGCCCTCCTGGAGGCTCAAGGAAAGCCACTGGAGCCCGGGGAGGACAAAAACACCCCACCCGCCATGGTGCAGGAGGCCGACTAGGCCACACCCACCCCCTTGCTAAAATCTTTGAAGCCCACCCCTGGTCATAAGTCATCTTTTTCAGTGTGGCTGTAACTTTGAATGGTCACTAAAAGAATAGTTGTAAGTCGAGGACTACCTGTACTGATTCGTCTGGCAAGAAGGAAGGCCGAATAGTGGGAGAAATAATTATTTTGGGTGATTTAAGTCACAAATAATATTAATCTGAATTTAAAAGAATAATGTCTATACAGTAGTCTGTATAGGTTTTAAATTCTTTGACTACTATTTTTGCCATTTGCAAATGGCGATCACGTGACCTCAGGACATGGCAATAGTTGTGAATAAATTGCCTGTTACCAAGCACCCGGATTTTGACCATATGGATATTGTAGTGGTTGTAAGTATGAGGACCAGTCATAAGTCACTTTTTTCAATGCTCTTGTAACTTTGAACAGTCGCTAAAGAAATGAAAGTAAGTTGAGTATTACCAGTAATATTTTCCCGGTCAAATAAAGCGATGGAAATGAAGAATCCAAGTCAATTTCTTCAACTTGGCAGCTTTAATTTAAGAACTTGGCAACTTCAATTCTCAGAATCCTCCTTTGTGGCTGGGGACTTCTGGGAGTTGAAGACTGTAACGCTTAAAGTTGTCAATTTGGAGAAACACTTATCTAAAGGGGAAAGGAATCTCAGGGGAAGAACCACGCTGAGAGTTATAACTAGAAGCCAGTATCAACAAATAGACAAGCTAAAAAAATTACAGTCTGCCAACTTGGGCAAAACTTACAGGAGTTTAAATCTTTCCTTGATTGTTAGGTTTTATTTCTCTGGAAGGAAGAAAGGGGAGGAAGAAAGGAAGAATCAGACAAAGCTATAACAATATGACTGTCAGAGAATAAATAATAAGGACCTAAAATTTCAAAGTTTTCCATCAAAGTCAAACTAGGCACCACCATAAAGGATTCTTCCTTTCAACGCCACTAATTTTCGGAATTCTGAAAAGA